CATAAGGGGTTATAGTGGCAGATTAAAACTTACACATCATTTTCAGATGCCACCATCCTTTCCTCTGGATCTGGTTAAATAAGGCAGAGACGGATTGCTCTTTGATGTATTATTTAGAGTTGCCGGTAATTGTGTCCCCCTGGTGCTGACTGTCTGCAGCCCCCTTGCTTGCTAATCTTTGCTGGCAGTTCAAAGCAAGGATCTGCAAAGAGCTGTTTATTCCATCCTTCAGTGCCCAACCCACAACAGCAACTAGTTTTGTGAGTCTGCTGCACTACACCTTATCAGTATTGAAAGATTAACACTTCTGTTGAAAAAAAGTAGGGATATGACAATAAAAACATATCTGGTCAAGATGTGCAGCAAATAAAGTAGTGATGATCCAAAATAAAGTCTTATATTAAATAAAAAACTGACATCTGTAATCATTCTAATATTTGTAAAACAGACTGGAGTACACATATTTTGAAGTGTGAAGTATAGGGAAATAAAAAAATGACTTTAAACAGTCACTGGCATTAGATCCTTTGAAAGATTAGCTAATAAAATGCAAACAGCATAGATTGGCTACAAACAAGATGAAGCCTTTTTGGCCATTCTTACCTTTAAATGTTTTATTTGTGCTAACCACATTCAAAAAAAAAAAACTTACAAGGTTTTGTGAGTGCTTATATTTTGGGGGATCTGGACTGTAAAACTTCCTTTATACAAGAGAACACTGATCATTCCTTTTTAGAGGCAAATTGCTGTGCCCCTTTTCTCCAAAAAGTCCCTCTACAGTATGTTGTTAAAAGCTTCTTAATTATGAAGGAGCTTTCCATCATTTACAGGAATAATGTGACTTTCATTTCAGGACTTTGCACAATATTTAACAAAAAGGGCCTAAATTAGGATATTTTTTTAAATCTGATTCCATTTATTCTAATTGTACACATCACCTTTATAGATTACATATCCTCCCAAAGACTCACAAAATAAATGTTCATCCATAATTTTAAAAGGAAATAGACCCTAAGCCGTGTATTTTCAATGTATTGTCATTTGCTTCTTACTGTTGAGTGGTTACTGACAGCACTGCGAGAAACCTTTCATTGTGAAAACATCCCCTTTAAACAAATACATCAGCAGAAATCCTTCTATGCTCTTGAAAGCTTCCTAATTATGACAGAACTTGGTAGAAACAAATTCTCTTTGGGAGATGGAGTAAATTCAAAGCAGCCAGTAAGTTCCTGAGGGCTACACAGATCTTCCTTGTTAAAAGGTTCCCTGGCAGTAGGCTTGCTTTACCCAGGAATTTCCACATTTCTCCCCCGCACATGCTGAGGAAAAATATATGAAATGGATAGAGGGTTATTTAAAATGCACATTTTCTCCAACAGAAAGCAAGAATGCTGGGAAAAAAGGGAAATAAGCCATTCTTCTTTCCTTCAGGCATTTTCTGCATTAGCGTTTCTTTGGATATCCTTCATGACTTTTGTAGAGAGGTAGCCCAAGTTTTCTGGACCTGTGTTGCTGAATGATAGGGGTTTGTGATCCATGTTGCTAAACATTGATTGATTCGGTTCACTGTGCTGCTGGGAGCAGCCTGGGTGCCCCCCTCTTTGACAGTGAGTACAGTCATGCCTGGCTAGCTAAATCTTTCAGCTCACTCACTCACTGCCAGCAAGGGGCTGCAGGCACACAGGGGCGCTACATGGCGTTTGGTTGAAGACCTGTGGACAGAGATAGGAAAGACAGGAATTGTGCCATTTAAGAGACTATGCACAATTAAAGGACTTAAAGGAAAAGGATGGGTGTAAAGGAGTTGTCTGCTCTTTGCATGCTTTTATTGCCCCTTATTAAGCAGTGCAAAATACTTCCTGCCTTATGGGAAGCTGTTCTGAGATGATTTGTCTTAATTTAACCTGATTCTTCCAAAGAACAAAGATAGTTCGGCACCCAAATGTGTTATTCGTTAATCATTGTTAACCCAGTCTCTTCGTACTGAACGATTAATTTCTGCCTAGTCTCTTAACTTCTCCAGTTAAACCAGCCATCAATATCTCCCGCTGCCACCATCACGTCTCTAATAACTATCCACTGGACCATACTACACAGATTACTGTATATTCCCTCTGTTCTAATATGCTCCATACATGCTGAATGCATCAGTACAGAAACTAGAGCATACGTTCAAAAGAAGTTGATGCTATAAGGTACTGCTTTACGTTACAATATATTAGAGCTTTTTAGTTAGTAACAGATTGAGGTAGACCACTACAGATTTACACATGTTGGCTTGCCATCTTGTCTCTTTGAAGGATTGTCAAATCCCCAGGGGCATTTTCAAATTACTATACTGTTGTGAGGCTATGGCATAAATCTCCATCAGTTTGGATTTAGTGACAGCATATGTCCATAGAAAGACGTTTTACAGGTGGAAATAATTGTGATCACAGACAAGTGGATATTAGTGGGGTGTAATCTTTCTACAGGCAACCATTAACACGAAGGATGGAATACGGAGAGGTATGGCAGAAGTCCCACTGTGGTTCCCCTTTTGCCTGCTCTTGGCCTAGCCAGAGAAATTGAGCTTTGAAATTCTATTTATTTTGCGTTTTGTATTTTTAACAATCATTTTTTAGCTCTTTCAGGTGTTAAATCTTTCAGCAGCATTTTAACACTAGTCAAAATTAAGCCAGTCTCTTAAAATGGTTTGCCCAGCAGGGCTCTTGGAAGTGAACAAACGCCTTGTGTGTTGTCAGGGCTTCCCAGCCTAAAAGCTGACATGATCTTGGGATACTCTGTCCTTCAGTTATTGGTGGCGATATTATTATTATTATTAGAAGGGCACAGTTAAGACAAGCAACAGAATCTGTACGTCATGTCATTCCATGAGCTATGTCCAGGAGCAAACTAAATCCAGCTATTGAAACATTATGGAATTCCAAACAGAAATGTGTGTACACAGCAGAGAAATCAAATAGTTTAACTAGAGCAAATTTGAAATGAGCTCCATCTGGAGTTAAAGAATGACTTTTTCCTATAGGGATGAAATTAGATAGAAGACAGATAAGATCATGCACAGGTAGTAGAACCACATGATTCAGATTTCAAAGCTGAAGGGAAAAGCAGTTTACATATATTGCTGTGACATCTTATTACAGCCTTCAAAGAAATAATGGGCATGAAACATTGCTATTGTACAATACTAAAATTAGTGTTAAACTTTCAGCTGTTTTATGTTGTGTGCTGCAATATTTCATATAATTAAAAACAAGAAAATTGACAGATTCAGGAAGTAAGGAGTTCAGATGCTTAATTAACCTGATATGAACTCTGCTTTGTATTTACGTAACATTTCATACACTGGTTTGGTTGAAAACTTAAGATTCAATTGCATGATGGGCAGAGTTACTGCCAGTCATTATTCTATAACCATTATGCTAGATAGCATTATGGCAGTTCTTTTCTTTTGTCTGAATAACTGCACATCTGTAATATTTTTTAAGTTTTACACCGGCAACAGAATAACATTCTTCAGATGCACACTTACTTTCCTCTTAGGCATTTAGTCTGCCATCTCACAGCCTGAAGTCATTTTCTGCCCATTGCAGATCCTTTGTCTCTCATATAAAGCCTCCTATTGTAACCAACCCCAGCTGTTAGCAATGAGACAATTAGCTAAAAATGACACAATTAGTATAGACGAGCAATTACACCACACTCAATTATCCCCCCATGAATGCAAACATAATTGTTTAAAGAAATGTGCAAAAAAAGTGAAGCAGAATGCAAAGGAACAATGACAGCTGGGACATAAATTGAAAGCATGCCGAAAATGTATCTAAATTGCAAATGTCTACCGAATTACAACCTCCTCTGCAAAAAAAGCCAATCTTCAATGGTCAAGAATACTAAGTTACAGTATAAACTCCCTGGGACACAGTCATTTACTAAAAGCAGTTCTTGAAATAGTTTTGTTGAAGTCTGCAGCATTAAAATCTGTTTAAAAAGTTAGTTTACTGTGGCATGAATGAGATTAATCGATTTTCACTTGGAAAGTTGGCTCCTGACGATGACTTTATGTTCTGCTAATTAGTGAAATAGTTGGGGGGCCCAACAAACTGAGATGTTCTTCAGCAGGCAATCCAGCATTTGTCAAAAAATAGAAAAGTACTTTGGGTTCTAGTTCTGTTGTGATGCCCTGTGGCAAAAGGTGTTTGTTTTCCATGCTAACTGATTCAAGACTATTCAGAATACACACCAATAATCCAATTGATTTTTGTGTTCTTTGAACATAGCTCTCTGTTCTACTCTTATGGTCTTCTTTACAGTATGAAAGTATTTCTTGATTTGTGGTTTTTCAATGCTATTTGGCGCTAATTTGTATGTTAGGGGTATGCAATTGCTCACATGTACAGTAGGTAGAAAAAGAAAACATTGTAGTAAGACTCTTGGTAGTATCCAAGGAAAAACAAGCTGCAATGTATTACTACCCTTTTTGACAAATAATGACTGGTTATTTTCCCCCTCCTTAATTAAATATTTAAGGAGCATGTTGAAAATTAAATGCATTTTCACACCTAAAGGCATCCGTGCTTCTGAAAGTGAAAGGCATATCTCTCAACCCTGAATTATTCATGCCTTTCCAGTTGTCACACTTCAATGTGGAATAAATCATCTGAGAAGCCATCACATGACATGAAGCAGCTTGCTATGAGATTCTTTACAGTAATAGGAAGAATGAAGTGCAGCACTTATTAAAGCCAAGAGACAGAATATGAGGAGGCTCAGGCCACCCATAGCACCCAGCTGTCTACCTAGATTCTTCTGTCAAACTGTTTTGTCTATCCACAACTGTGTTTTTGCAGAACGTAACTTTGGAGTCACCTAATATAACGATGGTGCCAGGTTATTGTCTTTACAGTATGCCTGTCTGTGTCATTGCAATCTTTTTAAAATGATTTTTTTTTATCTGAGTCTTAAATATGCCGTTTTAATTTGTGTCACTTTCACAGATCAGTAGAGTACTGAAGCCAGGAGGCCGATTTGTCTCCATCACTTTTGCTCAGCCACACTTCCGGAAGAGGCTGTACGCCCGAGAGCAGTTTGGCTGGTCTGTCAGACACTGGAGCTACGGAGGAGGTTTCCAATACTTTCTGTATGTCCTAACCAAGGGAGAGGTGCTGAGCTCAGAGGATCGGGCTCTAGAAAGGAAGGTGCTGGAAGGCGAGAGACCCCCAACTCCGGTTACGTTCCAGGACTCTGATTCGGAAGACTACCTTAACAACATCACCCTTTAGGTCAGTCGCTTGAAACATCTATGTAGGACCCCCACATCTTTAAACAACCAAAAGGAGAATGGAATTTGTATACTAAACTAAAAGCAGTAGTTCAATCCCAAGTAAGTCAATTAGTAAAGGCGGTCACAGGTTCAAGTCTGGGCTGTGTCACTAGTTGATTGACAGTGATAACCTGACTGGCTGAGAGCTGCAGAGGGGAGGGTGGGTTTAGTCAGCCAGGGCTCTCTCAGCTCTACCCTCCAGTCAGCGCTGATCCCCCAGAACGGGACTGTGTTGCCTTTTCTGTGTTAAAGATGAGTATTGTGAGGAAGGCTGGGTCGGAGGAGTCTGCCTACACTCCTTCATTCCTGCCTGTGGTTGCGGGGCTCAGAGCTGTGAGCTGAGATGTGAGGAACAAACAAATCCCAATCCTGTGCTTATAACAAAATTATGTTGCGACTCGAAACTCCAAACATGAGAGTAGTTTAAACTGCGGTTTCTTGTTCATTCACTTCCACCTTGTTACAAGACTATTCTGCACAGTGCTCTGCTGTTCTTCTGGTTTAGATGATCTGACGTGTCCTCCGTATGTAAGAGCAAATCGAAGGGGCATGATGGAGAGGGATGTCACCACTGGTGCGGAAGCCTCTTCTTGTTATGATTCACCTGTGGGCTCTGAATCGTCGTACATCTGTGAGTCCCCCATCCCCACAACTCCAAGCTCTTGCTTTCAGAGGAAATTGAGACTGGCTAAAATAAAATTAATAAATAAAATAAAAAAAGATACAGTCCCAAGCAGATGAGTTAGGGAGTGTAAGAAAGTTAGATGTGACAGGGGAAAGATATACATAATCCAAAAATTTACTTTTATACTGTATGTTTGTAAAATGTTTTAAAGTTAAATATTTTTGTTGCTTTAAAATGAGCATAAACAGTAGGAAATGTTTTAATGTCAATGAGTTTGTGTTAACCTTATTCTCTGTTACAGTATAGTTGTAAAAAGTGCTAATAAAAGTTTTAACCATAATTCACACTTAGTTCTTTGTATATTCATTCATTGTGGTTGTGGTAGGAGATATGAGAGCAATGTGCAGTTTCTGGGGACTGCAGGACAATACTGGCAAGCAGACCACTATATCGACCTGAGGCAACTAGGCCAATGCAAGAAACAGCATCTAGCAGATCAATAGGACAGGAATGAGGTTTAGCAGAAATCAGCACAGAGCTGCCATTGTGTTTAGATTTCCTCAAGAGCTCTGTAAGGTGCACTTAAGAACATAAAGTCTGCAAGCTAGAGGAGGCCATTTGATGTATCTAGTTCATTTTGTTTTTAGTATCTAATTGATCTGATGATCTCATCCAGCCTTTCCTTAAAATATATTGACTTTGACAAAATGGCAGCTTGTTCCAGCAACCCTTTGTTGTGCCTCCTCTTCTCCATTATAAGTGCACTTACCCATAGTTTTGATTGGTTTCCTTTGGTTCGTGTTTCTCATTCAATTCTTAATATGTCTATAACATTGACTTCTATAACATTGTCGACGTCTTTGAGAATTTTGAATATGTCCCTGCATAGTCGTCTTTGTCCAAAGCTCAAAACATTAGTTATTTCAGACTGTCAGAGCATATGTCTTTGAGCACAGGAATATACATGATTGCTGTTCATTGAGTAGATCAAATCTAAACACAATACCAGTATATTGTACAATTTCAACATAATATCCTTTTTTTAACAATATCACCATTATTGTTTGCCATTTTTATTGTTTTCCCATATTTTATCAAAGATACAAATTATGTCTTTAAACACTTAATTGGTTTTCAAAGGTAATTAAAGCTCTGTTTATGTTTTTTACTACCTGCATGAAACACTTTGCACTTGTCTACATTAAGTATCAACTGCCAGATGTTGCACAAGCCACAAATCACAGGCTTAGAGACAATTTTAAAAGTGGATGTTTAATAAGACTTTCATACATGTTGGTCCCATGCTGATTCAAGGAATTATTTTATTTTTGGTGACATAAAGCAAGGTTTTCTACAGCTCTTTCAACACATTGAGTTTCTCCTGACACAATTCTCTCCTTATAAGCTCCACCTGTGACACTTGAACCTACATACCAGCCCCTGAAAGCCATCAAACTGTCTTGCTTGCACACAAACAAAATGTTCATGTTAATTTTTTTCCAGCCTCCAGAACACATCCTTAAACACAAGTCATTGCAATATAGATTATCATTAAATTGTTGGTAATTAAGTGATTCTGAGTATTCACACTCAGGCTATGAATCATTTCTGAATAGTTAGGGTTTCTCCCTTTTTTAGGAGGTTGGGTTGCCAATTTGAGCAGACCTTTAAAACCAAATGAATTTCTTATATGATAATACATTATCTCATTACAAGTTCACATTAATTAATAGAATAGCAGATGTGGGAAACATATACAAGTCAATTACATTAATTTTGTGAATAACGTCTACCACATGACCAGACATGCACATTGAAATAAGGAGAAAAACCTAATTGGCACAATTTAAAGTTAATATGGAAGTATAGAACAACCAGCGTAGATACTAGTGTTCCAAAGGATGTTTGATTTTACACCCAAGATCTTGACTGAATTTACTTAATTGTTGAATTGAGTCATTGTCTCATGTTACTGAGAAGTTAATGGAATGGATGAAGCATGCAGAACAATAACTCTATATGAGCCTAGATATCACTGATCTGTGCTGAAGTTATTTTTTGTTCTTTTTTTGTCATCAAGAACTTTGCTTTGCTGTTACCTTTTTTCCCTATATTGTTATATATGCTGCATTATTTTCTGTATTGATGTGTACAGTCTCTCCTCGACAGGAAGAGCTGACTGTACTCTCTTTCTCAACCTTTTTTTTTAATGATGATTCACGGTGAAGCTTACCTTATCAAAACCTCCAAAACCCTGCAGAATGTGTTATGGCTTTTTGTAAATAAAGGTTTCTAGTTTTGTGTTGAAAGGATGTGTTGAAAGCACCATCGATTTGCAACAGCCCGAGAGTGCAGAAGTGCGAATTGGATGAGCTGTGGTTGCCCATGCCTCATATGCAAATCCCTGTTTTTTTTTTAGTGAGAAGCATCAAATGGAAGCACGTGCTTCTCTGGCTTAAATATAGACTTTCTAAGGGATATCTGTAGGGCCCAGAAGCCCATTAATAAACCAGAAATCATTTATTTTTAATTCTCTGCTGAAATGTAATTACCATCTATTTTTAAGGCAGAAAAAATGGGACATGGTTTTTGACTTGCTCTGCTTTTGTAGGATCATCTCTGCTCTTATAAACCACAAAACCCTTTTTATTTGTCTCTGAGAGCAAACCGATGAATCAGCAGCCATTGCGATGATTATCCAAAAGAGCCCCATGAAATTAAAAAATAACAGCACAACATCCCAGCAGGCTTCAAATCATAAAAGCGCAAAAGCTAGATTGTGAAAGCAGCAGGCCTGTGTTAAAGGAGTTTTGAATTAATTTTAAACTACTTTTCTTAATTCTTTATTTAGCTTCCATATTCCTTTATAGAGCAACATTCCATTTTCTCTGTCCATTCGCAAAAACAATACAGATTTATTTTATCGCATTATAAAATGTGTTTTATCTCCGATATTTTATCTTTGACTTTTTTCATCAAACTCCTTTAAAGCATAGATAACGTCAACCCATATAAGACCTTTTTCCGAATCAACACTGCAACACTAACATGAAAATGGAAGTGGAAACTCGGAAAGGGAGTTTCTGACGACAGGGAGTACCTTTTTAAACAAAGTATTGAGAGATTGAGGAACAACCACCCAGCTTATAGTTATATCTGTTAAAACTGATACCCTGGCTTTTTTTCAAGAAAGACTCACAATTCTTTTTTGTTTAAAGGAATAATGATGAATAACTTAATTGAAATACTTAACAGGAAAATCAGTGTTTTCCCATTCCTTTCAAAAGATTTTAAAATGTTACTCTGTTGATTGATTATAAATAGCAGTAATAGATCCTAAGCAGTGCCTTTAACCAATGTTTCTCAGCACCCCATTTTATGCTAAGCATAAGTGAAAATTGTTGCTATCAAATCTAAAAGACCACATTGACAATTCATTTCACAAGTGCGGTTCTTCCTTTTTGCTTTTCCTGCCACTGCTAATTACATCCAAAAAACTCCGGCACACTTTCTTCACAAGTACTTGGAAAGTATTACTTAATCCTGCAATGCAACAAGGTTATAGCACATCAATATGATTGGCTTTTAGGCGAAGGAGATAGCAGGTGCAACTGATTGAGACTGTGTTTGATTTGCCTAAAATAATTGGAACATTATCCTGTGAACACACCAGTACCTCTGCACAATGGATGACTTTGAAGTGGCAGTGTGGAAGCAGATAGCAGAAATACAAACATTTGAAGATATTCAACTTGCCATTTTACGTATAGAATTATACATTGCAAAAGCCAGTATGTCTTCATAATTCAGCTATGCAATTGTGTTTTTGCCTCCAATTATTAGTGTGACAATAATTACGTTGAGTGCACTATATATAGAAGATAAAAATATTCATTTTCTTAAATTTATTATAGAATATATTAAGTCTTTTTGGTTTTCATCTACATACTGTATAGTACACAACTGCATGAATGGTTTTGAAAGACTAAACAGATGTAAGCATATTACTGGGAATATATAAGTAAATTGGAGGCCTGTGGGCATGAACCCAAGGTGGGGCACTGATGTGCAGCATCTTCAGGACTTCATGCTGGCAGCTGTTCACACTGAGACCTCACTCATCACTTCTGACCAGATTTAAATTCCCAGATACTAAGAACACCTAAATATAGTCATCAGATCTCTTACTGTGGCTTATCTGGCCATGGTCACTGACTCATATCATGTTTTACAAATACTAACATTGTTAGCAATTTGCCTGGCTTTTTACATCAGGCGTTTCTTTTTCTAGAAAGTCAGTATTCTTGAATAGTCCCACCGCTATTCCTGAAGTCCATTTGCTTTTATAGATTTTGCAATGCATGCCCACCCAATTTGGAACCATCAGGTGTTTCTTTTATGTTTCAGCTTACCACAATGACTTTTGTAGGGCACAAGAAGAATGAGGACGGGCCCACGTGCCCCTCCAGCCTGCCCTTCCAACAAGCCATTTGTCTTGTGACACACTCCAAGATCTACAGTGCCTTACAGGAGAGCTACAGTAGTGTTTTTTAGAATAATAGTGCAACTCTCACTGACATCCCTGCAAGCTCCTGGGAATTCCCAGATGTTGCTGTTTAGCCAAATCCTCCCATGCTGGCCAGTTCTCTGCCCATGACATCCGTCATAGAGGTCAACCTGCAGCTGGAGTAAGTGCTGTTCCTGGTTGAACCACTTGGGAGCTTAGCATGTCATTGTTCAAATACACTGTTATGCAGTCCTTGGAAATTGCCCCTTCAAAGTATGTGCTGTTCCTCTGTTCTGAGCTCATAGTCTAATAGGCATTCATAGACTTATCCAACTAAATTTGTTACAGTAAATAGTCACACATTCTCTGCCTGTGACATTATTGATGCTCATTCATTAGGACCTTGGGCCACAGCCCAGTTGTATTTACAGGTCACTGGAAAAGAAGCTGGCACTTCTTTGCTGGCATTAAGTCCACTTACATATCCCTCATGGCTATAGATCCATTATTGACAACAGCATCCTCAAGCCTGGCAGACTGCCATCCCAGTTTGGCTAGAGGGACAATGTAGTGTTCTGACAGGGGGTGGAAGCGCTTTGATGGGGCCTGAGAGTGCAGACATGCTGAAATCAGGTGCAGTTTAGTTCATGTCCACATGAATCCCGAAGGTCTATCCTGCTGATATACAGTAAAAACAAAGGAAGATAGAAATAATTGTAAGCAGATCGTTGTGTTCCAATTTTCCCTATACGTGATTTCAGCAGTTGAGATCACAAAATCACAGTAATTGTTCTCCATCCATCTTTCATTGCATTGTCCAGTTTATACTGTCCCTGTATAATGTATGAATCCAACTTTCATAACCTGGGTTTTCTTCGGTAAACCTCAGACTGCTTCCCTTCCCCAAAATATTTTTCTGTGTATTTCTGTTATTATATTTAGAGATTTTCATTCTTAATATTATATATACATTTATTTCTCACATTATACTTTGACAACCTGCATTATACCACCTACATTTCACATGTGGTATTTTTACAGATATCAGACTGCTGAAGTCTTGGTGGATGTTTGTTTAGAAAGGGAGGTCTGTGGTGTGGTTTAATTCTGTGGAGCTAGCCCATGGTGCTCCACACAGCTCTTACTTGATAGCTTTCTGATGATCAGAAGATTGCTGATGATTGCTGTCTGTTCTGCTTTCTACTTATTTACTGCTGTGCTCTAGTCAGGATTTTCAACTGACTTCTCTGTTCTTCCAGTACTGTTGACTGCTTAAAGTTTTATAGCATATTTCTCTTAACAGGCTAGACTCCATTTTGGTTATACTTCTTAAGAAAGAACAGTTTGTTTTTGATTGTGTTCAGCTTGTTCTGTCTTTCTGTGCTGTTGTTCGAATTCCTTTATGCATGTACAAATCAGTATTGCAAATACCTCCTGTACTCCAGAACGTTCTCCAGTCTTTCACTCACAGTGACTTTTCTCTGCAGTTAGCAAATTTGGGTCCTTAGCCTTATTGAATTTACTAATTAATAAACACCATCGAATTGCTGGTTTATTCGTTTCCTCACTATAGTTGCTAGTACTAGTTTAGAATGCATTCCAATGGCCTTAAAGATCGGATAGTAAGTAGTGTTTCAGTACATTGACAATCTTTCTTATTTAATTTGGCACACAGAATGAAGACAGAGTGAGTAAAATGTTTGGCCTTGTGGTCAAGGTAGCATCTGTTGTGTAAGTCTCAGAAGAAGTGTTGACCCATTATGACATAACTGTTTATTTAAAAGAAACACAGATGCTGCAAAATTGTGCATTGCCAAGCCGGTCACATTTTTGATCAAGCAAAATTGATTGAGCTGGGTCTTCAGCTAAGGAACCGAGATCAGGGCTTAAGAAATCTTCCCTGCTTGACATTGCATACCATATAACTATTTGTATCTCATGTTTCTCATTGTCTCCAGTTCAAGCTTTATACACCATTATGCTGCATGAAGGGCTTTTTAAAAAAGCAATGAGCCAGTGAAGATATCTGACAATGTGAGATCTAGGGTTTTAACGTCTGTTTTCAACTACCCCTCTCCTGATTTGTACCTACAGTATAAGGGAATGTTTTGGGAAGGGTGATACTGAGTACAAAATCAAAAAGAAGAATGAACATAGTTTGTCACTATATCCTCATACCTTTAAAGCAAAGAATTCTGTTATGTCTGTTATCCTGACTGAATAACTTTGTGTTCTATGACTTGAAAAAAACAGCACATTGCTTCTCCATACCATACGCTCGCATAGCACTTAAAAAGCAGAGTTTCCAGAGCTGTGAAACAAAACAAGCAACATTTAGTCTGCTTCAGCGTTTCACACTGTAACAGAACGCACCTAATCCTGCTGCTGTAATGAGAGGTATGAGAACACCCTGCTGTGATCCAAGCAAGTTTCTTATTTTCAAGCATAAAAATAATCCTCTCCTTTGAAATGGGGTTCCATCTAAGTTACACCATTAATGAAAGCTGGGGAGTATATTCCTTAAACTTCTTGCTTCCAAAGATAAAATCGTATTCCAAAGACAAGAATATAACTCTATACTGATTTCACTTATACTGTATATCCCAGTGTGGAAAAGAGTTCCCGACTTTGGAGTAATGAAGACTGGTTTCTGCTTCAGGTCTTCAGGTTGATGTTCGTCTGTTTGACTCCAGTTGAACTTTAGTACCCATCAGGACATCAGAAAATCCACAAATAAGAGGAGGACATTCAGTGCATCATGCCCATGTGTTGGTCTTTCTCTATATTCCTGCTTGCAGCACTTGTCTTGAGAAGAAGCTTGCCTTGACCATTCCCCAGAGAAACCCACACAAACAGAGGCCTCCACACAATCAGGCAGCCTAGGAGAGGAAAATAAACCCGAGGCTGTGAGGCACTAGTGTTAACTATGGTGAAACCCTTAGAGGAAAAACCTCATTTTCAAATCTGAGGGCAGGTTTGTCTGTCAACCGCGGATATGGCTGCTCTTGAATTACTTCTGTAAAAACAGATTATTAGGTAAACACATCCAGTGCTTTTTAAAATCAACTCTCATGTTAAATAAAAAAGTCCTGTCTGACAAAGAGACAAAGATAGATTGCGTACTTCTGCAGAGTGCGTCAGGATTCGGGTGCTTCTAAAATCTCCAGGGCTTTCTACAAAAAAAACTGAAATCCACTTAGATTTACTCACTGTCCACGGTTCAGTGTGTATCCGTACTAATGTTTCTGCAGGAAATGAAACCTTAAAGTATCAAGTTTGTCTTAAGTACATACTAAAAAGAAGCAAAGTGTGGTTGTTTGGTTGTTCATCTCTTTTGCAAGAAAGAGCTGAAGTAGCATGACTGTTCCATGCATGGCCCTCTTTTCGAAATACCTACTTACCAAACTGTTGTTTTTGTTGTAATACTAATAATTATTTGTCATTTTCTGTACCAAATAAAGTTCACAATTGTCAGATACCATGTGTACGTAATGACAATTGTTGTTTCATGTTCCACCTGTAACACGGACTCTACAGTACACAAAAGCAAAGGCAGAATATTTTCATCTTGCTTTGTGTATAAAACCATCTTTCACATGTTTTGAGAACCTCTATGTAATAATTAGTATTAAATGTAAGTGCATCAGGGTTTATAAAACTGATGGTTTGCCGACAATTGGCTTTTGGGTCAGCCACACTCAATGCAATATGAAGATCTCAACTTGAAGACCAAGAACCATTTAGCCTTAGCCTGGTCTTTTTGCTCTGCTTTCTACAGAAATTGCAGCACATCTGTCTTTCCTAGTGTCCATAGAACTGTCCATCTGTCAGCTGTTTTACAAGAGCAGCACTTTAGTAATGCATGTTTGTTCTGTTGTGATCTCTTTTTTTTTTTACTTAGATCTTCTTAGGGGACTTTATGTATGTATCTTTTTTTCCCTTCGAAATGCTACAGTGGTGTGAGGTTTTAATTTAACTCTTGAGTACTGGCTTTGGGCTGTGCAGTTTCTGGATTATCCTTCCCTGTCATGTCATTTTACATGTCTTCCTCTAACTGTGAATCATACTGTTCAGAAGGGTGTGCCAAGTTATTGGTGGCCTTACAAATCACCTCTTTCCTTCATTAAAATAAAGTCCCCTGCAGTGCTATAGAGTTTAGGCCATGTTAGGGTTGCAAATTCCATGTTGTATATTCAATACTGTATAGAAGTCATGTATGATGTCTTGAGCACTGGCTTTGGGCTGGGCAGTTTTTGGATTATCTTTCCCTGTCATTCGGTCATGTTATCCACCCCAATGGTAAATATATTCAATCGGTAAATGTACACTTCAAAAGAAAAACTAGTAAGACTTCTATTCCAGCCAATTCAATGAGATGGGGGATCTGATGACAGTGATGTAATGGCACCATTTATGTCACGTGCACACACAGTAAATGAATACCAACACAACCTTCTACATGTTCTTTCACCATTTATTAATTCACCAAATACAGTGAAAATGGCATCATAATATACAATGAATCATTCTTAGAATGTCATGACATTTTTGTTGCTTTTTTGCTTCATAAAATGATGTTTCATTATTGAAAATATTAAGGTTTCATGCACAACAAACCATATTCAGTTTTCTTCAAAAGAATGGTACAAAAGAAATAAAATAAAAAAACACAACTTGAATGTCCAAAAAAGTGGTCAAATAACAACGTGTTATTTGAAGGTACTCGTAAACAGTGCAATAAATTCTAAAGTCGCCATTTCTAACAAATCCATCAGCGAAGCTCAAGTCACAGTATAATATTTTGTAGTAATAGTTTAACATTGATGTGTGCAAAAACCGAAACACATTCAATAAGTCTTTTTTCCCAAATACTTGATATAGAATGAGACAGACAAAACCAGATCTCTTAGATTCTCTGTTCGTCTCAGTCTGAATATCCTTTCCCAAGTACAAACATTTTTGTTGATGAATTGTAAGACGTTAGACTAGCATATCATTTAAATAACAAATATTTAGATATAAAAATACAAATATGAATTTTGTTAAAAATAAGCGTGCCAGGGTAGATAGGAATGGTGGAGACACCCGCGTTGGCACCAGGATTGGAAGTTCATGCAAAGAGATGGAGAAAAAAGTAAACTTTTATTTAACCAAAGGAAAAAAAACCATCTTCGTCAGTCTTTTTTTATTATTGTTATGTTTTTTTTTTACCATCCCTGCTGGCTTGGGCGGAAAACAAAACTTCCGTCATTTGGAACTATTGGAATTAAGGGATGAATTTTTGCGGGTTTGTTGAAGTCGCCCGCCTGTACACTTGTTGCATTACAAAAAACAAAGCTGAAAAAAGCTGCATTTTCCTCCTAAGATCGTTTAATTATCAATGTATTTGTTGAACTTCAAATTAAAAAAAATGAAAACAAAAAAAAAAACAATAAAACGGTGCTGTCCTTGTATATATTTCTGAAATGTTACATACATCAGGTCGTTTAAAAAATGCACGGGATTTGAATGTCTGTGATTGCTCTTTTTAAAAAACAGCTCTAGCAGCATTAGGAATGCATTCTGCCTTTCGACAGTGCTGAATAGAACAGCTCCTTCGAATGCGGCGTCGCGGATCGTGTTTTCAATGTTACTTAGGTATGGGAAAAGAAAAGATGATCTTCGAGCTTAGATACTGTACAGCTACAGAAATAGTGCTTGAAATGAATTTCAGCTTCCAGTTGATGTCGGTGATGTTGTTGTTGTTTACAGCGCATTTTGGAAGAAGGTGGTGATGAAATGGCAAGTCCATCCATCGCTATACATCGGCAGGAGTTGAGAAGCGAAGCTGCACGAATCAGCCATCTCGACAGCTTTTCTGCGCAGCGGTGGTTTGGAAATCGGGTTTTGTTTGGAGAATTGCCAGCAACCCCAAAATAAATCTTGGTCTCTCATTCTTTTCTTTCTTCTCTCTTTCGTCTTTCTTTCCCTGTCTTTTCCCCCCTTCGTTTCATCCCTTCTGCGTTTCTCCTTACAATCCTCAAACATGCACAGCCGAAAAGTGCTTCAAACCGGTGAGAAAAAAAGTCTGCAAAGGCTCCCTTTACTTGTTTAAACGCCGGGTGACGACTTGTCCGTCATCCCCTTAAGCACCTCATCTATTCGGTCGTCTTCAATCACCACTGCAGGGGGGAACGGAAGAAAATGGTTTATATATTGCACATATGTCTATTGCAGCGTAACATTTGAGAATAAAAACGAAAGGTGTTTCAGTTGTTTTCATTCACACTCACAAAATGTTGAATGTGTCAAAACCATTTTAACATAAAATATGAGTGAAGTGTATATGGTATGGATAATATAAAGTGAATGATCAGTAATAATACCCAATCACTTGATTACGCAATGTAGTCCTGGATGATGTCAATGAAAATGTGTGGTTTCATACATTCAAACGCGTCATAAATAAGGTAGAGCCACATAAATCATTATAGAGGGAACTGTGTTAGTATGACATCACCTTTAATCTGTAGACGTGCTGACTAATTTAACGGGTAATCAATTGGTCGCTCGCAATAAAGAGTTAAGTCTCAAGGGGTATTATCAACTCTGAGCGCTGATCCTGTCCTACTGCGTGGTTTTATACTTTTTGACCATCCTAAAAGGACATACTGTATACAGAATCACCGTGACATGTTTCTCCGTAGTGGAGGGAACATCTGTGACATACAGTGGAAGTGTCTTACTGCACCTCAATTAAAGGTGGCTCTCCAGACTTCAAAATAACTCTTCGAATATTTTTAATGTATCTATAGGGCTAAATACAAAAACAAAACGCTGACTTTTCACAGGTCTAACGTAGAAAAGGTCGCAGAAAGAAAACAAGTTCTCAATTTGTTTATATACGGAGAATTTCTACTGAAATCCAAATTAATGGAAATAATAAAAATAAAATGAAAACGGGAGCTAGGAAAGAAGGCGGCTTATAAACTATTTTAAAGCAATCGGTTACTTCGGCGTAGTTATTAAGGAAGGGGTAATGCAAGAAAATAGAAAATATGTTTTTCATTATTTGTTGTTGTTGTTATTATTATTATGTAACTGCTTTGGCGTAGTTAATTTTTTTCTGTTTCTATTTTACCAGGACTGATCATTCAGGGGGTAACAGTAGTAAATATAACAAGATATTTTGATTTTTTTTTGTTCCTGCTTATGGTTGTTTTCGTAATCATTGGTGCTCTCCGGCACATTAAATTTTGGAGAGACCAGAACGCAGCAATACATCATTTTCAGTTCATTCGTTCTGTCGGCTTACAAGTCGATAGCTGCAGCTTTATTCTTAATTCTTAAGCTTTTCCACTCAAGTATTTGTGCGAACTAAGTATACCGTCGCTTCACGAATCTGTCATCTTGTTAAAGTAAAATATTAAATGTAATAAGCTTGGTAAAAAAAAACATTTTAGTATATGTACTATTGTTTTTCCCACTGCTTACCTCGCTTAGCTCTGCCGATCTGTCCAAGTTTGGGTGGTCTCTTTGCTTGAGGTCCCCCGAAGAAGGTGTTGGTGTCTTGGAGCCGACAGCTGAAGGAAATTTGGCTGACTTCGCTGTCTGCTCCATAGCCGGTCATTTTCCCTTCGCTGTATGGCAGGATTTCAGACATTATGGCACTAGATGCTGAGCACGGAAAAGATAAAATGTGGAAAGCTGGGTGCAAATTGTCTGTGTAGTGCAGATTCCCCGAAGATAATTGCACTTTATGTCGTCCTCTTACAGTCCCTTTAAGCTACTTGTCACCTGTAGTCTTCGTGTGGAGTTAGCTAAGCGAGGTGCCAAGGTGCCGCACACAAACACACTGCTGCTGTGGAGGTTGCTTGTAGGTGTGCAAGAGAGAGGAGCTAAGTGTTCGCTTGTGCGCTCGGAGAGGTCTGATGAGAAAACTGGGAGATCCCGGGATCATAAAGGAAACCCAGGCGGAACAGTGAAGTCATCCATCCGGGTTTGAAGTGATGCGGGGGAGGGGGAGGTTAGGGAGGGGATGTGGGGGAGTGGGAGGAGAGAGGGAGACTAACTCGGAGAACGCTCGGAAAGGCAGGAATAAAGAGTGACATCAACAGGCGAGAGGGAAAAAACAGCAGGGACTGCGGGAAAACAGCGATCAATCCACAGTCTCGGCGCTCTGGAGAAACGGAGCGGGAGGGCGGATTCTTGTTTTAAGATCGTTATTAGTAGTAGGTAGATTTTGGAATTAAGTTTATTAAATACGTTTTTGAATAACCCAAAAAAATCAAGAAAAGAAGATCCGATAATTCTGTGGACATACGATTGCTATTTAGTTACTGTAAGGATTTTAAATGAATAGCTAACGAGCCACTGTGGGGAAGAGTAGTCCTGCTAGAGTGAATTATTATTATTATTATTATTATTATTATTATTATTATTATTATTATTATTATTATTATTATTATTATTATTATTGTTATTATCCCTACACTTGTATTTCTAGGCACAATGGAGTTCATTCCGTTCTACAATCTGTCACTTCAAATCATTACCTCTGAGCCCGAAAAATGTCCATATTTTACCCGTTTGTGCAAATAATTTGTTCAGTGGTGTTTGGGTCGAAGCTCCGATAGACATAAAAGGGGCAAGATCACCTAGACAAATAGCACAGTGGTGTTTAAACCAGTATTGTCTTTCCCTGATAATCTGGTATTCAAATACATGTATATCTGCTTACATTTACATGCATTTAAATTTACATTTACAATCCATTAACGTCTTATTCAGTCTGAGGGAGACCTCAGTCAAGGCTTGACTATAGATTACCTGTGAAAGGGCTCAGGTGGTACTCCGCGCCAGCATGAAACAAATGAATGTGCAAATTGTAGGTATGTAGTGAAGATAATGTGAGGTTGTGTCCTGTTATTGCTGTTTTATTCAATTTCGCAGTTCAAATTATTTGAATCCTTCAGTTAAAATAATGCACTCCCCGATTAACATTGTGCACGCCATGCTAGTGATTGACTAAAATGAGAAAACACATACAACCCTGGCTTCATTACGTTTGGTACTTCAAGACTCTCTAGGGTTTCATTTGAATGTAGATTTACGCAGCCAGCAACAACATCCCATATCACACAGGATTCTTGTCCCAAAGGACATAACGTACATGTAAGTATTCGTTATAAATGTAATATTTGTAAATGTTACGACGTGTTAGACGTGGAGTTCGAGTTGAGATTCGAAATAAAGTGGATTTAAAGACTTGGGGACGTTGTTACAAAGCCGTATGTAGCCTCTATGAAAGGAGTATGCTGGGCATACAAAACCTAATTCAAATAAAGCATTTCCAGAAACCCCCAAAAAGGAAAGAATCTGAAAACCTGCAAAATATATGATACAGACCCCAGTGGTGATCCGGCTCGCACATAAACCTTCACAACGAAACCTGTCCTGACCCGATCCTAATACTTTGTGTGAGGTACTGTACAGTATATGAGTAAGTATACTGTAGCAAGCGCTTCTGGAGTTATACAGTGTCATTTACATTTCATTCCGTTTCAGCACTCTGTTTTGCTTTCATTTCTAGGTACCATTACCTGGAATACAAATATGTATTTTTTTAGGCAGGGGGTGATAATGGTCGTTAAGTAAGTAGTTAACGATTTTCAGGAAAATAAAGTCGTCTCCATGCCAAGGCCCGGTGAACATAAAGACGTGCCTTTGTGATGATTAGTATGAGACGAGAACAGATAAAAGAGGAGAGGAAAGAAGAGGAGGTGGCTGGGGTGGCGCATCGTGCCAACACCCGCAAATGAATTATTTCACACCTCCTCTTGTGTTTTCACTTTCGTCACTTCTGCCAAAAGGGACGACAGCTGCAGTTATGCCCTGACACCTCTGTGCGTGTGTTGGGATCTCTAAAGGGGATAACATTTTACCGCACAGGGTTTCTAAGGGTTCCAGAGACCACCGACATTTCCCGTGTACAACACGGGTCATAGCACAGTAATTTCAAATGTAATGCTAAACACGTAATTCTAAAACGTACTGACACAATTGGAGCCACACCTATGACGTTTTCCCTAGTCATAATATGGCTTACATTCTCCACTAAAAGCAACGAGAGAACAAATAGAGACCACAAATGTTATCTATTTTAGGATATCAGTATGTCATCATAAATAAAGTGAATATGTGTCACTTTAAAAATAAGGTGATATATATTCAACGGAGACTCGGGATAAGACGACCGAACATATTCCTGGTCTGAAAAGATACTGAATGGACAATACTGTATGTTATATTGTTTTCTTTGCGATATTCCGGCCATTCAATGATTTTTTAAGCAAATTGGAAACGTATATATCTGACCATAATAAAACATTTTCTGATGCTTTTCAGACAGTTGAAGGGTAATCCCCATAGTGTCTCCTCCTTTATTAGCAAAACAATCGTCGTATGTATAGTGGTACAGAGTGGGAGGGAGATGTCGTCATCACCCAACGTCAATTGCATTGATAGCTCGCCGCTACCGTGCCTTCACATCGGAAGTCCTGCTTTGCCGCAGTCTCTACCATTTTGAGACTGTAGAGCGGTAAAACCCTTGCGATTGGAGAGCTTGAATATAATGGGTAATTAAACTGTATGAGGAAGCAGTACATTACAAGCGATACGCCGAGCACTAGCAGCATACAAATAGCATTTGCTATTTTTTCACCTTATAAAACTGAACTACAAGATTGACGTAGAAGAACCTGTATGGTTTTGGTGCCGTATTTATTCATGATTGAAATACCGCACGCCTTTCGTACAATTGTACAAGCAGAGAGTAATTTCACGCTGGAAACAAAAAATGGAAATGGCCACATTTCGACTGGATCAATTTACCCTAAGACACACTACGGTGGTGCCTTTTGAAATTAGTTAATTGAAATAAGCTGGGTGTGTTTTTTTTCGTAAAACACACTATGTATGGTCCACTAGAACCAAGAGATAACACTTAGTACTCGGATCGCGCTTTGTACTGTATTCTGCGAAATCAGTGTTCAGCACCACAGACAGCGCCCACCAGCGCACTGCTGACGGTTATATTGCCAATACTGTAGCTCTGCTATCCCTTCGAGTCTGTATCCGTTCACATCGGACTAATTTGTGTATTTGTGTATAATTTGAGCTCCCCACTGTAGCTCAAATTAGCTAATCGTTTAAAATCCTAATAATAATCCTAAATAATAATAATAATAATAATAATAATAATAATAATAATAATAATGGCACATAATGAGCTGAACGGCAGTACTTGTTCTAATTAAACTTGGGCCATTTGCAGTCATAAAATCAACATTTTAATTTTAAATAGTTTTATTAGTTTTAACAATTTAAATTAATATTTGTTCAGTTCTGTGTTTATGATAACTTTTCATACAAGTAAGATGTAGGCTGACATAAAATAACAACAAACAAGGAGAAGAGAAATATTTAAATCTTATTTTTCATCAAATGAATACTATTTTTTAAATCAAAAGTTTTTTTTTTTTTCCAGTGATACAGTTTTAACCACAACTTCCAGAAGCCTCCATGTTCTATAGCAGTTATTTTATTCACGTGAATTCAATCGCATTAATTTAATTGGTTATTCCTGAAAAACTTAAAACTTTGTTGAAAGTGATTTTTTTGCTAGGTCTACGTCACCTGAAAGTTTCAAGTCTCACACGTCGAATAAATAGGAGCAATAATATTAGAAATTAATTACAACTATCTCAGCACCTGTATGCTTTAATTACACGGTTTTATTGTTTGTTCGCAAATTCTGCAAAAGGTGTGAAAACTACTCTTTCGTACTTGCTGGGAATCTCCAGAGTAATCTGCTTGTATGTTTGCATACAGCTAACTGTGTGCACTTGTGTCGTTTATTATCGCCACCCCGCTATTTAACTCTGTCCTCGTCTGTATGCCAATCAGTCCTGAAGGGTCCAAGACCTGTACTTTTTATGTAGCACCAGTTAACAATAACAACTGAGACACAGCCTGCTTATAGTGGTTGCATGACACTTCAATTTGTGTAGTACCAGTAGTACCAGCTCCCTACATGCATGGAAAAAACAAGTGTAGGCTTCTAGCAGATAAGAAGGGCACCTCAGGCAGACCAATTAGAATGATATTTATGGGATAACGGAGATGCTTAATTCTGCAAAAATGCTCGGAGCAATGTCAGTCTGTGGAAGGTCTATACACGTACATTATGAGTCTACATGGGATGTGCTCATCGTAATTCACTTATAATACTGTATGATACAGTAACTAAAGGATATGGAACACATGCATTTAAAAGACATATGATATTATTAATAAGATCAGTGTTAAAAGCACGTGCATGTACAGGGACATAAAAAACCTTAACCAGACACATTTCTTTATAATCATTTCAATGGGATTCAATGCACATTAAACAGCTGAGCTCTTGACTGACTAACCAAAGTACAATTAAATCAAAGAAGATGTGGAAGACAATCCAGAAGAGTTTGGAGCTCTCCAGGACTACATTTCCATTTATTATACAGAGCAATATTGTATACTTGAGCTTTGACAATATAATAATGGTATGAGTGGCAATACCCATAACCAACCTGGTCTAACAGAGTGATTAAACTGCATTAAAGTGGATTAATGGATAATTTAATAAGATGACACCACAACACTAGTGAAACCCTGGCTCTAGCTTATCTAAAATAGTTCATCACACCACATTTTGAAGTAACTAAAATGAAAAAAAGTGGCTCTCATGAAGTAAAACCTTGGTGAGGATTTTAACACACCTCTAAAACCATGGTTCTACAGCCCTCAAAGAATTGGGTTGTGTAACCTTTACTGCAGGTTATTTGTGGTTATTAGATCAAATAAGAACTTCACTCTGAAGGACATTCAGTTCACCATGTTTTGCTGACATGGTCAGTTTGACTTTTTAACCATATATGGTTCTACATCTAGCAGTAGACCTTGACCCTTATAGTTGCCTTATGTAGGAAGAATTTGACCTATTGCTCTTTAAATTCCAAATGCTGAATTACTGTACTGTGCTTGAGCTGTGCAGGTAAGCATAAACTCTGGGTCAGATGAAAAAGCTGAAAATGACAGAATGTCATTATGCCATTGACCAAATAATTATTTCTACCCTGATTTTTTTGGTTTTCCATTCACCATGAACATTTTTTTACTCCATGTTAAAAAAGCCAAAGAAGCACCTGTACATGTGCCGAATTAGAAAAATGATGCCTCATATTTGGTTGTGAAGCTGTTGTTAAGATGTTACAAAGCAATCTAACTTTTTTTGTGTGCATGCCATAAAGTGAAATACACCTTTGTAGTGGTTAAACGATTAACCTTTTTAAACAAACAAAAGGAACTATTGGGCATATAAACGAGTAATTTTCCAAATCACCAATGTTGGTTTTTTGGGGGTAATTTTAATTCTACATCGTCATAAAATCCGGAAAAATAATTTAATTTGCATGGTCCAAAATCATTAGTTTTTGGACTCAAAAAGAGCTGTGGGGCCGACATGTCATGTGTATGCCTCTTTGTCAGAGAAGTCTTTTTTTAAAACTCAGCTATATTAACCTTCAATCCTATATTAACTTTCTGCAAATTAAACAGGACATTTTCTTTTTCTATGTAATTAATGGTTAGCAGGTATCCCATGAACTTCTGAATTTCATGTATTGTACACAAATAAACAGAAAAAAAATCAACAAAAACGAAAAATGACCAAACCCTGTCCAGCACGACAGACCTGCAGGTTTTCATTACAGCACCACCCTGTTCTAATTTAAACTAATTAGAGGATTAATTGAAGCATTTAACAGATTTTCCCAGGCCTGCAAATGCTTATAGCCTTCTATTATTAGTTTTGGGAACGACTGACTTAAACTGCACGACTTAATGCAGAAACTGAAATGGTTTAAAGATGTATACCTTTGAATTTTAATGCTATGATTAATAATAACTGTTTCTTTTTTAGTGAATGATCAATTCAAGATCTGGGGTTCTGTCTGCGTGGAGTTGATATGTTCTAGCAGTGTTCTTGTGGGTTTCCTTCAAGTGCACTGGTTTCTCCTCCCACAGTCCAAAGACATGCTGGCAGGTTAATTGGCTCCTAGCAAAAATGGTGTGAGTGTGTGCATATCTGTGTCTGTGTATCTGCCCTGAGATGGACTGAAATCCTGTCCTGGGTGTTCATCCTGCCTTGTGCCTGTTGCTTGCTCCACCACAACTCCAAATTGAATGGAGCAAGAAAAAAATTCGAAGATCGAAGATGGATGAAATGAAAAAGAACCGGTTTGTTGCCATGCCTGCAAAACTAGCTAACAAACCCCCCCCCAAAACCTCAGAAGAACAGGTAGTTGGGAAGAAAATGTGAAAAGCAGCACCCCTCTCAAAGCCCAGTCAGCCTGCAAAGAAAAGGGGAGCTCTCCTGTCGTCGCTTGCAGCTGCCATCCTGTTCATTCTCCCTGTATTGTCAACTAACCAGCTGACTCAATCAATTCTAGCGCCTCTGACAAGGGCATTCAGCGGTAGCTCTGTGTTCCCTGCACTACTCGTCTGGTTACAGCCTCGTCACTGCTGACTCACTCATGTCATTAGTTTAGAGGGAAGGGGGAAATGAGCCCCTGGCATGTATTAGTTGTAAGCTGGTTTTCTGCTCCCCCACCCCAAGCAACTTTAATCTTCAGGACTATCAGCGGTGTCAAGTGTCTCAGAGCTTAACTATGTTCTTATGAAATTTGAGGAGCCTAGTTTTTTATTTTGGAAATTTGTGTGACAGAGAAGTGTTGGATAAGGACGGTGTTATTACGGTTATTGGATTGTTGTTCTTTTTATCCTGGCTGGGGGCAGTTGTTTGTTCCACAGAGTCGATTTGCCATCAAATCCAAAACTAAAAAAGAAAAAAACATGAACGAGTCAGCTGCCCTTTTAATTCTTTTCAATAGACTGGAGGTCTGGATACATAAACTCTTGGACCGGCCTCAGAGCAGGTGTTGCACTGGCAACATGACTTCACTCCCTGCCCTTTGCCTTTCACCTTCAACCTCTCCCTTGTGATTTACCATCTGGATTTGAGCTGACCTCCTAGGTCTCAGTCAGCAATGTATTATTGTCTCCATTAACTGAGAGCAGCAAAAGCTCTTTTACATGTGCCTTGAAAAACGTACAGGGGCTTAAGGAATTGTGCAGTTAATTCTATTATTTGCATGTGTTTACAATTTGGGTTGGCTGATGTGGAAATCCAATGCAGGATAAAATCTGCCTGATTTTACTCTAGTATGGACCTTTAGTGAAAATCTCTATATACTGTAATGTAAAGCTCTTGGGTGTTCAACAGTATCACTTACCAAGTGCTGAGTGTGTCTGAGTCCATTCAACATTGTCTCCTACAGTATCTGCATTAATATCACAATCAATACACCTGTCAATACACCAGTCTGTATCCCACAAATTCTAAATATGAGCTATACAAATAATATAAAGTCTTCTAAATAGTATAACTTATAAACAACAACAAAAAAACATCTTAACGGTATAAATAAATATGCTAATAAAAAATAAATAACTTTTGAATCTCAGATCTATTGGAGTTTAAAGGCACAGCAACCTGGATTTGTAGCAGAAATTAGGTTATCATTCTAACATTTTTTCTGCTCTCATAAGAGGCAGTAAAACTGTTTAGATCAGCTTCAGGCTCTGATGCTTGCTGTTGCAGTCGATTTTAAAAATGAATATATATATATATTTGTATGCTGTTGCCATTTTACTCTTCTAACTGAGCTGTAAGTAAAAAGTTTTGGAAGACAGCTGGGTGTCTTCAGTAATTGGCACAAACTGCCAGCCTTCAATTTGTGCATATCTCTGACTTCCAAGGATGCTACCATTAACAGTAAGTGCTTTTGATGTGGCAGTCTTTAGCACAATAGTGAATATGGGCAGGAGCTGTCTGAGTTAGACACACACTGTAACAGCTGTCACCATGGTCTCTCCACTAACAACCTCCTAAGATTCAAACAGTATGCTAATATGCTGTAGAACTGCATGTGAAACATTTTCACCTGTCACAGTTCATTATTCTCAACTTTGTGCTCCTATTTTGTGTATAATTCAGAGTTTACATTATGAAGACACAGTTTTGGGAGTGTGCAATGCGACTTTTTCCGACAATCATCCCCTTACCCTGGTGTATTGTTTCCAGCAAGACCTGATCTTTCTGAACCATAATGGAAGCACAATTTGAAAAATGACAAAGCCTGTAAAGTCTCTGATTCTAGTGGCTAGCCGTAGTATGAAAAAGTACAAAACGAAATTTCGGCAGCACAACTTGAACAGGAAACAAATTTTCCTTTTTTAAACAAATCTGTAATCCTAGCTTCTTTAACAAATAAGTACCAAGGATGAACCTCAAATACTTCATAGGTGGGTTAATTCCCCATAACATGAAATTGCAAAACCATTATCACAAAACAGGGAAGGCATTCTTTACAAGAGTCTGAGCAGCATTAAAGGCATCGTCCAGCAAATAAAAGCATTAAAATCATATTATATTTGAAATCACACTTTCTAAGAATTTTTGATAATTGTTTTTGTTGCCAAGAAAAAAATGTTTACTACAGTACAGTAAAAGTTGCAAAGAACTCCAAACTCTTCAGGGTGAAATTTCCAGAAGCTAGTGAATAAAAGTGACATACTCAACCTGTAGCAAAAGGTAATGGCGTTTCCGTGTTGAGTGACTTTTTAATTCAGAACCCTAAAGGAGCAATGAACTCTACCTCAGGCAGATGTTTAAAATGTGGGAAAGAACAAAGAAAAACAATAGCTTGTCTTGTGATGCTTAAAATGAAAACAAAAGAAGTTGTTTTACTACCTTGTTTCTCTGAAGTGCTGCAAAGAAGGGATGACACAACCTGTGAAGTTACAAAGATTCACACTGTTTGTAGAGATGTTGGTTGTCTTTGAAAAGGATAATTGAACCTTATCCAAAACTCTCATTCCGTAAGTGGTGAAACTTATCACATGGGGACCCCTTGTGGACACTTTGTGAATAACAAGAAACATTTCTGAAGTCGGAACACGTTTCATAACAACTATTTGACATCCTAACCCTATACTTGTACAATGTTCTTCATTCACAATCTGAACTATGAAGTGTGCATTCCCAACTCCCATTAGCCTAGACTTCCATTCCCATCATTAACTGCCCAAGAGAGAATTCCAATAAGATCACTAACAGAAATGTTAAATAACAAAAGCACGACTAGTAAAATCTAGCTGGTTTGATCTAATTTCCCACTAGGTAAAGTACACTATGAAAATGCAGATTCAGAACGTCTTATGTAGACTGCACAAAGTAGAAGAAACCAATACCAAATGTGGATCTCGTAAATAAGAAAGTGTCAGAGAAAAATCCCTTGCTAGGGAACACAGTTGCTACAGTGTACATATGATGTGAACTTTTCCTGAAGGTGACTGCTACCCGGGTCCCACAGCTGCTGCAGTTATACTTGGACTGCTGTCCTCTGTGACCTACAATAGGAATGACATCAGGAATGAGTCATATGGCTTCCACCTGCTCAACTGCATTACTGTTGTATGCGTTTTGTCCTCTGCCCCCTCTTTTCTCATGTCAGCACCAGGAACTTCTTATGTAGACTTTGCTGAACTGCAAAGTACAAATAAACGCTTATTTTGGAAACCATTTGTTTTCTATATTGTTTCTGACCATTCTGAAATTCCTCTAAATGCTGTCCCCCATATTTGTATGCTTTTATATTGCATTCAGTATAGTTTTGCTTGGAGTGCACACATCAGTTACTGTCTTTGTATATTAACTTTTCTTTAAACATTTTCTTCTTGAAACATCTTCTTCTTTAAACATTTTCTTCTGTTATATACAGTAGTAATGTCTCCCAGCCACAAACACTCTCTCAAAATGAAAAGGCAGATTAAGACTGGGGATTTTCTTTTAATTCCTCTATTTCCATTTTCAATCATGTTGACCAACAACATGGTCTATTACCATAACAGTACAGTAAATTTTATCACAAGTCAGTCTTTCATTGTCTTATTTTAATCGTGTTCATTATTGAAAATGCAGGTGCAAAAAAACATTTGCAAATGCATTAGATTCATTGTGCATCCTCACCTTCTGCATGAAGAACAGTAGTCTCTCTCATTCTGTCATTCAGTGCTATCACATCCTACTCATACAGCTCACTGCTTTCATGCAACTTCACATTTCAAGATCTTCATCTAACTGTAAATTAGATACTGCCAAAAGAATTCACTTATTTCTGGAGCACAACCCTCAAATGTATGCAGAACACAGACACCATCAGTGACAACACCAAATCTTACACATGCTTGGTCAGCATTTGGAGGACACTAGTGCAATGTAATTCCTCATCATATCCAGCAATGCTTAGTTAACTGAGTAGTGCCACTGTGCTTTTCTGGCTGTAGTAAATGGATGGCACAGCTTGCCTGTAGGAGTTATTCTAGAGTGCTGCAACCAGATCACTCCCCTGGGACGTTTTAAATTGAAGACCTCATTAAGTTGAAGATTTTTGAAAAATGAAAGAGAAAGCACTTTTAACACAGTGCTGATAGTACTGGCAAGCATACCCGCTACTGTGCTTCTTTAAAGTCTCAATCGAGAACATTTTTAAAATAATCATAAATTCTGATTATTTTCAAAATAATACTGTGATTATACTAAAACCGAGCAGTTTAAAGCACCTGAAAAGATCACAGCAGTTCAGGGTTGTTATATAAAGTAAAACCCAGCATCTTTGTGAATACCAGTTTAGCCTCAATACCCCCTATCAATAATCTTAATCATTGTGCACTCCCAATGGCAAATGATTGTACTCAAGCAGATGTTTGAATGTCTGATGCCAGATTTTGTAATATTTTGTAAAGCATATTTTGCTACCACCAGAAAATATTTAAATAAGTAGTAATATGGTTCACCTCCTTAGTCTCACTAGTCCATATGAATGAGAATGAGTCTGATAACATACTATGGGGGATTCCTGTTGCTTTGAACAAACAGTTAAGGATGTAGATGGGCCTCTCTGATGAAATGACTTGCTGGCATTCCAGAAAAAAAAATCAGATCTTTATTCTCTATGATTTGTTCATACTGTGCACACCAGGAAATGATGTTCTGCAATTACCCATTCATAACTGTCATTATCTTCCATCTCTTTACTGTTTCCTCAACTTCCATTTTTACAACAATTGCACAAAGTACCTACTGTATTTGAGCCACAGCAGCTTGTTGTACAACTTCTATAAATAAGAATTATATAGTCCGTAACATATTTTTTTTCAAGAGGAATAATTTATTATGTCTTTTTGTTTTGTTACCCATACTTCCAGAAATACGGCTGCAGAATTAAGAACGGAAACAACAAGGTCAAGATTTAAGGCATCTCGAGATACTGATGCTCTCGCCTGGTCTCATGCCTGGTAGAGGGGCACCACCCTTACGATGGGCTGCCTGCAGATGGGGCAGGTGGGCACAGGCAGGGACTGGAAGCAGCTAAAGCAGCAGCAGACGTGGCCACACTCCAGCAGGACGCAGCTGCGGGGGTTGGACAGGCAGATGACACAGGCGTTCTCCAGGGACTCCGCATCTTCCAGCTCTCCCTGGGGGGCAGTCCGGCTGGGGCCCATCCTCTCAAACTGCCTGCGCAGCTCCTCCCGGGCCCACTTCTCTCGCAGGTGTCTGTAGTATCTCCTGGCCACCCACAGGAGCACTGCCACCCCTGCCAGGGCGCAGATGGACGCCAGGACCTGCCAAATGGTGGCTCGCCCTTCTTCTTCCACCAGCATGGTATGAAAGTCAGAGGTGGTGAGGAAGTATTCGGAGCCGTCAGCCGGAGGCCTCAGTTTAAGAACTCTGTCTGAGTCCAGAATCAGCTCCCCCACCCCTGTCAGGGTGGCACCCACCTTGAGCATCTCTTCCGTCTCCAGCTGGCCCTTGGGCTTCTCTCCGCTCAGGTACTGGCCAATGATGTCTGTGAAGCCATAGCTGGCTTGGTGAAACTTCTCGTGCACAATCTCCATCTCCAGCCCTGATGCTTCCAAAGGACAAAGCACCCGCACTGCTGCGTTCCCAGAGCCCACGAGATTAAAGGGCACCATGTTGATCCTTTGATGTAAAATCCTCTCGCTGTCCGTCCTAGACGACAGTGACAGAGGACAGGTTAGGTGAGTTTTACGTTTGAATTATTGTCGAAATAAAACAATGAAAAAGGCATGGATAGATACTATTCAAATCTATGAAATGAAAGCCTTTACCTAGGTCATTTCTGAAAAACTCTCCAGACAATGTCTGAATACAATTCTAAAAGAACATCCACATACAAATATGCCAAAGCCACTGGATATTCTTCTAAGTCACACTGTTTAACTTACTTACAGTGGGGTCATTTGTGTACCATAAGTCCTACATACTGTTAGAGATCTTACAAAAAAAATTAAACTGGAACCCAAGGTTTCAACCCGGAACCCCAAAAACCAAAAGTCATGTGGAGGTACAACTACCTACCAGGCACGTGCCAGGCTGTTCCACACCAGCTTGTGCTCCTTCAGGACAAGTCTCTGCACCACTCCTAGGCTGCCCTCCTGGAACTGACTCCTGAGGGTTTCTCCAGCAGGCTGCACTGTCCCTGAAGGGAATGTGAAGAACAAAATACTGAATTTGTTAAATGGAGGCTTAGTTTTGTGCCATCTGAACTATTGCGGCAGCTGTGAGACGTGTGACTTATTTCCTGATGTAAAATTGAAATATTAGTGAACTAATCCATCGTATCACCTCCCCCAGCAGAAGCCTGAATTATCAAAAACATCCCGTCTTTAGGTCTGTGATTTAATGCATTTTACTGAAAGATAAAAAATCAAAAGCTGCAGCTTACCCTCAATAACAACATACTGGAGACATTTTCCAGGTGCTGCGTTTAAAATGTCGGCCAATTGTTCATCCAGACGCATCTGTGGAGCCTCCTAGAAAGCAAAGGCAAAAAGAAAGAAGGAACGGTTTAAAACAGAGAAGGAAAAACACAGTTTTTTCTATAGCTGCTCCTCAGTAATCAAAACCATTTTAATATTGAGAGATATCTGTTAAAATGATTATGTAAATGAAATACAGATATTCCAGCTACCTTTTTTAATCCAAATTACATTCAGTCCTCCAGATAGGTACTGTAATTCACTACTCTGCCTCTAAACATCTATTCAGACGAAGACTAGTTTTTGTTTAATATGTATTTTTAAATGCTAAACTCTGAGCGCTACATCAGCTTCACTGAACACCAGTCACACATTTCATCCAATTCTAGTTTAACTGTAATGGCTTCAATATGAAGGATCCTTATGAGACCCTTGTTATGCTGCATCTCCTTATCTATAAAACAAAGAGAGAACCTTCAGTGTGTCCACGGTTTTCTTCTTCTTCCGGTAGATATAGTAGAACAGCCCTGAGAATGCAACACTGGTTCCCAGACACACAAGATCCAGTGTCCTCAAGGGAATTCCTTCCATCTTCCAGTGATCAAATCTCTTTTACCCCCTGAAGATGGTACAGAAGAATAAGAAATATGAGAAACACAATAAAAAGGGAAGCTGTTGAAGTTGCCACACTTACTTTGCTATTGTTACAAGACTCTTATTCATCTGCTTTCAAACGGATCATCTAAATTGAAAGTTTTCACTGACCCAGATGCTATTATTCTATATATTGAATCAGCTTGTTTGGGTTTTGCCTTTTCGTCATCTGTACATTTTGTCCAGGCTCCTGCTAAATAATATAATTGCTTTGTATTTAATGGATGTTGCATTAAGGTCTGTTGTTTTCATTTACTTTACTCCTTTTAAAGTGAAAGTATGAGCTCTCAACAAGATATTTTTTCCTTCAAACAAAATGTTTGAGGCAATGACAATGTCGAGCACAATGGACACATGCTATAAATGCACATGGTAATCGTACTTTATGTGATTAAAAATCATAACACAAAACTTTGTTTTTAACTGTTGTTACTAAATCTCGCCCACAAACAATACTTCTTTCTACCTCTTCATGCTTGTGAAACTTTGGTTAAAAAAGTAGTAATCGCTTTAATTTCTATGAATTAACCCCAAGACTACTCTAAAAATAATCAAACTTTCTTTTTAAATATGGGGCCAATCAACGACTGATAACCTCCGTTCCAGATCGTCGTTCAGCCATAAATTCAATCAATAGTAAAAATGTTCGTATTCAATAACTAATATTCACTGATAGCACAAACCAGTCTCATAGAGAGAACATAGGTATTAAAAATACGCACTTCTCAAAGTCTAACCAATACTAACAGCAAAAGACGTAAAACTGGATGAAGTGACTAAACCAAAAATGATTGTGCAACGTTATCACTAATTATTTCGATGAACTCTTAAACTAACCTTTAACCTTTAAATAAAATCCTCAAACCTTCATAATATGCTGAGCTCCTTAGTTCCTGATAACTCCATGTTTGATGTAATCACATGATAGATGTTAGCTGAAGTGTCCCTAGTCATGTGACCAAGAAATATGTGCTGCGATAAATTAAAACAGATTTAACCATGATCATAAATTACAGGAAAGCTAAATAAAATCCGAATCGGAAAATATCCAAGTTAAGCTTTCTGTTTTTCTACACAATGTAGATTTTCTATGTCAAGAAAGTAGCAATGATTTTCAAAACATCGATCTTATGTTATCCTATTGCGGCAAGGACTCTACAACTAATGAAATATTTCCTCTGGCATTTGAACCCACTCCACGGCGTGCCACCCAAATTGACAATGGAACCCAGGTGGCGAACTCCTTCTAAATTTCTTTGGTGCAGTTTTGTTTATAATACCCTTAATCTACCACGCCCGTCTCCAAGGAAACGGGTGCGCCATGTTGAAACACATCTATGTCCCGCCTACTGCGAAGCCGTATTTGTTAATACTCCCGTCTGTTACAAAAACATAGCCATGTGATTGGTGTGTTTATGTCATCGTTTTGTGCTCAAATGGTCCCGCGCGGGCTGAGACAGAACGCGGTTAGAAATATTGCTTTTCTTGTCAGAGAAGGAAAATAAAAGGATTTTAGTGAATGTTGTGTGTGGTGCCTGTCACGTTTAAGAAAGGTGTTTTCAATCTGATGTTTAATTTAGTGTTAACCTGGAGTGCTAGTAGACCATTCGGAGAAGTGAATCTTGGCGTAAATCAAGTGAGTATTTGAAATTTAGTATCGTTCAACACAATGGAAATAAATACAACCTACCGTGATAATTTACTGTTCATTTCAGTGAATCCATGTAAGTGCTTGTGATAGTCCTACTGTAGAGAGTACGAAAAAAGTCCGTGGCTAGATTAGACGTAGTCTATGAAAGACATAATATATTTGATCTTGTTTATTGTCTGTGGTACTGCTACCTCCACTTAATTAATGTTAATAAACTGTTAAAGTACAATAAATATACTGTGGACATATTCCAAAGGCCAGGCAAAAGACGGACCCACACGGCTATGTTCTGACGTTTGAATCCTTGCTCTTTTTGTAGCAATGCTCAATAACAATGTACAGTAGCCAGTTATAGACATATATATTATAACATCATGCAAAATACTTAGAATGTTTCAAAGAATAACGAGAATAACGCATAACAACAAATTATTACGGTGAATTTCAAGTACACGAGAACAGGAAAATGTAGATTTCTTTAAGATGGAGTATAACTCAAAAAACACTATTTTTGTTTTAGCGCAGGGCTGGTGGTACACTGGAGTCTCTGGCCTGTAGAGAATGGTGTCCCTGCAAGCTCTGAGCTGTTCTGAGCAGCTGGGCTCACCTCTCAGGTGGACCTCCTTCTGCGGAGTCACCTCTGAGAATGCGGTTCCTCTCCCACTTGACGAATCCCTCGACCTCAACAAGTCCTACCCATGTGCCAGGAAGGCAGGCCGCCACAGGCGCTGGCCACCTCAACTCTTCATGACGAGTAGATCTATCACAGGTCAGAGAGCTTGCAAATCTCTTGGAACATAGCCCAAGAGAAGGATTTGTTATGTTGCAGAAGTAGACTGATTTAAACTTGAGGTCAAATCTTTAGGTGAGAGATTGTGCAACCTATAGCATTTCATGCATGTGCAAAAATACGTATTTGAGAGCAGTTCAGCTTAAAGCCTTATAAGGTTACAGGACTGCAAACTTCAAACTATTTTACATTTCATGTGGAGAGTAAACTAAATTGCTTTATAAAAAAAACACATTATGTCCATATGTTTGCATACATAATGTTTGTCAGATAATTTTCTGTGCTTATGGAAGCAGCCAGCCTGTATGATATAAGGCTTTATAACATACTTTCATGTTTTTTTAGGACAGTGTTGTTCTTATGTTGATATTTAGGGTATTCTAGCTGAAAGCACAGGTGGTTATGCAACTCAGCCATTGTTCCTTTAGTTTCAAACTTCTGTGTTTAGATTGTGATTTTGAGTTTTTCATAGAATACTGTTCAAATACAGTACAGACTGTGCACTCACTGGTGTAACTGCTTTTGCTGAGAAATATAAACAAAAACAGGTTTCGTAAGCCAAATTTGAAACATGATTAACACACTGTAAATAACATTCACATTGTCTTTTGATTGAAAATGAGTAGTAAATTCTTTCTGTTGTCTTTGTTTTCATGTGTCCTTACCAATGGGTTTGAAACCTTTCTTCTATCTTGAATACCAGGAGAAGGTCTGAACTCTTTCTGCTTCAACTCAGTAGCTGCGCGGAACATTCAGCTGTCTGACCTGTCCTGTTCCAGAACAGCTTCTGGTTCTCTGTCCCAGTCTGAGTTCAGCAATATACCCAGTTGTTCTCTGTTCAAGCATCTGGCCCGGGAAGGACTCAGCCACTCAGCGCTGCCTACATTTCACAACCCCAATAAGGCCATTCTCACTGTTGATATGACAACCGCAGAGGTACACTGGTGTCTTCTCTGGCCATTATTTGAATGCTTACACTGTTTAATAGCAATGAATCACACTAATGATGCACCTTAATTTATCGGTTACTTTTAAGTTTTGCTGGACAAGAATCTATATGTAATTTCTTGGAGAAGCACAGGTTACGTTTCATACAAACTATCCAGTCATATGACTTTATCATGACACTATATGTAGATCTGTGAAAGTATTTCCAGTTTGAGTTTGAAAAGGGAAGAAAAATTAGAAAAAAGAATGAGAAACATCGTTTTTTGCAAAGTATGAACTAAGTAATAATGTGGCAGGCTTGTTCTGAGGTGAAAAAGTGTCCATTATCTCCTAAATGTTAAAATTGAGACCACTTGGATGGGAATAACTCCTTAATATTCTGCATGTTGATTCAGCTACATGCTGATCTGTTACAGAACTTCTTAATCATTGCTGATTTTTGAAAGGTTTCTTCTGAAATGTATTGCGGAGATCTTTCTGATACAAACTGTACCTGAATGTGTTTCTAATTTTTTCCATTTTGTTTTCTAAAGATACTCATTGCCAATGATGTGGCTTGTAAATTGTTTGACTACAGCAGCAAGGATCTGATTGGATTAAAGCTATCCTGTCTCTTAAAGAAGACCAGTCAAACTCTTGAAGAAGCTTTGGGGGAGGAGCATCTGGAGACTAATGGAAATCTGGTCATGGTCACAGGAAAAGTGGTAGTGTATTCCCCAGTATACAGTATACTGTTTTATATGTTGGTTGTTAATATTTTTATTTTAATTTCTAAAGCCTTTAACTGTAGGATTTCGTTCTAATTTGCTGAGTATTCCATTAATATTGTGCGTGATTTCTAGGTATTGTAAATATAAACATAATAAAATAATTGAAAGAAATGTTCTCAAATGTTTTCAAATTGAAGGTGAACTAAAATCCAGAAGTGATATGCTAGACGACCATGTAAAATTTAACTTATAATTAGTTCTAATGACACACATATAAGAATTATAGATAAAAGACTTGAGTGTCTGAAATATTCACGCCCTTTTCTCTGTATAAAAGTATCTTTAAGATATGAATCAATGTCTTTAGATTTAAGCATCACTTTTCCTGCAGGCAGAAATGCAAGGTGCTGATATCTTGTTTTTAGCAATTGGAAGAAAATAAAGTTTATAAACTATAATTTTATTCTTAAGAGTTTGTAGTTTGTAGATTACAGCAGTGTTTAATGTTCCGAAGAATCCATATTTTACAGGTTGATATAGTGAGCAGGTCTGGCAGTGAGATCCCCGTATCTGTATGGGCCCACAGACTGACCCATGAGGGCAACCGCTGTCTGGTGGTGATGGAACCAGTGCAGAGAATATCTGCTCATGTGTCCTTCACACAAGATGTAAGTAAGCAAAAAAACAACAAACCCGATTAGTTGTAAATATTTAAACTATTTTGGAGATATGTGTTTTAATATAAAAAAACATGTTTTGCAAGATAACTGTGTTGTAATCTAATGTGTAGAAGAAAGAAGCAATTTGAACGTACCTGTTTAAAGGTGCTACCCTACTTGATACCTTCATATCAATTCACTAACGTTTTTTTAATTTCTTTGAACTATTGCACATTCACAATTTAGATTCTGTCCTAATCATTTACTCTTTTTTCACTATGAAACTTATTCCATTGGATTTATGTGTAACCAGCATTTGGTTAGACTACATATTGTACTGTATCTCAATAGCATCATTGAGTAGATAATGGTAGAAGTAATAAAGGCACTTTTCATAAAAGGGTATGTGGCACAAAATCTGATAAATCTTTTTGCTGAACCTTTTTCCTTGGAAGCCTTCAGAAAATGAGTAGCAGAGATCCTTTCATCGATTAGCTACTAGCAAACAAATTAACATGGTCAAATGCATATTTCATTTGTAACATTTTAATAGCTATTTAGAAACAGCTGTGTTATAAATGTTGCTGCACCAAGTCTCTGTCAAACATTAATTAAACTAATTGGAATATAAAACCATTTAATATTCTGGAATATATGTTGTGTTATTTCAGGGATGGATCCAGTCCTGTGATTCTGTGTTTTCCAATCTCTATGGTTATGCACATCCGGAGGAGGTGATAGGGTTGTCCATTACATACCTTATTCCATCACTCCGTATCCCACTTCACTACAAGCAGATACCCAAGGTCAGTGTCTCCACCATTAAATGTTACCGCAGAGGAAGAGACATCGGCTTGTGTAGATTTAGGCCATAACCAGTAAAAATTAGCTGCTGCATTGGCTGTCTTGTAGTCTGTACTAAATTGATTATTTGTCTGACTCAATAACTTATACTGTCCTATTTGTCTATTCTTTCTGGTATCCCATAAATGTATTTTTAAAAATAGTTCCCATTTCTCCAACTTTAGAACCACCAATGATCATTTACTTGAACTTACTGCAACACAAGCACAGTGGTTTCCATTATTCGAGTTTTATTCAGGTACCATAAAGTTATAAGATTTGCTATAGCCCACTAGCAATATCATTGTAGGTGTTTTACCATACTGGTGTCTATAACTTAATTACATTTTTGTCAGAGTTAATTATATGTATGCTACATTTTTACCAGCATTCCACCTGCATAGAATTTAAAATATTTTAATATTAATCATATTCAGAATGACCGCATCTGTATTGTCACTTTCTTCTCAAAGAACAGAAAGACGACAAAGAACTGTAATTAATGGATTAGATTAAAGTACTTTTGTGTAATGTTCAGGTTTCAAGAGAGATAAACCAATTGAACAAATAACCAGCTTGCTATCAGTACCAAGTTAAGACATAATGCTACAGTCATAAAATCATTCTAACTTGGTAGGAAAGATAAAACACAGAAACATTTCATACTTTTTCTGATATATCTTAACCCTAAATACTGTATAACAGCAATGTAAAATTGAACACTTGTATTCTTTCATGATAATTGTTTTTTGCTACCTTCCTTTCCTGTACAGTATCTGCATTTGCTAGATAACACATGTACTTTAATTGCCTGAAATTCTCCTGCATTTGCATTTCTATAGATAAATGCATGCAGCTTTACCCTGAAACACATCCTGCTCTCTTCTGTTGCATTCCCTTACAGATTTTACAAATCCAGAGGCTAACGGGAATGTCTAGGGATGGTACCACTTTTCCACTCAGTTTAAAACTTCAGAGTGTTCCAGACTGTGGGGAACCAATTGAGGTTACAGAGCAGTCAAGCAATGCATACTCCTGGGGAAGTCCAGAGTTTAAATCAGTACCTTCTGAAACAGAGGCTCAGATTCTTCAGTGTACCAACAACTGGTCCTCTCCTGAAGCAGAGGACCCTAAGGATTGTGTGGCATTCAGCAAAGTCTTGAAGAAGCACTCCTTTCCCCTTCTTAAGGTGCAGTGTTGTGGTATGTAATTTGAAGTTTGGATTTGGACTCACACGTTTACTGTACCAATGCTGCTGTTGTAAATAGCCTCTGTATTTTGTACCAATGCCGCTGTTGTAAATAGCCCCTGTATTTTGTGTGCTGATCCAGAATAGAAATACATTTTTAATAAATTCACTTTAATTTTGTTACTTACAGTACACATTTGGAAACCTGTTTTCTTTTTTTGATTACTTCTCAAAAAACCCAAATATTAGGTTTAGAATTAGAGAAAATCAGTGCGAACAATGAACTGGAAAAGAAATATAATCATTAAATATCAGCTTCAATTCCAAGTCATCAGGCCTTTATTTTAGATAAATGTGAATTTGTGAGATACCAAGAAGCATTTAAATATTTGAGAACTGATTTGCATTCCTGTCATAGAGCTTAACCATGAAACATAATGATGCATAACAGGAAAATAATCATATAAACATAAAGAATATTAAATAGATGTATGAAATAATTATTATGTGAAAGGATCAAAGCCCTTCAGTCTACTTTGTTGGTATTAAGGCATTTATTTTTAGTCATTAAACACCCCTTATGCAGCATTTATTTATTGACATTCTGTTCAGGTATTAAGTAATTGTTTTTCTTTTTTTCATATCGCACCCTTCAGCAAACAAAGACAGTGGTCAGACTTTACAAGGCTCAGGACCAGTGTACACTGCAAATGTGTGGGTTTTCCCGGCTGTCAGTGGACTGTTAATTCTGCACTCTGATGGATCAATCCACAGTGTCAATGACAACTTTGCTTTGGTGCTTTTTGGATATAGGAAGACGGAACTAGTGGGAAAGGTAGAAACCTTTGAAATATTGAAACATTCGCTTTAGAAAATGGTTTTTGCAATTTGCAAATCACGTTTTTTAGAAAATATCTGATCCAAATGAATAATCAGAAACTGAATTATGTAATTCAGTCATGTATCTGTTGAAACTTTATTGCAGCTTTCTGTAGTTCATTTTTATAAACTTTTCTGCATGTTTATATTTTGTATAAATCCTGGTATACAAACATACGAATAATTAACACCATGTGTCTTACTTATAAAAACCTGATAGGTCCCAATAAAATCTGATATCAAGCCACTCTACATTGATTCCTTGAAATATTTAAGCGTTAAAGTCATTTCAAAGCATAGGTGAGAAACATGAATAATTAAAACAAATCACTGTGAATGCAGGGCATAAACTGATTTTTTTTTCCTCCAGAGTATCACTTTTCTGATGCCTGGTTTTTATGAGAGCCTACATGCTGTGGAAGATGGTAATGTTGCCCTCAAAGATGAGTCAGCAGATCAGATAGATGTGAACAGAAGAGCAAAGGAGGGAGAGGAACCCCATTACCCCTCTCTTTCCAACAGCATAACAGGTACCAAATACAGCTGAAATAAAATCAATCCCTGGGACTGATTTCCATTTGCAGATTGGTTTCTGAACTAAAAATTCAGTGAAAAGTTAGATCTATGATGTACCAATCAAATAGCATGATGACGGGAGAGGACAATCTTAACAAAGAACTTTAAGGTTTTGGTCGAACCAAAGAAAATGGTTACATGTTTTATTTGCCATCTTGCTTTTAAGAAAATTGTAATAAAGCATTTAAATGTGAAAAGTTAAATTAATACTGTACATTGCAGAAAATAAGACAAGATAACAAAGCCAGTCTGGTCTCAGTTGAAGTCAGTCAGATGTATGTGTCTGGTGTGTTGAAAAGCATGTAGAGTGTTTTATGAACTGTCCCAGTACCTGTGTTGTCCTGTGTCAGTAGCTGCTCTCTCTGCTCATACCATATATCTTTAACCTGACATTTAGATCCTTGTAAAGCTGCTGGTAGGACTAACCCCCTCAGTGGAAGCTGTCCTATTGTTCTTTCCAATTTTCCTATTTCATTAGAGGACAGGCCCATGAAAACAAAAGGTGAGTCCCTCTGTGTCTGAAGGTAGTATTGATTTGCTTCACTGAGCTGTGCTGTGAAAAATGGTGCGTTTGTAAAAACTATTACTGCCTCAATGTTTTGTTTTTGAGACATAAGAGAGGTGACAGAGGTGACCATTGTTTTGAAATTGAAATGCCAGGCTTTTTATGATTCTATTGAGGAGAAATCAAGAATGTTTGGAAGTGGTTAGAGAGTAAATATGATTATTTGCTAAATATAAAATCTGAAAGAAGTTTATCATAGAGTTCCTCTCCTTCTCGGTTTCATATTTCTTATAATAATTTAACTGTGTTTAGAAAACATTGCATTTCCCAGTGATCTGAATTATTCAGGTGTACCAATTTCTTTCTTTAATAAGCCATACCCAGAACATATTGATGATAGGAGTCCATGCTCAGTGCTTTCTGTGTTTTGAAGGTCCCAGCCCACTGCTGGCAGGCGACATGGCATTGGTTCAGCAGGAGAAGCAAGAGACAGCAGCTGGAAGGACAGCAGAGATCTTTACTGGGACCACTGCCAGACTGGAGAATGAGGGAAGTGCCCCGTCAACACTGTCTTCCCCTGAAGTGACCTCAACACCCTTCACTGGGTAGGTGGCTTACATTACAAGGTATTGGACACTTTCCTTTAGTATAGAGTGCCGATTGTTCCAGGAATCCCAGTATGTTGAGGACTGCAAAATTGTCTTTTTTGTTTTTTAATGGAAATACCAAATTTGGATTGAGAATAACAACAGGGCATCTTTGAAACGTCTTAATCTGTTAGTGAGCGCATTAAAAACTCTGTAATTCTGAATTGTATCTAAACTACCTAACATAAGAGAACTTGTACTGCTCATTGCAATGATTTGAATAACTACATTTATAAAAATCTTTCCATCCCAAAGTACACCAAACTGCTATTTATATAAGACGGTGCCCATTTCATCCATCACCAAAGTGTAGCATCTACCTGATGTGGGTGATGTACATTAGCTATAATGCACCAGCAACCTGGGTACATAGCAAATCAGGTGAAAAAGTGAAAATAAATTCATTCAGTAATTTTTTTAATTCAAAGCCCAGAGTGGAATTTAGCCAAATTGCTGGGTTTAACATCCCCAGTTTATTGTACAGGATCTTTAATGACCTAGTCAGTCAGGACCTCCTATAGCACAATGTCCATGGTCACTGTAGTGGGACATTGTTTAAGAAGTAATGTTCCAGAATAAATGTGTCGCCACCTGATTCACCAACACCACTTGCAGCAACAACCTAGTTTTTCATCCCAGCTGTGTTTAGCTTCTAAGATCTGATAGGATCAAGCTATAAGGTGATGACACAGCTGTAAGTACACAGACTAGTGCAGCACAAACATTTTTTTTTTAAACTGTGGTGTTACTGTCCAACCAGACCTGTGTCTTCTGCAGTGAGAGACCAAAACCTGATTTTCATTTAGTAATAACACTTGAAGAGAACCAGGGATATTCTTCTTTTGAATAATTGGTGAAGAAGAATAAACATTATTACAAAACATAATCATTTCAAAACATTCCCAGACTTGTTGATATTAATTTGCAGTGAAGATTTCACTGCCTTGATTTCTGACAGGTTTTGAAATCCTGTATTTACAGGCAGGATAACACTGCTGAGTTGGTGGACCAAGCTGCCCAGTTTGTCCCTAGGAGCACTGAATGCAATGATGGCGGCATCACCAGTGTACTCCTGAAAACCCCATCCTTAGTGGAGTTCTCCCAGGAGTCCCATACAAGCTGTCCTCTCCTTTCAGCCACTGATAATTTCAAGTCATCCTTGAACTCAGGAGACCTTCAGACCAAAAATATCACGTTGGTACCTGGTAAACGAGATGTCCCTCAGGATTCGGCACCTCTGAAATCAGCTGAAATCTCATCTGTCTCAGGTATAGATCAAGGTGATTTCAAGGCTACTCTGTGCCATGTTCAGCTCCATGGGTCACCAGAGACTCCCACACAAGATGAGCAGAGGCATAGCAAGACATGCGGTGCATTACCCAATACAAACCAGGAATATCCCTTGAACTACAGGGTGTCTAAAACTGCAGAGAACTCCAGCTTTGAAGTTATCTCCATGGGAAGCAGATCCTCCTCTGGCTTCTGTGAGACGTGGGCTGGGAATTCTGGCCCAGACCGCACGCAAGACACAGGTACAAATTTTGGACCTTGTCTTCCTTTCCAGTCTGGCAGCTACAGCCTAGACCTGGAGTTCAATGGAAATTTGATCACTAGAGGCTTGCAAGATCTTGACTTGAGTAGCAGCCTTGAGATCCCAGCAACTGATTTGTCCCAGACCTCCTGTGCCACTTCTGAGCTCCTCAGGACACCATCTCCCTATGTGGTAGAGTCCGATCCAGAGATGGAAGGCTTTGAGAAGCAGGCTAATAGTGAAGAGTCTGGCCAAAGTGGGATAATCATGGATAATCCCTTAGAAGGAGAGCAGAGGCAGTGGGCTCTTTGCTCGGACGTACCTTGTGGCAGTCCTCTCTTCAGCTCAGGAGAGATAGAGGATGGAATCATGTTAAAAGTAAAGCATCTGCAGGAGTCTCACATGACAGATCCCTCTACTTCAACCCCTAAGAAAAGACTAAAGGAGGAGGTGCCATCAGTAGCTTCAGATGAAATCCTGGAGGGTTACTTTGAGGGAAACTGCTATCACAGAGATGGCTCCAGACTTAGTAAGTAAAACAAATTCTAGACTGTTTACTATTCTGTTTCCTAAGATACTAGCTCTCTTATCTCTATTCTAATTTCCTTCAGAGAAAATCTGATTGTTTTCAAATTAGTGGGAAGGTCTCATTAAACATATCATAAAGACGATGAAGACAACAATTCCAATTTACTATATTTAAAGATAGGTTGGATTTATTACTGTAAGTCATTCTGACATGGTTCTGTTCTATTTGTTTACAAAGATGAGAGATTAAAGAAAGCAATTGGAATAGCTAGAAGTGCCTTTTCTGTCTGTTCAATCCAGGTGTGCAGTTTGAAATCTGTCGTGTGGAGCTACCTGATGGACAGCTGCTTTTTTTTGTCTGGATGATGAGGAACCATGATCGTGCCCAACAGGAAGCGCTAAAGAGGCTTAAACTCTTGCTGTCTAGTCGGGACAGCAGCTCCACCTCCCTGCATGAAGCCTCTGCTATCAGCCTGGGGGAAGTTAGTGATGTAACTGAAACCTTTGCAACAGTCTTCAAAAAACAGATCCCTCTTTAATATAACATCCATATAATTTTATATAAAAGTAGATCCCCACCAACTAAACTGGTCTTCATTATTCCTACCTATGAGTGGGATTAATGGAGAACATTAGAAGAGGATTGACACCTGCAAAGCAAGCATTGTTATCGCACACATTGAAAACTCTAGAATACATTTCAAAACCAAAATTACTGGTAATACCAATTAATTATTCCTATACTGGAATAAACCTAGATGCAAAAAATAATTCTGTGAGCAGCACCTTATTAAATATAATCTGACAAAGTTAACAACCTCAAATCCATGTAAAATAGAATAGTTTGACAGTAAATGTTAAGCAAGCAGAAACGATTAAAGTACTGTTGGAACAGAAAGAGAAAACCAGATAATCAGATGTACAACTGCACAGCCTGAATGAATAAAAAAGAAATGAAATGAAATTGATCTGCTCACCCAGATCACAAAAACAAAATATAGTTACTTCCTAACAGATCACCACATCTCCAATCACCTTTACACCCTGCAGATCCTTGTAAAAATGTGTACCAAACAAATAGAGACAAATATTTGCATGTTTTATTGACTAAAGCAATATTTGACTCAGTCTGTTACAGGCCATTTTTGTACATATTCACCCAAAGCAGAGTAGATTGGTTCAGGTAATTATGCTGCTGGTCTATATTGCAGGTGATTCAAGAGACAGCAAAAGGTGAAGGGCTGTGGAGTTCTCAGGACTTGGAGGAGTCACGGGCTTGTGAAGGGCAATTTGAAGAGGAGTACCAACCCCTCAGTGCTGTGGGCAAAGGAGCATATGGCTTTGTGTGGAGAGCACGACGACATGCCGATAACAAGGAGGTGAATGAAATGACCAGAGCCACAGAGTTCTGGACGGGCTCTGTCCTATTTTTGGTTCAACATATTTATTTTCGTGACATCTGTACAGATCTGAAAAGGGAATCCTAAAAGAACATTTCATGTAGACCGCCTTACTCCGTTTGAATTTTTCTTGTATGTTGCATATTCTAAATGATACTCTATTCTTATTTTTCTGTCTGCTCTGACTTATTTCAGCATGTCTTTTAAAACAATTTGACAGTTGTGTGAGAGGAAACAGGATGTGACTATTTCTTTATTGCTTTCAATATGACAATCCATGATGTCATGCTTATTTGCTCACTAGCAATAGGGAATTTTAAAGTGTTTTTCATTAGCCTTTATTGTTAGAATATTTGATTACATAAATTGTGGTTAATCATGTATCCTATTTCATCCAGGTAGCTGAAATATTGATTGAATTTGTTTTTATTTTCTTTTTCATATTATTTCCTACTTTCCCCAGGTGGTGGTCAAATTTATCAAAAAGAGCAAGATTGTGAGTGACTGCTGGGTGGACGATCCTGATATGGGTAGAGTCAGCCAGGAGGTTGCTATACTAGCCAGGCTTCAGCACCCCAATATCATCAAGGTAAGGACACAGTGTGGGTGGCTCACGTTAAATTAATGAAATTGGACTGGGGTACTGTTGATACAAACACTGTTGGGCATGTGTTTATTGGGTACCCTAATGGTTGCCACATAATAAATTTGTAATGAAATAATTTATAGTAAAGGTCGTTGCTAGCTTAGAAAGAGCTGACCCAGTAGATTACTTTATTTTCGTTAGCAAAACAGAAATACAGCTGAGAACAGGAGACATTTGTTTACAGTTTTGGATACATTTTGGGAATTACTTGAATTGAAAGGAACCTTCAAGGAACAGATGAGATCTTCAGATCAAGCATGACAGTTTGAAGGGTCCTTCTCAATATCCTTCAGCTACCACTAATATAATTATCATCATGGTTTTCTTTCCTAGGTGGTGGAAGTGTTTGAGAATGAGAGTTTCTTCCAGATGGTGATGGAGAAGCATGGAGATGGGCTGGACCTTTTTGAGTTTATAGAAAGACAGCCCCATCTGGATGAGCCACTGGGCAGTTACATCTTCAGACAGGTGAGAGTCTACAATACTTACAGTAAATGCCTGCTTTTGAGGGTAGAAGAAGACTTTTTCTTACCTTTTCCAAAAAGGTAAGGTAACAAAGGATCAAAAACCAAAGGATAGACACAAGGCATTTCATACTCCTGTGTCATCTTCAGTGTCCTTCAGAATGTGTGTTTCTTCCTCTTCCAGGAGATGAAGTTGGAATGAATTGCAATTGCATATAAAATATTAAACAATTGATAATTCAACAAGTTTGTTTTTTTGTCCATTAAAAACATCCTACATGTATGTGTTTTAGTTGGTGGCAGCTGTGAAATACCTGCGCGAAAGAGGCATCCTACACAGAGACATCAAAGATGAGAACATCATCATCAACACAGACTTTCATATCAAGCTGATAGACTTTGGTTCAGCTGCATTTCTGAAGCCAGGGAAGCTCTTTTACACTTTCTGTGGAACCCTGGAGTACTGCTCACCTGAGGTTCTCTTGGGGAACCCGTATGTACAGTATCTTTCACTCATGGTTTTCATAATCAATAATTACAAATTACATGGTAATTTAATGCAATAGTAGAAAGATGTCTACATATGCTTGTCTGTGTTTACCCCTTTCCCAGATGTTTTGAACAGTGGTCATTTGCCACTTTGCATAGATTTCAGTTTAAAGTTAAGTTGTTGTTCATAATAATTTAAAGATGAATTTCAGAATGAGTCTTGAATGATTCTGATGTGCAATTTTATCCATTATAAGGGAAAAATAGATTTGTAAATGTTTTGTGACCAACTGTCCTAATCATGCCTCATTACCCCTGTGAGTTGTCCTTTTGACATTGCACAAATGGAGGTTGAAATACAAAATTGAATTACTTTTGTTCTACATCTGCTTTGTTTATTGTTACAGTATTGTTATAGGCATCTTAATATCATATTTAAGAATCAAATACCTGAATAACGTACATATATAAATACTTTTTATTATGTTTTCTGTAGTCAAAAGGTATGCTTTCATCACTGATCCTTGTTAGCATTTTTAACTGGATTCCTAACATTTAACTGTGTGATTATTTTTCCTTTGTGTTTCATAAAGTCCATGTATGGAAAGAGAACAGTTCACTGCCTACATTATCATTAGTGAATATCCGTATCTGTATATGAGTTTAGTGAATCTGGCTGTATTTACTTGTGCATCTTAACACACTTTCCCTTTGGCCTCTTATGGCAGGTATGAGGGACCCGAGCTGGAGATGTGGTCTCTGGGAGTGGCCCTGTACACCTTGCTGTTTGGTGAGAACCCTTTCTGCGAGAGGGAGGAGACTCTGGAGGCTCAGCTTAGACCCCCATATGAGGTGTCTCCAGGTGGGCAGAGTGCATCATTACCCAGGCATTATAGTGAAACTTAATATTTGTCAGCCGTAGATTTGGCAAGAAAGCTGTATATAACTCTGCTAAATCGACGGATTTTAATATTTCAGCTTTAACGAGCTGATGACAATTATTTTTTGTCAAATGAAGTGCACTGATCTTATGAAACAATACATTCTATCCTTATGCTTTAAACTTCGTTTAATTTCCATGGTACAGTAAGTCTTGTGTGTGTTCCCTTTAGTTTTTTGTAAAAAGGAAAGGAATGATTGTGCCTCTCTCCAGTTATGTGTTTTGTTTCCTTCTCCCTCATTTTGTTTCTCTAGAATTGCACACACTGATGGCTGGACTGTTGCACCCAGACCCCAGGCAAAGAATCACCCTGGAAGAGCTGCTGCACTCCTCTTGGATCTGCCAGCCCATTAATCTGGCAGAGTACAGCTGGTCGGAAGTGTGCCCAGATTGCGAAGGTGAGCACAGGAACCACTACAGAGTAGCAACGTGGCCTTTTACTCCCATATTAAAGAAGTTTGTTCTTCTTCTTACAAAACATGTTCAAATAGTATCTTGGGATCTGTCTTAGTTTCTTTTTCTTGATTGCCCTGGTAGAATATTTCAAATCACTCGTAGGTTTGAGCAGCCAAGCCAGCAAGAAAAACTACAATAGACTCGTTTAATTTGACAGGGCTAATGATATAGAAGCATGTTTCAAAACATAAGCATAAACAGATGTGCATGTATGCCAGATAGGGTAGCAGTGTAAAACTAGGGCTGTGTACCCAAATCCACAAATGTGGTTGTAGGTTCAAATCCTAGGTGGGACACAGCTATTGTACCATTGAGCAAAGTGCTTCACTCATGTAGCTTCCATAAACATTCTGCCGATTTGTCAAAAGGCAGGAAATAAAACGGTAGAAGCAAGAAAGATGTTTTTTAACCACTCTTTTTTTTACCCACTTGCCATTACAGAGGCTCCACTCTACAATGTCGCTAGTGCTGTAAATGTTCAGGAAGACGGAGGAGAATCACTGATGAACAATGAAGACACTAGCTGCTGGAAGCTCTCAAGTGCCAAAGGGGACAAGACTCCAAGAGATGTTTCACAACTTGCAGAAGAAGAGGGAGATAATGAGGAAGGAGGTTCCTTGGCTGCTCTGGAGACTGAACTTCTTAAGTATTTGATGACAGAGGACTGATTAGTCATTAGAAATAATTAATGCCAAAGGTGTATAGCTCATGGTCTTTGTATAGGCTGTGGGAGATCTAAATGAATAACAGGTGCACTTTCCCCAGTGATGTAGTTGTTGGATAAGATAACATGATTCTTTGAAAAGTAAATCTAGATCATTTTAAATGCAGTTGAATAGTTTTGATAGATAAACACAGTTGGATAAATTCACACTGATGATTGCCTCCATTATAAGCAAATTTAGCATGCAAAGAAGTTCTTGCTTCTGTTAGTTTAGTGATGGGACTATGGGTAGGCTGAAGACACTTGACAGATCCAGATTAAATGCATCTGTTAGTTTATTTTTATTATGTGTGTTTCATAAGTATTCAGTGAGTTGTTTTTAATGTTATTTGTATTCATCAACTTTGTATTCCAGCTACTTTCTGGCAACACATCTTTTAATATGAAATGTAAAACTGTATGGGTTGAAGCATTTTGGGGACAGTGTTTAAACTAACGAAGAAAGAAAAATAAGGAAAGCCTAATTTCTTTCATTTTGCACATTCTGAAGGTCTGCTTTGAGAAGTCTCCTTTCCGACCTGTTTGGTGGGAAGCTGAATAGAGTAAATTCAACTAATGATAGAAAACCACACAAAGTGCACATACTGGAATATGTAAGATTATGGAAATCACATGATGTAATCTTTAATTTATAAAATCAACAAATGTTAGGTGCTAATTTATTATACAGTGTGCAGTATAATCCTTAATTAATATCCTTCCCTGAGTTTTTATTTTATTTCTTCTTGAGGAGCTAGTCTTTTTTTTCTTACAATGAATTAATAAAAAAATATATTTAATTATCTTTGTCTTAAAAATTTTGCTATAGTTCTTTTATATTGGATTACTTAAAACACTCATTTCCTTAAAGTTACTTATAAAACCATTCAGAACCAACTTAAAAGTATTCAACTTTTGCAGTTAATTAATTGGATGTACTATGTATCAGAGCTCAGGTTGGAAAACAAATCAGAGGACACTGAGCCCTCAAAGCACTGAGTCTGACTGTACACTTCAGTTCTTGTCTGTGGTCAAACCTTGACTTAATTCACATCTCAAAGAATAAATTGTGTTGAAGACACTGAGCTGGTTTTCACCGTAAAAGAAGGATTATGCACTATATCTTATTTTAAATGTTAAAGCTGCCCTTTTTTCCTAAATAATGAATTGTATTTATAATGTCTCTGGATTTTTATGTGTTATAGATTTTTTAACTGCTTAGATTTTTGAAACTTGACAATAAATTATTAAAGGGGAATGTTGTACGTTGTGATTTTTTTTAACAGCATATCTGCAAATATAAGGGCATTATATTAATTTTCTCAAAAATAGCTGCTTTATAAATACGACTGGACCGAAAACTAATATATTAGATGCTACGATCTTATTTTTTAACTGATGTCACGCATATAATGTTCCAAAAGAATTGCAGCGAGGATGAAAACTACCGGTTTCATAAGGATTAAAAACGTGTTCTTCAACAAGTTGCTTAAAATTTCTGCTTGTGTTGAAAATCTCGTTGTGCATGAACGCTATATATACATGAATAAATATTACATATAGGTTCCATGCTGCGGTCTTACCCAAAGCTGTGATTCTATAGGCTTCATTCTTTCGTGTGGAACCAATTTCAAAAGGCATCGGGTTGCTAGGGGACTGTTCAGGAAGCTGTACAGCAATGAGTACAATTCTGTGGCGGCAGGTTCGATATGTTTATTGTCCATTCTTAAAAGATAATGTGTATTATTACAGAAGTTTTAATGTTAGATGAAGTTATGATGTCTTTTTTGTAGAAGTCAGTTTTTTTTTGAAGATTTTAACTTACGATTCTTTTGCAGTATCTTTGGTAAAGATTCTGAACGATTTGATCAATTAAGTACCCATTTGTACTCTATCCGCGTATAACCGAGTGATATATTCACTTTTTGGTAGCTTTTAATTATTCCTTTAGCAATAATAGCCTAATGTAGCGGCCAGTCTGAAAATCTAAATGCAATCGAATTTGTATACAATTTAATTCTGATACAAATACGCGCGTGAGACGCTACTAGTTAAAAGTAGCCCACTGCATATCCCCAATTAAATTGACATTTACAACGGAAAGCAATGTAATTTGGGGCCTTTGAGAAATATTTTGGTTTTCTGAGGAAGCACTTTATGTAGAATATTTCCTTGAACACCCTGAACACAGTAAGAAAGTACACACTTTACATTAATTTTTAGGTAAATGGTTCTTTTTTTTTTCCAGGTGCTCCGTTGGTCCATTCTTAGAAAAACACGCGTTGTACATCGTTCTGAGCTTCAGTGCCCGGTCCTAAAAAAATGGGAGGGAGGGCACCCAGTCGCCTTGTGCAGAAAACTCTGCTCCAGTTATGTGGAGGGACGTGCATCAGAGCTGCACAGACAAGAAGTGTCCCCTCAAGGCCAAGAGGGCTGCCAGGAGACAGTACGCTCACTGATTATTATGGGATTCACCGAGGCCCAGGCCACCGAGGTTCTTGAAGGACCAACAGGCAACCGAGTGGGTGTGGCTGCTAAGCGCCTTGCCATGCTGTCCACTCTTGTGGCCCTGGGCCTGAACCCTTCCACCATCTTGAAGATTTTGAGCAAATGTCCAGAGCTGTACCTGGTGAAGGGAGCCCAGATGCAACAGCGCATAGACAACCTGCGCAGACTGGGGCTTTTAGAAGGTGTGTGCTCGGTAGTTCTGATTAATGTATCGCACTTTTGTTTCTGTGACGTTTCACTATGCTGTGTTTCCCTGTTTAAGCAGTAAAAAAACCAAGGCAGTCTGGATATTTGAAATACACTAGGTCATGACAGCTAGCTCTAGTCCTGCAGAGCCACAGTCCAGGAAATCTTAAACATCACCCTTACATCATCGGTTTATACAGATTTGGAGTGTTTGAAGAATTGGATCAAGTAAATAAATTAATTGGTGCAGGTAAGCTAGAATGGGGCAGCTGTTTTCCTTTAATAGCTGCAGGATCGTTGTTTTTTCTATTCATGTGATCCAATCCTTAATTGAAAGAATCACTCGCATGCTTCAGTGGTCAGAATAATATTTTTCATTTACAAGCTGGGGATTTAAGGTTGTCCCACTAAACGTGTGGATATTGGCACTTCCAGGATCGCTTTGACACTAGGGTGGCTAGAGGAGGGACAATATCCTGTGCTCACTGGCTTTTGTTAACTCATCCTGATTTGCCCTAGGTAACCTTCAGCGTGTGATAAGCCACTGCCCACAACTCCTCACCCTCACCCCCAAAAGGGTGAACACTATGGCTCGATTTCTGCAAGAGAAGTGCCATTTCACAGGGCAGCAAGTCACAGACATCCTCCGTGATTCCCCAGCCACACTACTGGAGGACATGGCCCAGGTGGAATACAAGTTTCAGGTGAGATCCTCAATTGCTGAGATAATACACTGTGTGTTTTATAATATAGTATACTATATACTATAGTTTTACACTATATACTATATAATGGGTTTTAATTTTTCAACATCTCTGGATTAAGACAGCCTCGGCACTTAGGGTTGAATTTAGTGGCTTGTGGGCCTTGAGACACAGTGATCCCGTTGCATTTCCCAATCCCAACCATCACTGCATAAACAGGAATCCTCATGCGTCACTCCAGCTGTTGCTCCAGCTTGCATTTTCTCGTAGAAATGTTCCTATTCTCTGTGGCTGGTACATAGTTAGGAGAAGGTGATCTTGAGGATGAATGCAGTCAGTCATATACTGTCAGTGTATACAGTATGTGCAGTTTATAAACGTGGAGTCTGTCTGAGGTTTGACTCTTACAGCTTTGCTTACGGCCACCCATTGAGCAGTGTTTCTCAACCACCAGTGCGGGACAGCCTTCTTGCTGGTCTGTGTGACTCAAAATTGATAAAGGAAGGAAGTCAGTTTTTATAAATGAATGTGAACAGAGAAGGATGTGTCACTCGCTCTTGATAGAAAGCATCCAGGCCATTAGCTGGACTTACAATGGAATGTATCTAAAACATAAAGAATCCGCTCATCCCTCCAGGCATTTCACAACTCAGTAAATAAGTGATATTCTTGGTTAAATATCTGAGGGGGTTATTTTCTTCCTGATATGTATACACAGGGGTAAATTCTTCATTTTCATGGGATTATTATTTCAAAACATGGGATTGTATAGTAAAGTTTAATAAAAAGTGGGAAGTCGGTGTGCAGATTTACTATGGTACATTTATCAATGTTTATTCCCTGTTTTGCTGCCTGGCAAGGTGTTTGGGAAAACACTCTTGCTGTGGGCAGTGTACTCTTTGGGTTCACATTGTTTCCTTCTCATCACTCTGCAGTATGCCTATTTCCGGATGGGGGTCAGACATGCAGAAATGCTCAAGTCCGGGCTCTTCCGAGTCTGTCTGGATGAAGTGCGCTTCAGGCACGCTTTCCTGGAGCGCCTGGGACTTTACCAGGCTCCCGACAAGAAGGGGCAGACGCGTGTTGTCAATCCCAAGCTGAAAGAATTCCTGCGGGTCTCGGAGGAAACCTTTCTCACAGATGTGGCCAGGGCAACGCAGGAGGAGTTTGAGGTCTTCAGGAAGCTTCTGGCTCGAGAGCTCAAAGAGGAGAGTCAGGAGGAAAAGGTGGAGTCGGACAGCGAGGGGGAGGATGAAGAGGAAGGCTATGAGAGTGAGGACAGCGATCACACGGGTTACAGGAGGACGAGAAAGAAATGACACCATCAAGCTGGAATCAAGAATATGATTTATATGAAGAATTCAGAGTGCAGAACACAACAGCCCAAAAATGCACCACAGTGCTGATGAGTGCTACAAGAGACAGATATGTGTGATGTATGTGTAAAATGCAGATTTTCCAGTTGGTATATGTATATAAAAGCATGAGAAATGCTTTTGAGAAAGACTGAGGCAGCAATGTTGTAAGATAACTTTCAATTCCTGCTCTGTCCCTTGTTTTTTTTCCCCATCCTCTTATACATTCTGCACATCTGAAAGGATGCACATTTGACATTCTTTAGTCACTTTGCAAATTGTATATTTTAAAGCAGATATTAACGTGCTTGGATGTTTCATTATACTAAAATAAACAATATCTGAACTACAATATTCATTCATTTTTCTGTCTCTTCCTTTGATGGAACTGAAAACAGTGGAGAGAGTGGAAATGTCATGCTGCAGGGATATGTAGTAAAGACAGATTTGCATCAAAAAGAAATGAATATTATTTCAGCAGCAAGAACCGATGAGAACTGCTGAGGTGTGTCATCACACTTCATCGTCCAGTAGGGCTATAATATATGTTGTCAACATCATGTTGCCTGATGGTAAATTCATGAGAAGCTGTCTATACAGACATCCTTTTTATGACTGAAACAAGTTGTATCATTCTTTTATTGTCTGCTGTATAGAGAACAGAGAGGAAATTTACAGTAGATGTTAATATAGTCTAGTGTATAATAGAAAATATACATGCATTTAGAGGACTACAGATATTTCATTTAGTAGAATTTACTATTTTTCTACAATACAAGAAGGTAGTTCTCCAAGTGTTTTTGATCTTTTTAGTACCATTTAAATGTGAATCTTAACATTTAAATTCAATTAATCTGACTGTTATATGTGACTGAGCAGTGTTTTCCTACTTACTGCTTCAGGTTTTTTCTGTCTTTCAGTAGCTAACCCTTGAAAAGTTTGAACCATTGTGAAAAGACATTCTTTGCAAGTTGAAGCTTCTGGGATTTAGTGTATCACATTATTCTGAAAAAGGATTTTCTTAAGAACTCTCACCTCCACAGAAAAATAAAAGAACTCAAAGTCACAGGTCAGACTCCCTTTCCTCTGCCCCACCCCAGTCTTAAATTTAAGATCTTGAGTCACTTGACATTGGTGACTTCATTGCAGGGCAAGCTGGTGAAGGGGCTGTTCTTCACTCCTGGATGAAGTGGTTTCCATGTATTATCCATTGTCCACTCATCCATATAGCACTTTGTGATCCTTTGCCATGAAAAGTTCTATAAGCTTTAATCAATCAGTTGATCTGAGTTGGTTCAGTATCATCAACCTGAAAATCGTTATGTGAACACACCAAACGGTGCCAGAATTAATCATTGTAAAAACATATTAAAATAGTGGACGTTTTCCAGAAGCATTGTAGACATTAAACACCAATGTCACATGTACTACACTGTTTAACTAAGCTTTGCTTTATTTTTCTTTCTGTGGCCAGAAGGATTCTATGGACAGTTGGCATAATAATTACCTCTGTTGGTTTCATTACAGTGTTTTTACGGCTATTTCTGTTGATGTGAGTCACGAATAGTAAGAAAATCTGGAAGACATGAGGAAGAAGGACGAGACCGAAGAGTTAGAGGACTTAAGAGGGCTGAAGTTTTGTGATTAAATGTCGTGCATTGTCTATCTTCTGTTAACCACATAAAGAGAAATTTCCAGATTGCTTTGTTTTCATTAATGATCCTGTTACCATGGTAGGTCTGAATTGCCTTCTTTTCCTTCCAGGTGATCTGATGTGTCAATAGAATGGCTATCTACTGATAAGAGCAACAGCTCCAGCCTGGAGACATTGACGTTCAGATGCATTAATGTAATGGGTGCCTCGTACTGAAGTTCCCTTTCCAGCAACACTTAAAACCAGGTAAGAAATAGTGTCCCGGCTTTTTTTTCCACTTCAGGTATGGAAAGAATAGAGAGCACCGTAGACTTTATCATTAACATATGCATGTGTGTCAATGCAGTTTGTACAAGCTCATTGATTGTGTACTGTGTGCTTTTAAACATCAAGGACTGGTATGTCATGAAAGAGGGAAATACTGTCTGATGAAGGAAGCTACTACTGATGACACCATTCATCACAAAATGCATGAAAAACTTTGTCGCGTTAAACTTGTGTGAATTCAAACCTGATAAACAGCAGAGATTACCGTCTAGGCCCTTTTGGAGATAAATGCAAGAGTGTGAAACAAACAACCATTTCTGCCAGTATTAGGCAAACCAGTTATTTTTAACAAAGTCATTTTCAAGTTAAAGCTTAATATCGAGGTATTTGGATTAACATTACTTATTACTGTAGTATTAATTATTACTAGAGTAGTCAAGATCTGCAAGTCTTTTCACAGCAATTCATACTAATCAACAGAAAGCTTGTTAAGGCTTTTTATGCCTTTTTTCTTTTTCATAAAGGAAGGAAAGAGAATGGTCTCAAGGAACACGTAAATGAAAATGGGATAAATAGCAGCTGAATTCTCATTTGAAATTCCCGTCATTTAATTGTCCTGTATATTTGTCAAGGCTTTGGTCTTCATGTATTAAAACACTCAGCCACACAACATGCTACAATCAAGTATTTTTATTTGTACAATTTATCTTGGCATTTGTCAGAGCCCTCTCCATTGTCAACAGAGATATAAATACACTCTAGCTTTTACACATTAATAAATGAAATCCATACACACAAAACCTAGCAGTAAAAAGGAACCAGGCAATATAGTTGTTATGGAATAAAACACTGTGGTATGGAATGAAGTGAAATTAAAACAATATTTTATAGACTAGATTTTTAACCAAAGTAGATCTTGTAATAGCCCTAAAGTTATAATCAGAGATATAAAGGTCTATTTGATCTTTCTGTAAGGTATTCATGCTTTACAAGTAAATGAATTACTTGGTGACTGGAGAGGTTTGTGTAATATTGTTGAATTTATAGGTGCTCTATTCACCATACTCTTCAATTCAACTTTACTTAAAGCTACAGTTTACAGATGTAGAGAAAAGATAGGAATTAAAGACTGTTCTCATCACAAACAACAGAGAAAAAATATGTGGTTATTTGATTTTTATTATCTATATTTTTAGCTATTTTATGGAATATCAAAGAAAATTTGTTTCTGCATTTTATGTGCGTTTGGAGAATTGAACTCATGCCTGCTGATTAACATTCTCTGAGCTAGCATTATTAACAAGATTTTATTATCATAAAAGAGAGCCTAAGCTACAAAATATACCCTCACAGTAACACTATCTTAAATGATAGATAGAAATATCCGGTTGTTAAACATCTCACATCTGAGTTATGTGTTAATTATGGTAACTTTTCCCACTTTGAAAGGTGGCACACAGTCCAAGTTATGTCCTAAATATTAAAGGTCTCTAGCATCTTAAATGATTAGTTCTCAGTTCCCCATTATTAAAGAACAAACACCTGCTATCACATCTGCAGAGATGACTCAGCTTTACATACATAAAAGGCAGCAATTTATGGTTTTGATATGTATGTGTGTGATAGTTACAAATCGTAATCATGGAAACACTGACAATTTCAACTCCTCTGAAACAGCTTTACATTCATTACACAGTAAAATGGCTGTGAATGTTAATGCTACTGAGTGGGGATAACTGCTGTACTGTCAAGTAATTTAATTATTGGAAAATACTACAGGGAGTTGTGGGACAATGGAATGAGCTATTCAGCTGATACCCCTGCGTTTTTCAGTAAGCAGCTGAATGAGATACGTTGATCAGTTAACTACTAATTACCCATTGAACTAGGTGGGCTGAATAGCCTCCTCTCGTTCTTGTGTTTTGTTGTAATATATATCAAAAACTTTGAAATAAAGGAATTCAATATTTCAGCTGGATCATTGGAAAATGAAAACAATGCAGAATTTCAAAGTTGAAAGTAAGCCTTATCCATTGTGAAAACCATTTTTAAAACCTCCATTAAATTATACACTGTAAATTTGAGCTGAGATACTCTATCACAGATGAGATAAGACCCTATACACACTGTATCAGTGATTGCTTGTATATTTGTTTAACATTCACCAGTTAATTAAGATATAGGTTGTCTCTATACAACGATGGAGGTCAATCTCTGATTGTGCCTGATCACTGCAGGAGAACCTAGTTACTCCACTCAATTGAAAATAAGGCACTCTGGAACTGAAAACGGAAAGGTTCTCAAATGGAGTAGCTTCATGCTTAGAGAACCACATATCCTCTTAACTTAGAGTAGGACAGCTGAGAGAAGTGGAAATGGAGAGCACTTGGCAATTGCACATTCAGGTGAAAAAAAGGGGAAATAATTTTAGATTCTCAACTGTAAGAAAAAATACCTCCCCATCCTAACATTTCACCCATCACGACAGCAGAAGAGATTGAAAGCTGAATGTGTGGTTGTGCTACCAAACCAGAATAACTCTTCTTTGTAAATGTTTCTTGACAAAACCTTTGTTTTTTATTGTTTTTTTGTTTTTGATGGTGTAAAGCATCCTCACCCCTGTGTCTGTGGGAATGTCATTGCCAGTCCTCAAAGACCTTCAAGGCTTTTGAATTTTGATATCTTGCTTAACTAAGCATTTCCCTATACTTTGGGATAGGAATGTGCTCCAGTAATATACTTAGTTTAATTTTAAGTTGATACGGTGACAGTAAAAACGTACTTGAAGATTGGCCCTATGCATCATTTCTAATTATTGGCTGTATAAGGAAGAACATATCTAATCATTTGGAACAGTAATAAATAGTGTTTTATCCAAGGTGTCAACTCCTACCTACATTGATTTATGTAATTACTGTAAAGAAAGAACTAATTACTGTTACTGAATCATTTTGCAGCTACTATGTGCACTAAATGCATCTAAAATTATGGAACCAATACTACTATTTTGCAATTCTTACACATCTTTCTTAGACTTGTAATAAATAAAATGCATTTGATCACAATTAGAAGTGGTTTTATAGTGTATTCTCATTAGTAGTATTTTAGCACAACTGACTGACATGCATTTTCCTCCCAAAAATCATGTTCTTTTTCTTTCCCATGGAACTAGATAGGGCTTAAACAAAGCAGTTATTTTATTAATGGGGTGCTACACATTTTATTTCTCATTTCAGGGTGACCGAATGTGCCGTTCTTCCTTTAAATCTACAACCCTGTGATTCTTATACACGTCATAACCATCTAAAATGTTCCTCTTTGAATTCTCAGTTGAATAGTACAAAAAAAAAAACTTGAATTGGTGGTTCCAGTAGTTAACTTATTAAGTAATCAAGGGCTAATCAAGGCTAAAACTCTGCCTGTACCCTGTGACAAAAAGGACCATCTGACACCGCAGTCCAGACAAAGATGGAAGGGTTCTCTTTGGACTTGTTCTTTACCATTTGTTTGAAGGTTAAGAAAACAGCAAACAATGACATTTGATGCAGTGAGCAGTAAAAAGATCGAACAAATAGAAAGCTTGAGGCTGAGGAGTGTTTAACAGAAAAGGCTAAACAGATGTCAGAAGATAAAGGTCATAGCCAGTTAAATAAAGAGTCAAATCTCATAAATAACTGGTGTCAAATAGCAGCTTGCTGTTTAAAAATGTGGAATAATTGATAAGTTCACAGTTAAATGCTCAGTTGCAGTACAAGATATACTTGTTCCTAACATTATTATTCCTCTTCCAGGTTCGTTGGCTGGGCCTGTGTGTGATGAGCTCACTTACTGTAACAGAAGTGTAAAGAAAGGGGATGAGTATCACGTAAGTCACTCTGTAGGTAATGAGAGTTGGGCATATGATCAAAACCCATTTTTCCACAATCTGCTGTCAAACTGATAGGATTTATTTAAAAAGCATAAAAGATTTGTTTAAATAGTTAATAAATATATTTAAATAAATCGATTAAATGCTGTAGTTTAGTCTAAATCACCCATTTTGTCCAAATGTTATACAGTCCTGTGGATAGAAAACGTGGTTCTATTGCAACCACTAATAGAATGCGGTTCTATAGGTCACATGTGACCTTGTGATATTTCATAATGCCATAATTTCACCTCAATCCATCACATACTAATCCCTTAGAAGTAGCTAGACATGTAAAAAAAAAATTACTACCGGCATCACATCATCTTACACATCATGGTAGCAGTCAGAAACCATGTGTGTCTGAATTAGAAAACGTAAAATAATTCCACTTCTGGGAGTTAGTACTTTTTTAGGGGGATGTTATCTTGACATGTGTCACTGTTGTCTTTTTACAGGAGGAAGCTGAAAGAAATGCTAAAAATATTTCTTGAGAGCAGGGGGAAGCTACAATTACAAATTATTTGTAAATTGGGTTAAATACATTGAAAAACGTGAAAAAAAAAACTTGATGTGATACACATCACTAATCACAGGGGATTTGCTTAACATATAACTGTAGGAAATGGTCACCTGGAACAATTCAGCCAAGGTTCTTTGGGATCCTGCGGTGACGGAGACGTTTAGGGGAGGACTAAATGAAAGCTCTCAAAATTCGGAATTGTGGTTTATGACGCTACGCAACTGGCACCTACAGCTGTTCCTCATCCCCGCAGCCATCTTTACCACCCTGACCCTGACCATCAACCCCCTCCTGCTTATCAGCATCACCTCGTCCAGGAGTCTCAGGCAGGAGACACGCTACATCCTGCTGGCCAACACCTTGCTGGCTGATGTCCTCTTCCTGGTCCTCAACCTCTCCATTTCCATCTGTAACATGACAGGGCAGCAGCTTCGGAAGCAGCTATGCGAGGTGCTCATAGCAGCCACAGTCACGGCCTACTGCGGCGGGGTCATGACCATCACTTTCATGGTCGTTGACACTTACGTGGCTGTCCGTTGGCCCTTGCACTACCAGAACCTGCTGCCCACTTCCAGGACTAAGAAGATCCTGGCTGGGGTGTGGATCTTGGCAGCCCTGTATCCTACAACTGTGGTGATCATCTTGGAGACTCTGGATGTTAGTTCCCAGAGGAGGCAGAGAGTTTGCCTCATGCTTATGACGCTGGGATCCGGATCTTTGGGAGATGCAATGATCATAGGAGTCCATACCTACTTCTCTCTAGGAGTCGTGCTCTGCTCTTCCCTGATCCTGTATTGCTACATCCACCTCTATTTCGTCACCAAGACCGCCGGCATCTGGCAGAGTCGCTATTCCAGGGCCAGGGTAACTCTTCTGGCCCATGCCGTCATGCTCCTGCTCTATTTCGGCCCAGGCCTGGTCTTCGCTGTCGAACTCATCCTCTTTCACCATCCCTCAGTCAGCATGGATGTCAGGGTTTGGGTGAACATCACAAATTTCAACCTGTTAATGCTGCTGCCCAGAGCTTGCTTCCCTTACCTGTATGGCCTGAGATACCGGGAGATCTCAGACACTCTCAGGGGGCTCTTCCACAGACGGAAGATGAGCCAAATCAGAGCCGCATAGTTGCCACTGAAACTTAGCAAAGTAACCAAACTGGAAAATGGTGACAAATCCCAATATTTCCAATGAAGAAATGTATGAATTTTGGCAGTAAAGATAATTGTAAATATATAAGAGATCGTTTTTAAGAAATATATAAACCTGGTATTACAAGACATGATTCTATTTTAGTGGTTACAAAAATGTATTATTTTCTTCACAACCATATATACAGTATATAATATGGTTCTATACAACCATTATGTTTCTGCCTGTATCATAATTAAAATTAGGGCAAAATTATAGAAGTATGGCTTTGTTTTGCTTTTTAATTTAAAAATCTATAGTGATTCCATTAAACAGCTTAATATTAAACCCTTTAAGTAATCAATATAGTACTTAAAGATACATGTTTTGTGCAACAGACGATTAACCAGTGGAATTATAATCAAAATACAAGTCTGGAACATGCAGGACACTATAGTGTAACTGCCTTATATTGCTCACAACTGTAACTATTACTTATAAAGCTAATGCCATTTTGATTATTTTTTTTACTTTTAAAGCTTTTTGAGTGTAACACGTGTATTTATTTCTGGCAAGCCAAAGGAGTTTAAGTGTTTCTATATTTCTACACCAAACCTACTTACACTGCAGTGCTTGTTTGCTCAATCATTCTTATTGCAGCCATGAATCTATGCTTTGCTGAAGATAATCTAGCAAAAAAGGAATTATGCACAGGAACTGTTGTCTTCACCTCTGAGTGAGAAGCAGCAGGTTTAGAATATTTTACCCTGCTCTTAAAGTAATTGAGCTCTTAGGTTTAAAGTAAAACTCCAGGAGCTGCTGTTGTCTGTTTACAAAACATATTTTGCTAAACAAGTATGGTGAACACAGTACAATGCCATTTTACTTGTCATTTGCTCAGAAGTCGGCAGTCGGAAACAATTTTAGTCTGCACAAATAAGGACCCTGTCTTTTTATTGTCAACAAAAACTATTATTATTATTATTATTATTATTATTGAGTTAAATTAGGAAAACATTCAGAGGTTGGTAGTGGAAGATGACAGCATTGATGACTTTTAATCTTTTACAAATTGTGCTTTCTGGTATTCATTCTAACAGCTTTCTAAAAGTTGCATTTTCCGCTTTTCAACGCATATTGGTATAATTTAATTATTTTGGCCTGTACTGTAAAACCTGAAATGCAGTGCATCCCAAGGAAAGAAAGCAAATGGCTTATCCAAGGATGCCATATTATTTTGAGTTTATCCTGCAGGGTTTATCTGGACTCCCCTTTTGAACAAAGACTGGATGGTCAGAGAGAGTTCCATGCATCTGAAGCCATACAGATAGGGCGTCAAAACCTTGGGCAAAGGCAGCACTATATTGTTAATGACCATGCTCACATAAAGTACAGAAGTACTGTCTATCAGTTTATAGGACAAAAGAATCTTTTGGATGATCAGGAGGACCGTGGGAAGAAAGTAAAAAATGAAGATTACGGAGTGGATGGAAATTGTTTGCCTGGCCTTGGAAGGCATCCCGTTCCAAATCCCTGACTTTCTGGTCTTCGAGACCAACAGATAAAAACATACAAAGATTAAAACAAAACAGGAAGAGCACAGCACCACCAGGGTGATGTAGTTAACTTCTATGATGGCTGATGAGGGCTGAAGCAGGTAGATCATGAGATTGAAGTAGCAAATTGGGATTTCACACACGAAAGCATGATCGTTTGAAACAGCCAAGAATGAGATTAGGGGGACTATGGAGGACAAGACCCAGATAGCAGCTATAATCTTCACTGCTCTAGAGGGAGTGATGATTGAGTTGTATTGCAGAGGCCAGTTCACAGCCAAGTAGATGTTCACCCCCATCACGGTAATGTTTAGCACTCCAGAGAAGAACACAACCAACAGAAGTCCTAGAAGAATGTCGCAGAGCTTAGCAGGAAAAAACACAGGAGAGATGTTAGTTGCCGTCACAGTGAAATTGATGGAGCAGTAAAGTAAATCGATGATTAAGCTGTTGGCCAGCAGCCTGAATCTCGTCTCCTGGTGGAGGGCATGACTAGAGAATATCGCAAAAAGGGTTACTGGGTTTGCCAACAACAAAGCAAACTGAAAAACCGTTGCAGGAATGACGAAGTATTTTCCAGTTCCAGAGACTATAATTTCGATCCATCTCTTCAAGATCCTATCATTTGCATGGATGTCCGACAGACTAGAGGTATTCCAGGAGAAATGATCCACGAGATTTTTTGAGAAGTTGAAAGCAATCTTGTTTATCATGGTACAATTCATATCTCCCAGTGTTCGTATAAGCACTTCTGGCTTTTAAGATTTGTCCTGTTATCCTTATTTGTTAGAGGGTCATTGAATATCTTCAGCTGCTAAAATTGATCTCTCCCATAATTTCATCATAATTGATCAGTTATGGTGAACATTTTTGCAAATGCTGTTCAGCTATTTTTCTAGTCCATAATTCTTCACCGGAGATGCTCTTATAAAAAAGGCTTGATGGATGGTTGTTCTCAGTGAAAAACACTAAGATAGCAAAGCCTAGTTTTCCTTATCAGCTTTGATAAAAATGTCTTCTGTTGTCGAATTGATTTTTTTGAAGAAATACTGTGACTAAAATAATTTTTGGTTATAATAACTTTTGCCCACGCACCTTATTTTCCTCTAGATTTCAGCTTGGTAGCTTCTAGTCCTGTGAGCTCTGAGACTGTAAGGCACTTGTCTCAAAGTCAGGTATCAAATAATGATTATTTTCATTGCTATTTTTCCTCGACAAATAAATATAGACTGGTTGCCAGGTGCCTTAGATGTTTTGATCACATTTACGCTGGTATTCTTCATCATGTTTCCTCATAAAAACAGAGGGAGTGTGTCTTTGTGCTCCACACTGGAATGCAGTGCTCGAAGCAGAATCTAAATGGATATGTGAGGCAGTGGTTGTTTCAATCAGATACAAAAGTGAGATGGCTAGGAAGAAGTACACACTGTAGGTTGTAATTGATTAGAGCAAGCCTTCAGACATGTCACAATGGGAGTGAAAGGGAGTACTTCACGCTGTGACTAAGTATGCCACACTTGGACATCAGAAAACCAGTAAGATAAACACAATTGGAAAGAAACAGACCTAAGACCTCATCTTTGCACAGGGTAGAAGTGAATAAAATTATTTTTTTGACTGTATCTCATAAATGAGACTTTGAAAAACATACTGTAAGTACTACAGAGTGAGTTATTTGTGACCTGTGGAGAACTGAAGTTTAACTTCCAGTGTTTAATTTCGTCCAACGCTTCTTCATGCTCAACAAGCATAGACACCGTTGAAGCATCTTAGCAATCGAAAGGGAAAATGCAGAAAAAAGAAGGGTGGGAATTTTTAACATTTATATTTTGTGGTTGTTTTGTTACTTGAATTTGTCTTCACATTTATTTTTATTTTTGTCTTTCATTATAAGAGATTCAATGGAACAGGAAACCTCTAAGGTCAATAGAACACATTAATGAAAATAAGATCACTGGAAAAAAGCTTTCCACTGCAAGTTGCAAAGTTTGTGTTAATATAAGATAAAGCAAACTAAAAAGTGTCCTGCTTTTTTCTGCTTGTCTAGAAAACAAGGCTCATGAGACCCCTTTTGAATAGCACTAATCCTGATTCACTCCAAAGGACTATGGAGAAGAAGGAATGTATCCATTTACCTGAGTACTGCTGTTTGCTTGAGTTAATGTGTTCTTTGGGAGTCCTTAGCAAGTGCACCCATTGTCAATTGATTGCTCTGACATTCATTAATCTAAAGCTTTTAATGTTCGTTAACAGCTTGGCAGAGTTTCTGCAAGCCACCCTTCAGCCTTAAGAGAAATAGGTTCCTCTGCCGGCCAAGCATTCTGCCTGATACAGGTGGAATTTGTTTTTCAAATTCACTTTAATGGATGCTGAAGCCACATTTCTCTCTCTGCTGTGCACTTTCGGGACCTGGTACAACAGCTCAGGCTCTGCTGAAGGGAGCTCCAAAACGTCAAATACAACCAACTCCTCCACAGGCAGCCTGGAACGATTCACTGTGGAGTGGCAGCACTTCATGCCCCCATGGCAGATGAGTCTCCTGCAGATCTGCCCCATCCTTTGCTTCCTGGCTGTCCTGCTAGTGATTCCTCTTATCTTAGTGAAAGTCTTCTCCAACCCCAGGATGCGTCAAGAAACTCGCTACCTACTTCTGGCCAACGCCTTGCTGTGTGACCTGATGTTCATCTCCTTCTATATGCTGACCACCTGCTTCAGTGCCGCTGGAGTGCTCATGAGCAAGGAGGCCTGTGCGTCACTGCTCTACTTTTTAGGTGTTTTCTATGGAGCCGGAGTTCTCACCACCAAAGCCATGGTGCTGGACACCTCCTTGGCTGTGCTGCTGCCTCTCCGGTACTTGTCTCTCTGGCCGGTTTCCAGGACCAAGAAGGCCATTCTGATGATGTGGCTCTCCTCCTTGCTTTTGCCCGCCGCCAGCGTGGGGCTGTTTTTGTGGTATCAATCCAGTAGTCCTTGTATGATGCAGATTTGCTCCTTGCCCTTGCTGCTTGTCTTGACGGTGAACAGTTCTAGACCCTTGCGTGTGTCCTTGCTGGTAGCACTAACATGCCTCCTGGTCTGCCTGCTCCTGGTCTTCTGTGGCTACGTCATACTGTACTACAAGACTAGGCACTCTGGGATATGGAGAGGATGCTTCTCCCGGGCTAAGGGAACATTCCTGATCCATTACCTGCTCTTATTCCTGTCCTGCTGCCCGGCGCTTGTGCTTGTGATTGAGCTCCTACTGTACACAGGCAATGGTATTGATCTGAGGACGGATCTCTGGGTGTCTCTAGTCATATGCAACATCCTGGTGGTGCTACCCAAAACTCTGTGCCCCTACATGTATGGACTGAGGTACAGGGACTTATCCAAAGCTGTCCTGGCATTCTACAGGCTAAAATGGCCAAGCCCAGCAGTGTCCCCACTTACATAGTGTTTGGGATTAAGCACAGCAAGAATGGCAGAAGCTGTCCAGAAAATGGGCAGTGATTAGATTTTTATTTGTTGTTGTATCAAGGTAGGGTTAATTGTCCTTTTATTATTTCTTATCAATCATAAGATTGTGATTAGGTATTTATTTGATATTATTGCATTATTGTGAGTATCTTCACAGCACATTAGGCACTGTGGTATTTTAATACCATTTGCCGATATAGCTTGAATAAAGCTGCGAGTCTCATAAATAGAAAAGCCACTTCTGAGATCAGGGTTTCGGAGGTGTTAGTGACAAGCTGCATGGTGAGATGTGTTAGAAGAAGGTGATGTACACTTGCACAGTGGCTGTTCTAAATTTGATATTCACCGAGATATCTGAAATGTCTGTTCCTGACATTATTAACAGAAATAAAGCAATTAAGTTTGCAGACACTAAAATAACTCATTAGTTATTATGGCCCATTTGATGGATGGCACCTTGTTTCTACTTTCTCGGGGTGGAAACAAAACACATTGACCTTTATTTTCCAGTGTTACACATTTGATAATAATATTCTAAAATAATTCTTAGTAAATTTTTAGTATGTTTATTGTTGTGTAGGAGAAAGGATCTGTGAACTTACATATAATACAAGCTATCATAATTTAAAACATAGAGCTTCACATCTTCAAATTGCATAAGAGAGAGGAGTGATGCTGCACCATTTTCAAAATTGTATTAACTTTTTTGGTTTCTGGGGAATAATATTGGATTATTTCTAAATTAATAGCATGTGTGTTTCCAAAATGAGAAGCAAAATAATGTATAAGAACTGATCATTACAACCACTAGTGTGTCTCACTAAATCCTGTAAGATTGTGGTTTCATTAGCTAAGCCAGTGGGAGCCTGTTCTCTAAAAGAGACAAGGACTTGCTAAGACACATCTGTTTCAGCAGAAAGCTATTCCCAGATGATTTTTACTGTTATCATCCAGTGCCTACTTCCTACTTCAAGTGACTGAGTGATTTCTGTTCTGAGAGTGTCAAGGTATCATCCATGAGTTCAAATAACAGCTGGATAATGAGAGAATACAGTGGGAGAATTGGGGTACCCTTCAGTATTGTGCTTGTCATAGAGTAAACTACCGTATTGGGTTCACCTTTAGGATGGGCTTTTAAAGGATGTCCAGAAGGCACAAGTGAGGAAATCACTTTGAAACTGACTGAGTAAAGAGGAAATGCATTAAAACAAAAGTCATACTAATATGGATTTAGTTTTATTACACATCAAAGTGATTTCACAGTCTTTGTAGCTCAGAAACATAATATAAAGAGATATAATGGACAAATAGACATTTGGCAATAATTTTAAAGGCAACATTTATTTTTATTCAGAAGTGGGTCCGACATTGCATCCAAAACCAGGAAGGTTTCACAAAGCAGCTACGTGTTTGTTCATGATAAGCTCTAACGTGAGGCTGCTTTTTGCTGTGTGGACAGAAATCAAATCGTTAAGGCAATCTTCAGGGAAACACAGTAAGTCAATTGGAAGCGAATATGTCATAAGTCTGGAAAAAATGATTTTTACATTTGCATTAGATCTGTGCTTGAGTGAAACATTAGTCACTTCCTGTTCAGATGGACAAGCTGAGCTGTACACCCAGAATAAACTGAAACTCTTGTGCCAGGACTGCAAGTATGTTGGATTCATTATTAATCGCTGCTTTTGGTTGGCATCAGTGTCTCAGCAAGCCTCTGTTCATACAGTATAGCAGTTGACAACCAAGCCTCACTATCCTCATCTTCTGAAAGTAACTTAAGGCTAGTGTGACCAAAACATTGTAAAAGTGCCAGTCAAAATAATGGTCGTAAGTAATAAATAGTAGCAGGATAGCAGAGTGTGTATTTGGATTATACCAAGAGATTCAGAGGGGGTGCTACAGTGCTGTATCAGTTTCAGAGAGAAAAGGGTGTGGTGTGGACAAATAGTGGTCTGAGAGTAGTGGCTGACCTGACAGAAAACCTAGGCAGGTGGTCATAGCGCTTTATCAGAGTGGCACGAGACCAGGAGACAGACTGCCCTGCTCTAACAGCAATCAGAGTGAGGAGAACTGAAGCACATGAGCTATTTCTTTCTGATATAGGTGAGGAAGTCAATTGTCATGTTTTGTAGAAAGCTGAGTCTATCAGTGTTTTTTTTTAAACTGTTTGTTTTATTTCTGATGAATCCATGACCGGATGAAAAACATGTTAAAAACTGTTTTCTAGACAAGTTACAACATCTCAGATCAAAATACCAGCACAAACACAGTTCTAATATACAGTATGCCCACTAAGGGGAGACATTGTTTTATCTTATTTGTGAGCTTTGAAATTGAATTTTTCTACAATGAGAGATTAGCTAACGAGACCTTTTGGATCTCTTAAAATGAAAGAGTGCCTGTTTAAAATGAACATTGGCAGATGTTAAAGGAGAGAAATGTATTTCATAGATATAAGGTTTACACACTGTTATAATGCAGTAAAATTTCATCACCCTGCAACTCACAACTGGCAACCCCCTGAAGCTAAGCAGGTGTAAGCCGGGTCAGTACCTGGATGGGAGACCTCCTGGGAAAAACTAAGGTTGCTACTGGAAGAGATGTTAGTGGAGCCAGCAGGGGGCACTCATCCTGCTGTCTATGTGCGTCCTAATGCCCCAGTATAGTAACGTGGACACTATACTGTAAACAGGCTGTGTTGGATGAGATGTAAAACCAAGGTCCTGACTCTCTGTGGTCATTAAAAATCCCAGGGCGTTTCTCAAGTAGGGTGTGTAACCTCGGCGTCCTGGCCAAATTTCCCATTGGACCTTATCAATCATGGCCTCCTAATAATCCCCATCTATGAATTGGCATCATTACTCTGCTCTCCCCACTGATAGCTGGTGAGTGGTGAGCTTTCTGGCGCACTATGGCTGCCGTCGCATCATCCAGGTGGGGCTGCACATTGGTGGTGGTGGAGGGGAGTCCCCATTACCTGTAAAGTGCTTTGAGTGGACTGTCCAGAAAAGCGCTATATAAGTGTAAACAATTATTATTATAATCATGTGGCATTATAAATAACTATTTTCATAGTACAAATGCAATGTTTCACTCACCCTTCTCACATACTTTATTTATCTAGTGGTTCTCTTATTTAAATCAACAAATAAAAGGATTGGTTTCTTACAATTACAAAAGGGTGAAGCAGAACATATATCCTGTTCTGCTGCTTAATTATTTGTTGGGTTGGTGCCTTTTATTTTAAAGCAAAACAAAGGAAAACAAGGAGAGCTGAGTAATTGAAGCATCAGCCCAAACTAGTTTGTGTCCTCAGATTATAAAAATATAAAAATCAGTGCAGTTAATTTTCCACTGGGCAGATATCTTTCTGGTATATTGCAGTTATCTATCATTGGCTATTGCAAATCCCTGGCTTTGCGTGAATAACAGCTGAACAATTTTTTGGATGTGTTTTCCATCCTCTGTTCATGCTTTAACTTGGGCCCTGCAGGTCTTAACAGAACTAAGAATTCGTCAAGGTACTTACGTTTTATAGCTCTTGCTTAATTCAAAGGAAGTCTAAAATTTGCATTCTCTCTAAAAATAGTTGGCTGTTGGAAGTTGTTTGAAGAGCAAAAATAATCATTATGATATAAATGTATTAAGCACAAAAGCAGAAATCTGTAATCAATAAGCATAGAAACAGAGAATTATGGCTTTAAAATTCTAAAGCATGACACAGAATTTAGCAGTTTCACTCCAATTAATTAATGGCTTCCCCAGTATCAGTACTAAGAACGTTCAACCTACATAGCTCATTCCAGTGGACAGCAAGGTGGCAGACAGGGGCAGACAGTACTGCTGCCTCCTAGCTCCAGGCTACTGAGGTGCTGTCTGTACAGAGCATGCATGTTTTCCCACTTCCTCTAGTTTTTTCCCATCTTCCCGAAACATGCTGTTTCCTCAGAATGAGGTACATTCTCAATTGGTCCCTCTGAACAAGGCTGCAGGCTACTGCTACAATTACCCAGAACAAGACACTTCCTGCTAATGGATGCATCATCAGCCAAGAAAAAACATGCATGCGCTGTCGAAGATAATAGCGTGCAAGGGCACATTTCAGTTCCAGACAATTACAAAAGTCCTGACTTTGAACAACCTGTCATTACCACACACAGAAAAGCTTCCTCAATTAACTCTCCTCTTCTGTCTTTGGTTTCTAAGTTAGCTGCCGGAGATTACACCTACAGACAGGTGACAGACCAGTGTTGCCCAAGTGTTGTGAAATCAGCCCTGTGTTATTTACTAACTTCCTTTCTGCTTGCAGGCAGTGTACAGCATACAGCTCTTTCCCTTAGTACAGTTCCCTCTAGTTTGCACTTCACTTAGGCTCTGTTTTTTTATATATATATAACCCTTGCAACCAAAAAAGGATTACCAGTGGCAAATGCATTGAAAGCATAGTGTGTTGTTGCTCATTCTTTGTTTTGTTTCATATGTATGTGAACCATATATTTGTGTAAGTATATAGAGTACATAGGTGTGTCTTAACCACTATAAGTATATATGCTACAAGTAAATAGTCCTTTAAAAAACAAGTTCTTCCCAGAAAGGTTGTAATCCCTATTTTATAACGATAAAATCAGTATGAAACCAAACAGTTTTCTTTCTTTTTTTGTTCTCTGCTCAAATTGTTCCTCATGTTTAAACCAAAGAAAATCAAAATGTATTGTCCAGATGTCTTGTGTTAAGTTGCACAGTGGGGTTGATAATTCTACTTGAGGCTCAGGTATTAATTAACCAATGTAACTGATGTAAAAGTTTGGTTTACTCTAGACAATAAACACCTCTTATAATTAAATAAGAATCAATTATTTCCCACCATCGATAAATAAATTCTAAAGTGTACAAGAAATCCAGACACAAAGTGATCCCAGTCCTGTCGGTGGTGACAAACCTTGTAATTCCACAGTTAAGACAGGCACTGAAAAATTATCTTAGTTGTATGTAGATTTTACAGTTGCATTTCTGGATGAGCATATCTCTTGGACTAGAAATACATCTATTAGCAGGACTCTATCCAATTTCTGATCAGGAAAATCCTTCTTTCACTTCATGGTTTCTGTCACTTACAGTAAATCTTACCCCTCTCTTACTGTACCTTCAGCAGCAGGAGAACTCACAGACACAAGATCTAACAACAGCTAAGCCAAGAAAAAGTGCCGTTTCACCACTCAGACTGCCACTGTTTGACGCCTGGAATCATCACCCACTCTTCTGCAACTTGAAATGCTCACCAATACCTTGAACAATTTCTCTTTAAGGAGAGGCAGTGAGGCTTATTACAGTAAATGTTAATCCATTTTCTAACCACTTCTTCCAATTCAGGGTTGCGGGGGAGCAGCAGCCCATCTTGGCAGGCTATGGGTGCAAGGCAGGGTGCACCCTGGTCAAGACGCCAGTCCCTCACAGGGCACACACTCACACCAGGGCCCATTCTCCCAGCAGCCAAGCAACTACCAGTATGTTTTTGGACTGTGCATGGAGGCTAGAACACCCAGAGGAAACCCTTGTGAACATTTAAACTCCAGACAGAGAGCCTCCCAGGTCTGGAATTTCACCCAGCTCCAGCACTGCGTGGCACCATTGCTCACCACTGTGCCACCATGCCACCCTTATTACATTCATATAGTGTGAAAAAAAGTATTGCCGCAGCTCTGGAAAGGTAATAGCAGACAGTCTTTTATCATCATTAAGTATCTAGCAGCCCTTGGGGGAAAATCACAGCACTGTGTTGAATGGTGTTTTTACTGTTTTACACACAGAATACACTAATGATCCAGATGTCATAAAAGGCCCCAAAAATGTGGTCACACAAAACGTTAAAGCAAAAAATAATGACGGGACTTTTTGGTACACGCGAAAACATGAAGCTTTTCCACGCTAACGCGTATTGTAATGTGTCCGTCTTCTGACACAGGCGTTCCACTGTGTGGCGAAAAAACAACAGTCAAAACCAAGTAGGAATGAAGTGAAACCAGGAGATGTTGTAAATACGGACATAAACAGAGCATAAACGTTAAGAAGGAACAGCAGGCACCACACAATTAGAATTGAAAAACAGAACTTCTTCATATTTTGGGAGTGGGGCGAGGAGCCATCTGTTTCTGTTGTAACACTTCCTATTTTAGAGTTTCCTATTCGATCCTGTTGTGCTGTGTGGTGTTTTTTTAAAGAGATTGCCTCTTGATTTGTGTCCACCGACAGTGTTTTATTTTGTAGTATATTTCAGGGAAAACTAATAACAGTATAAAAAGCCTTTAGTTGGTAAAGCTGCATAGAGACCAGGGAAATATGCGATTTAATCTCATAATAATTCAATTTCACCTTATTTCTTTGACAATCATGTAACTATTTTTCAATTTTCTCTAAACATACATGTATTAATTCCAACTAGACATGGGTTTTGCAAGTACATACTGTAGTTAATGTGCAGGAAAATAAAATAACAGCATACAGACTATCTTACATCAACTCCCAACCCAGTTCTCTCTCTATATATATATATTTAAAATTCAGCAGGTTCTCTTTGTTTGAAAAGTCTGTAGTAATTCAAGGTAACTATGCTGATTAAACCAGAATTGAAACGCATGATACAAAAACAAAACCTGTTTCCTGGAGCTCTGCTGCCATACAGTCTATTATAGACACAATCGAGGCATATGGAGGAGCAGATGGTTGTTTACGTGATGATTATGAAATCCGAGGAATTTAAAAAAAAGGAGCTCTTGACCACGTGAGTTACAGCTAGCGCAATAATACATGTACAGTCGTTTACCTGGAACTGGCACTTTGTTTGCAAACAAAAGCCGGCCACGTGGAGACGGGGGATGTTGGGAAATGTAGTTTTTGAAGAAAGTGCATTACACCACTTTTTCCAGAAATAGCACGACTAATGAAATACACCTCCCACAAACCTCAACACTTTAAGATGATTGGATGGCTGCTGTTTGCGTGTCCTCGGGGATGTGATGACATGTTTTTTGTGCTGTCCTAACCGTTTTTATGAAGTTGTTTGTTAGGTTAAACAGAATGTGACGGTCAAGGTGGAATAGATAATTGCCGAAAGAAGGAAGCTGGAGAAAAAATTCGGAATTATACATTAATTCTGGATTAGAAGCCTTCTGATAAAAAGAAGTCACTTCGCAAGCGGTTTATTATTTTTTCGTTCGGTTTTATTTTTGTCTAAATATTCTTTTGCGGCCGCATTAAATTTAGAAAGGTAAGGATGCTGTAAGGTGACACGAGTTTGCAAAATAACACCGTTTATGTGTGAATGTTGTGAAAGATTTTAAATGTTTTTTTTTATTCTAATTTAGCATTAACATTCATACGTGGTACCACTAGCTGTGATCACGTTATTGTTTTATTGTTGTTAGTTTTGTTTAAATTTGGTATCTTGTGTTTGACATTTCCTATACGTTTTGTAGACAGTGGTGTTTGTTTATAAGACGGGAAGTTGGTTGTCGGGGTGATTGTTCGCTAAAGAGGAAAGTAGGGTGTTCTAAATTCAAATTACGTCTGGTTTGGGCTGAATTTAGGTCGGATTAGTTTTCATATGTAACTAGGAGAGCTGTAAAGATTAGACTATCTATGATAAACCCGTAATGGCTTGTTAAATATTTTGATCAGGCAATGGCATGTGATCGAGACTCTGGGGACCAGGCTGTTGTTTACATCCATTTTTGTTAAGAGGCAGATTTAAAAAAAAAATTGAGTTACATCTAGACGTTCTAAGCAACAAACTGCGAATCAAAACTAGAGTTAGATCTTTTAATAGCTACACAATTCCAGTCGCCACAAGCCGTTATATATTCTCTATACTGCAAAATGACTTTTTTTTCCTCTTGGTTGAACTTGGGGCATCCAAACCCTTTGTTGAAAGACCTTCTGATGGGGGAAATCGCCTTTTGTCGCGGGGGGGCGCAGTTTGTTTAGGTAAAGTATTGTGTTGTGGTTACATTGTAGCTGTAAGTTCTGTCTTTGGACTTTTGTTTTGCTTACTGAGTTCCTTATATCTACGAAATGTCCGCACCTAGATAGCGACTCTTGTCTTTCGACCCACCGCAGGGAAATAGAGTGTTTTTATCTTTCCTCGCCGAAGTCATATGATTGAATATCTCTGATTCCGGCGTGGGACTGGCGAGCAGCCTGGGTTATGTGTTGCTTGGAACGCAAATAAAAGCTGTATTTTCCGCGACCATTTCTTCTCTCTTTATCGGTGATGCTGATGTCAGTGTTGAGAAGATGAAATAAAGTTAATCGGTGCAGAAAAGTGTATCATTTTCTTAAGTACAACAGAGTTTTGTTTACGTTTTAGTTTTAAGTTTTAATGCAAAATGGTTTTATTCGGGGTTTTTTTATCTTTTAGTAATTCAATAGTAAGAGAGAGGTATTCGTCTAACCCCCAAGGTGTTACTGAGATCCCCCAATTAGCTGTTACGGCGAATGAAAGATAATTTTATTTTATCGTTGGTTTGCTTTAACAGACCTGTAGTCTCAATTACTCTTCGATTATAGGAAACCTCACTTAATAAACTAGTGTATAAGAATCTCAAATAGGGCATTTTCCGCGTGATTGTTTTCATAACGTGTTAAAATATTCTCCGTCAGCTCGGAAGAGGCCCAAGACAATAGTTTTAAAGTAGCTACAGATAGTTAATTTGACCTTAGTTCTGTAAATTTTAAACGAATTCAATGCAAAGTACTTCATTCATCCCCATCGGATAAGTGTTAACAAGCAGTGTAAATACAACATATTTGAAATAAAATTGGTAAAAAAACAAAGCATAACAATATTTCTAAAAAATCAATGAACAAAACAGCAGAAGGTACATAAAATGATTATGAGAGTAATTAAAGTGCATGTGTATTGTATGGACTCTGTCCTATACTACAATACAAAATTATAATCAGTTTATTGGATATTAAAGTACATGTACATTTTCAGAGGAGGCTCTATCCAATAGAGATCAATCACATTGATAAACTGTTCGTTACCCACATTATTAGTAAGCCTGATGGCCTGTGCAATGAAACTACATTTTCTTCTATTTTTTATTTTCTTCTTGCACCATGGATAGCAAAAACATCTTCATCGTTTTTTTGTAACTTTTGCCTTCAGGTAGAATATGAGATGGGTCTTTAGTGATGGCATGGTCTTCCTCGGGATTTGATGGATATGTATATTAGTTGGATAAGTTTTAGAAATGTAAAAAATAGAAGAGACATTCAGCTCCAGCTATAAGCACTGTGAACAGAACTGTAAATAGGTTATCAGTGTGCATGACTCATTTGTGTCTTTTAGTAGTACTGAGTGTTTTGTTAGGTGAATTAACAGCTTTTGGAATAGATGGTTTCGCAACACATCCAGATGATTGCTATACTGTCTTACATGTTTCAGCCTTTCCACTAAGTGGATGCATGTACTATAACTTCTGCATAATACTTCAGATTTTGGATGTGATGATAAACTGTTAAAAAATATGGAATTTCTCAAATATTTTCTTGGAGCAGTAAAAATACTGAAAAGTCACAACACTAAAAATGTAAACTTTTGCTTTTGATGGCATTGAATAAAATATTACAAGTCACAAGCTGACATGCACTTTTTTAACATATTTGCGGAGAACTGTACAGTATGCCTGTGTTCTGCCTCACCATATAGTGGAGAAGCCATGGTGGAGTTATTTAGCCTTGTAATGTCCTTACTTAACATATTGGTAATGTTTGTCTTTCGTAACTATGCTTACAATTTGAGTTGTCTCATTTAAGTACACAACAATATTCCTTTAAAGCTAAATGGCCTGTTGCTTTTAGTGTAGACTGTGCAACACTCGTGGATTAAATTGCACTCTCAGGTAGATATATGAAGGCAAGTGATATTGTATTCTTTGATGGGTGAACAAGAAAACAAGTCGTTCTGGTTTTGGGTTTCACTGTAGCCCCATGCACAGTACAGGTGAACAGATATTTGCAGGAAGTAAATGGTTCTCTTGGCACCAGTGTAATTTAGTATTTGTTTTACAGGAAGACTTAAAGAAAAAAAAACTGACATTGTGTAATCTTTGTAGCTGATGTTAACCCATTGTACTGTACATGAGGTGTAGGATTCATCTGCTCCCCTGAAGAAAATTACGCAATACTTTTTTTTCTTTTGGATTTTTTTTAAGTTGACCTTTTAAACTAATGTTCTAGCAACGTAGCTCCCTTATGTTTTGAACTGATAACCCACATAGACTGAGTTGTTTTCCTAAAATCTATTTATTGAATGTTGTACTAACCATTGCCTCATTTTTCTGAATATATAATAACACCTGAACTCATTTGTGTGTCACAGTTGTATTGTTATCAATGCTGAGACCTGTAAAGAACATTTTTGCACCGTTTCGTTCTTCTTTGCACTTTGTTCTAGTACACTTAGCATTTGCAAGTTAAGTATATGTGCTGTGTTTTTTACGTCAAACCTGCTGCTATTGTTACATCTTATAGTGAGAGATTTTCTTTCTCGTTGTCATAGGGCGCGTACTGTGACCTCTTTGGTCCCTGCAGGAAATAAAGTGCACCAAAGGTGGATGCAGCCATGGTCTTGATCCTGGGCAGAAGGTTGAACAGGGAAGATGTAGGGGTCCGTGATTCTCCTGCAGTGAAGCGCAAGGTCTTTGAAGTGGACTCCAAGACACTGGTGAACCACGACATCTTTGACTTCTCGTCAGGCTCCTCGCACGCTGAGAGCATACTGCAGGTGCTCAACGAGTTCCGGGACAGCCGTCTTTTCACCGATGTCATCATCTGTGTAGAGGGCCGCGAGTTCCCCTGCCACCGCGCGGTGCTGTCCGCCTGCAGCAGCTACTTCCGGGCCATGTTCTGCAACGACCACCGGGAGAGCCGCGAGATGTTGGTGGAGATCAACGGCATCCTCGCTGAGGCTATGGACAACTTCCTGCAATACGTCTATACGGGCAAGGCCAAGATTACCACAGAAAATGTACAGTTCCTCTTCGAGACCTCTAGCCTCTTCCAGATTGGGGCCCTACGTGATGCCTGTGCCAAGTTCTTGGAGGACCAGCTGGATCCCTGCAACTGCCTGGGCATCCAGCGCTTTGCTGACACGCACTCCCTCAAGCAGCTGGCCAGCCGCTGCCGCACCTACGCCATGCAGAACTTCACGGAGGTGGCCCAGCATGAAGAGTTCCTCGATCTCCGGCGGGATGAGCTGGAGGAGTACATCTCCAGCGACGAGCTCGTCATCAACAAGGAGGAGATGGTCTTTGAGGCTGTCATGCGCTGGGTCTACCATGACGTGGAGTACCGCCGGCCCATGCTCAAAGACCTCCTCCACCATGTTCGTATGCCTCTCCTGCACCCCAACTACTTTGTCCAGACTGTGGAGGGGGACCGTCTCATCCAGAACTCCCCTGAATGCTACCAGTTGCTCCATGAGGCCAGGAGGTACCACGTGCTGGGCAATGAGATGATGTCTCCTAGAACCCGACCTCGCAGGTAAAGGCAAAATGTGTCTGAATGTGCTTGTCTGCGGGGAGGTTTTGTAATGGTGTAGGTATATTGGATTTCATTTGACCAAATGTGAAACTTGGTCTTTTGTCCATGTGTTTTTTTATTTTAAGGATTAGGCATAAGTTAGTGACTGTCAGTGTTGCTAGAACAGCTCTGTCAGAATTCTTTGTTTCAATGTCTCCTTTCCATACACCTTTCAGATGAGCTGCCTGTCATTATTATAAAGAGGTTAGCTGTAATTATATGATTAGTGCACCTCCTGTTGGGGGAATTCAGACATGATAGTCTCTCATTCTTGTGCTTTCTAGTTATCCCTTGTTTACCAAATAGTTTTGTTTTTCTTTTTCTTTTGAAGTGGCAAGGCTGGGGTTGTGGAGTAAACATCAGCTAGCCTGCTCTTTTATTAAAAACATAAATTAATGATAAGAAAGCCAAAACAAGCAGATAGTGGCAGGTGATAAGGTTTTTCTTCTGAAACTTGAAAGGGTATAAAATCCAATAAATACTGTTATGCTTCCCTGATGTCTGTCAGATTTTATTGTTCTTGTTCCTTCAGACCATCTAGCTGGCAATTGGCTTCATGTGTACTGAGCATCAGAAGATGTATGTCACTCCGTGCATGTTTTTGGAAAACTGAGTATTGATGAAAAGTTCTGGTATCATTTTGATTCAAGATCATTCATGACTGACCATGATACACCCAAGTCACTTTGACTGTTGCATAAGGTTGTCATCTCTTTAGTACATCTTAAGAATAAGACCTTTGAGCCAATAGTAGACAGTATATTGAGTCTGGGCTAAGGTGGAGTAAGCACCAGTGGATCCACGTTTAGCAAGGTTTTGTATACGCCACACTGATGGCCATCAGTAAGTGTGCCACAGATTTTCAGAATAATAATCGTCCAAGAGGGATGGTCTGGACAGGAGTTTAGTCTTTACAGAAATCCACTGGTGGTGATTAATGGCAGCCTAACGGCAAGGTATATACTGTACAGTATATATATTGTTCAAGTCCTGGCATTTCACTTGCTGCCCTAACTGTCACACCATTACAGTATTAGAGTAGGACAGTACGTAAGGCTTATGTAACAATGGCCTTCTTGTGAGATGAGAATGTGAAAGTTGTGCCCTACTCATCATACTGGAGCCCTGGTGAACATCTGTGGGTTGAGCTCTGACGATGTGTGGAATCTAGGACTCAGGGATCAGCTGACAGGCACATGCCTGTCCAGAATGTGCAAGTAGAATGGGCCAAATTCCCATAAGATAACATCTGCAGCCAGGCGCAGAGTATGTGTCACGTGTAGAAATTGAATTGCTTCCAAAATTGACCCCACACACTTGCCTATTACTTTCAGAACAGACGCCATTTTCATCGAATCCTTTAATGACAAATGTAAATCAGCACAATCAATCGATCCAGTTTTTGACTTCTTCAATAAAATGTAGGACTTCTGCAGGTTAGATATGCAGCATATAACTGTATGATTTCTGAAATCTGAAATAACAAAACAACAGAAAAGACTTTCCTTTATTGTAAATTGTTCTGCATCACTTCATAGTACTATCATCGTTAGAGTTTGAAGGTTTTCTGTTCATGCCTATTCTATGTTAAAAAGAATAGGCTTTTCCGTTAAGGTCTATCTTCAGATACTTGTTTCCCTCCATTACAGTGTAGGGGTATTGTATCTCTTCAGTTACAGTGTAGGGGTATTATAACATTGAAAAAAGACAATACACAGAGCCCTTATTCTTCTTTGGATGAAGGTGTTGGCTTATAAACCCACGTAGGAGGCAGCTGGCTCTGCAGACAAGGCAGGAGTTAACTGGAGTGCAGCCCGGTGTCAGGTAGCAGCTGGATGACGCCTACTCTGCCTTGTCAGTATCGAGGCAGAAAACAGAACGATGATGTCTTTCTCTGCACCCTGAGGGCCTCCACTTCCTGCCTGTTAAAGACTGTGTAGTAGCCTATTTAATTTTCTACCACTGCAGAGTTTGTGAATTGCCTTAACTCTGTTTTTTTAGCTGACTATACCTTTTTATTAACTCACTGTGACTTTCTGAAGACAATGTCGAGACCAGGTGCACAGAATTGTAGAACAGGTAAGTTAATCATTGAATCAGTATACACAGTATTCATATACACTATATAGGAAATATAATTATTTGTATTATCATCTGCCAACACTCCTAATGTAAATTGGACATCAAGTGTTTATTCCTGTACCAACAATGTTATTGGCCTGTTTCGTCTGTTATTCAGGCTTCGGTACTGTATATTTCTTGATTCTTTCAAAGTTTACAAGCAGTCTACAATGTCAGTAGGTTTACACTCAGCCCCACCTGCTGAGTCTAGTGAAGTTATTGAATCTCACTGCCACATTTGTCTCCCACCCCCCACAGGTCTACAGGCTTCTCAGAGGTCATTGTGGTGGTTGGTGGCTGTGAGCGAGTGGGGGGCTTCAACCTTCCCTACACTGAATGCTATGACCCGGTGACTGGAGAATGGAAATCTCTGGCCAAACTACCAGAGTTCACCAAGTCTGAATATGCTGTCTGTGCCCTGAGGAATGACATCCTGGTCTCAGGTAAAGTGAATTGGTGGCCTCCGTAAATTAAGGCCTGTCTACTGTTGTATGTTTTCCATAATATGGCTCAATGCCAAGTTTGTTAAAGATGGCACCTCATTTTTTTTCCTTAACATTGTGGCCTAATGCATTTTTACAGCTTGCATGTTGAAACAGTCTGTCTAGTACTACATTTAACTGGAGAACAGTATAGAGTTGAGGCTATGGTGAGAAATATATACATGGCTCTCGGCCTACACAGCAGCAAGTCATGAATTCATTATTACCACATCCAGTACTCATCTAATTAAAAATATATTCAATATACTCCTCATCGCTCTGAATAAGTTTCACGACATTGCCCCCCCCCAGGCATGAATAAGTGTTATTTTTGTGAGTTAGTAGTAATTGGTAATAAATTCAAGAATGTGAGGTCTTACCGTTTCCTGTGGCTTGACTTGATAGTGTTGCCAGGTTTTCTTACTAGAAAGCTTTATGGGATGGTTCTGTAGCAGTGAAATCACTGTACCACTACAATCTATAGAAAAACTTTGTAAACCAACATAAAAGTTTGAGGAAAATACGAGGAAAAGGTGAAATTGCTGTGCACATATTCAGTGCTAAAGAATACCTTTCCATTAATATGTAATTGGTCACCTTACAGTGATAGGTTTCATGATCAGAAAGGAGGGTTTGTATGTTTATATTCCTGTTATGTTTACAGGTTATATTTTGTGATACATTTGATCTTCCTGTTCTGTTGATGTTTCTCCCGCAACCATTGTTTGCTATTCTACCCATCTATTGTTGCAAAAATACTTAAGGCTATTTTACGGCTAAATTGGACAAAGACGTCCGTCACTGTTACACCTGGTTTCTTTTTGTCCAGGGGTAATTTACAGTATATTGCATTCACAAAAAAGAAAAAAAATGGTATTGCAGGTTCATTATTTTGGTATAAGATTCTTGTTTTTTTACCTCCTGTCCTACATAAAATGAATCTGACTCACTTATAAGATACGTAAGTTACCTGCTAGAGAAGACCATTTACTGCTATTTTATGTTTTAGGTAATTTTTGCTATGTCCTGTCACTAGAGAGGAGCATGGAACCTGTTCCTCGATGTATCTTGCGAAGTCTGGACGGAATTTCCATTGAGTGAACACCCTGAACTTGAAAATGCAGGCCGCAGGAGCCAAGTACTCTGAAAGTATTACTCACAGCTTTCAGAGCACACCCTGTGTGGCTCCGTGTGCTCTGGGATCTTAAAGGTTGATTTATATGTCCACTCTTCCACATTCCCAAGAATGCCAAGGACAATTTACCAGTTCTCCTAGCTTCTCGGTCAGGCCTTCAGATGCAGCGTTTCTGAAAGGAAGTTTCAATTCTGTGATATCGCCCGCACTTAGAAGAGCTTTGTTGGAGCTTCATTTACTGTCACTGGGACATGTGGTCCGTCAGTTTTCTTTGGCCTTAAAATGATTTTAGGTTCTCTCTCTCTTGCCAAATCAGGTTTTTTTTTAAAACAGGAACAAGTAATTATTATTTAATATGACTGATACACTAACACTTACAGTATTTAGTACTATGAGATTTTCACAACTGCCAATCCAGCTATTTCTTCCTTATAATTGAAGTATTCAACAGCGTTAACCATGTACATTTTTTCCAAATTGCAGTTTAATGTGCTGTTTTCTTTCAGACCACAATGTCCTAATCTCTCAATCCAGATTGAAAAAAACTCAAATTCAGATAAAACTAATGAGCAATACTAGTAAACGGTCATGATTAAGAGCATTAAATGTAACTGTTACTTCCACAGTGTCCATAATCCAAGATGACAAGTTAATTGTGCACTCACAACCAGAGAGGGCTTGGGGAAACAGGAGACTGTATTTTCAATTTGAGATTTTAAAATGAGTACTATTCACAAAGGTACTATTTAAGTTACCTTGATGATAAATGTTTTAAAAACACTTTCCTGACGGTTTTCTTGCTTCCTGTAATGTTAATAATTCCATGCTACTTGCATTTCATGGGGACAACATACAACAAATTAAAATTAATGGTGTCTTTTTAAAATTAATATGGGTCAATGCCATGTTTTGTGATTAAAGATCATAATTGATTCCTAATACTATTATGAAAAAAAAAGCTTGAATAACCTGGGTGGCAAGTTTTTAGAAGTCTTCTGTCAATATTAGGTGCTTTCCACTGGTTGTGTAATGCTAGCATCACTCTATAATGTATCAGTTAAAAGGAGATTGTGCAACTTTGCAACCTGCCTTATTTTTTTAAGCAACATAAAGAAGCATAGGACTCCTTTAAAATGAGTTCAGTTGTTGCCTTGGGCCCAAAGCATTAATTACTAGCCACTGGAAAACAGCTCAGACCAGCCATTGCGTGACTATTTGCCTACATTTCCATTGTCTTACCTGACAACAGAACAAATATCATCATAACAGGCCCAGAGACCTGATGGTCATTTGTGTCCTGTCTTACAAGAGTCAGGGTCAACCTAGTGTCCTGAATTTAACACAGTGTGAGCAGTGAGACATCTTTTGTGGCGCCAAGGTGTGAAAAGATTTAAGGGGCATCAAATCCTCCACTTCTGCTTTTCCAAGTAGGCTTTTCACAGGGAAAACAAAAAAGATTGTAATCAGTGAAAACCAATCCAACCAAAAATGACATACAGATAAGATGCCGGTATAAGAGCCCACTTTGAAAACTTGAAGCCAGCCTGAAGTGGAAGTGAAATGGCGCCAGATGTAGTATTGACAATAGAGTGGGTGATGCAGGGATGAAACTACCAAGCCTCTACTACCTGTAGATGTGGATACTGACTAACTGGCATTTTACAGTAACTGGTTTGATGACAAGCTAAACAAGTAAAACTAGTTTGTTTTATTTTAATTTCGTAAGTTCCTTTCTTAAATTGATCGTTAGGCCTAATTTTCAGTTGTGGATAAACCATGGGCAAATTGCCTATGTGATTACATAACTATGCATTGGGCTGTTTGCCCACACAGAAAAGGACATTTTGTCTGTTTATTCTTCGTGCTGACTGCAGATTAAAAGCAAGCTGCAAGGAGTTATTTAAATGTGTTGATGCCGGTTATTTAAAGGATAAATTAAATGATGAAATGGGTAGACTTCTAGGACGAGAAGTTGAATGGGAGTCATAAGCAGATTCAATCAATGCTTTTTAAAACAAAATGAAAATAAGGTGAAATCCAAGGTTGAACCTTAATATAATGGTCATTCGTTTGCTTTTCATTCACTTGCTGCTGGAAGTCATCATAGTGTATGCAGTTTATTAATAATTTGTGGTCCTTATTCTGTGATGTAGTAGAAAAGCATATGTTGGTACAGAAATGGAAAAATTAGCCATTTGATATAAACTTCTCACTTTCGTATCCTATTATGAATGACATTATTAATAATTACGAGTGACCCTCTCTCATTCCATTAAAGTACTTTCTGAAGATAATTCCAAAAATAGTTTGCAGGTTAATGTACAGGGCTCCAAGACTCCCATGTAACTTTGAGGAGTCCTCTAAGTGGTGTTTTCTGTTGGAATATTTAATTTAAAAGTCCAAAAGTGATCTAACCAAAAATGAAATTATACAGAGCCCATTTTATGTTACTTCTTTCAGAATTCTGTGCTTTATTTTTAAATCTGGCTTCAGGCTGGCTTCCAGTTCTCTCTAAATTTACATAAGGACTAAAGCTAACCATTAATGAAAATCTCTGTTTGTTGAAAACATGCACTTTCATTATTCATACAAGTGATATATTCTTGTTACCGGGTAACCTCAATGCAGACTAAACAAAGAAACAAGTGGCAGACCTAAGTGCATGTACTGTAAGCATAAAAGGAATATAGTTTAATTAAAAGGAACAGTGATAATGAATGTGTGAGAACAATTAACTGGTCACGGCTTTAATAAGTTGGAACGTATAGCCTAAGGCTTTAGGAACAGCAATACTCGCTTTCTAATTTGCAGAAAGTAGCATGAGAGACATTGTCCTTACTTATTATAACTTCCCAAATCTTAATCAAAGGCTAATGCTTTCAGGACCTGGGTTAAAAATAATGGGATATTCATAAAGAAAGTAAAGAAAAGTGGAAAGTACCACTACTGTGTATATTTTGATTTCAACTTGCTTTTTAATGTCTTAACATTTGTCTTATCATTAGAGCATGTTTTGGGTGGTATGGTGCTATGGCCTGTTTGTGCTGCAGTTTGTGTTTTTTACCAGTATGACTGCCTTTTTTGTCTAATTTGTAATGAAGTGCTTCCTCATTAAACTTCCCTGAACTTTATCTGTCTCTGTGATCTACTGTATCTTCAAACACTTGGAGAGGAACCAATGAAAGATCGAAATGAACACTCTAACCTAGGTGTTCTAGGCTGAGGTTGATTGTCCTAGATTGGCTCGTATGTGCGTGCTGTTTGTGAGCCTGTTCTGTATTATGCGCAGTCAACAGTGCAAAGAAAGAGGAATTTCATTTCTTCCTTGGACATTTGCATAGCAGTTGAAAGATTTGCATAAACCCCTCCTCCCCTGTGAAAATGGACCCTTGTTATTCCTCTTCGAAAGGAGATTGCTAGATTGAGCTATATCATCATTAGTTTAGTCCTAAAAGAATGTTTGGCAACAGACAAATTACAGGGCTCCGCTCCAATAGTTGGAGGCTCCAGGGTCTGTAATGATGGAGCTGCAATGTTAGCCGTTAAACTGAATTTTTGAAAGCCTTTAGGGCTGACTAGGGAAATGCTTTCTTCTGGGCTGTTTTGAATGGAGTGACAATACACTTAGATAGAAATTCAATATTCACATGCAGAGAAAGACACAAAATAAAATGGTTAGAATACATTTTCATTTTGTCACTTGAATAAAGACTATAGAGTATCCAATAAATACTGGTTTCACAACTTGGTAATTCACCTCATAGAATGAGGTATATTTAATTGACTTACAATGCTGTAAATTTGGACATTTTTGTGCCATTTATTTCAGCTTCTTGCACATACCTGGGAACACTTTATTTTTGTAAAGTACTGCATTTGAAACTGTGACATTAGAACAGAGGATCTGTCTGGGCAAGTGTGTCTCTTGTACAGTCTCTTGATCTTTGAAGATTAAATTAAGATTAGAACACAAAATTAACACAAGCTGATGAATTAACTCAACTTTGCGAAGCAGAGTCAACCCCCTTTTGTGTCTGTAGTTTATTAAGAAAAAGTACTCTGTAAACACAGACTCATCTGACTGAGTAATCTCATTGAAGTTTTTCAATGAGATTGTATTTACGCTTTCTGATGTCGTTGAAGCTCAGTAAGGATGTCTTTGGATAACAAGAATAGAAATAATCTAGCTAATTAACTGAGTAGCTCTGGATTGTCTTTGCTTTCAGGAGGTCGCATAAACAGTCGGGATGTGTGGATGTACAATTCCCAGCTCAACATCTGGATTAGGGTGGCCTCCTTGAACAAAGGCAGATGGCGTCATAAAATGGCTGTCCTCCTGGGCAAGGTAAATAATCATCAGTCCTGTTTTGTTGTATTTGTACCTATAACATGAAAGTTTGCACTCATGTCTTACTCATAGTTGGACATGGACAACATCACCAAGATCACTAAAATGTTTGTTCTGTACTTTAAAAATATGTCAGTCTTGCCAGTGTAGTGTCTTATCGTTTTCTGTTGTTCTGTTTTAGGAAGAATCCCCTATAGTTATTTATGAACTGTCGATATAGTTAAGTGTTTTATAAATATTTACATGGTACATTTATTTTTTTAGATAAAATTGTAGTGTTTAATGTCCTCCAAATCTAAATTTACCAATTGTTTATCTTTAAGAACTGTTACACACTTAACTTTGTAATGGGAGTGGTAAAGACCATGCATATTTTCCTCAAGCATCACCAACCAGTCTTCTATAAGCTATGTGTTGTCATATTTTTTGTTGCACATTTCTCATCACCCAGGATTTTATATAAGGATTTGATATTTTGTGATATTTTATGACATCCCACATAAGGTGAGCCAACCTTATGCTTACAGCAAATGTATGGGTTCAAAATTGTTTGAGAAAACACCTTGGAAATGTAAATTCTTAATTTGGGGGGGGGGGGTTCATGACCATTTTAAGTATGACTAATATCTTATCAAGGATATGAAGAGTTTCTAAAGAAAGAAAGATCTTGCCAAATCTGCATTTAGGAGATTAACACCTGCGTAATATTTTCAATATTTATACTTTGAAGCCTTTAAGAGTACAACTTTTATGGTTTCAAAAATCTCTCTCAATCATACTCTTTTAAACATAATGTGTGTGAAAGATATGGCAAAGTCTGTTACTCTTTTCCAGATCAGATACTAGATAGTGCAGATTGTTGTGTTGTGGACCTCCTTCCATTATTCTGTGTCCATGGCAATTGCTATGAAAATAGAGCATCATTTTAATTCACTGCCTAGTTCATGGCTGTGCTCATGCTTGTCTATCTTATCCACGGAAAAAGATATGACGTTTAAGTATATGGTGTTTGAATGTCATTTGGGGTTTTAAATCCTTTGCCTGATCCCAGCATTTGCTTCAGTTCTCATGTGAACGTGCATCTTTTTCCACCAATAAAAGCAGAGACTGCCTTTTTAATATTCCATGTATGGGTTGAGAAAAAAAGAAAGGTTAGCATAATGTATAGCTCTAACCAAATTTTTCACCTTTTTTTTTTTGCTCACAAAAAGAACTTTTTCCAAAGGGACAAATAAACTTCATTGGTTTCTTTTTTTTCTCTTGACCCATTTTATTTTTATGAATAAATTCTTAGTACTTACCCTAAGCAATATTTATATATAAGCAACCTAAACCCTGTCTCTCTTTTATTGGCACTAACTGTACACCATCCAGTATGTTTCTGTCTTTAAGTAGGCAGAGAAATGCTTTCTTCTCCTGTTGTGTCTAATTACTGGGATGAGAGGTAAATTAATTGATACTGCACCAGTCTGGCACTCAGTTGAAGATGGGGAGCTTTTCCAGCCTTCCTTTGTGCAAGTATCTGTTACAACACGTTGTAGTTCCTCTCTGTACTTTTCCACCAGGGTCTAGGTTCTGCTCTTTGTATACTTTATGTTGACTCAAACACATTGAGTCCTTTATTCTATAGAAGACTTTAGCAGCAAATTTGTTCTTATTTAAAAAGTCAAATATTTCTTATTAGATGTATTTGGGTGTGTTCTAATTTACCGTGAACATAGTGTGTAAGTCCAGCATTTATACTGAGCCACTGCACTTAGTACTGCACTTTTTATACTTAGGCAACAATTGAAATGATGCCAAGATAATATTGTCAGTAATGTTATGTACATTTCAAGGGAACCTTTTTTTCTGTTTATGTAGATGTGAGGCCCTTTAGTACTGGATTCAAATCATATATTGTGAGTGTTTTGGTGACACCTTGCTGCTGTAAGCGAAGAGATGTGTTTGAGGTCTTATTTTTAGAATACTCTAAGCTATGCAATGGCTAATAAGCACTCTTAAATCATATGTACAGGTATGCCCTGGGTTGAGTGCAAACTTTTTTTTTAAATCTTTCCAAAACACTAAGGTACAAAAGCAAAGTGCTAAGACCAGTATTAAGGTATTCCCCAGGTGTTGAATGATGACTTGTAGGAGCAAGTAGCTGTAGACATGTTAATTAGTGTAAACAAAGGTATTATTTTCAGAACTAAGGCTGGACCTGCTACTGCAGTAACAGTAGAGAGACATGCAACAAAAAACAGACTATTGTTAGAAAGAATGCAATACAAATCCAGCTCCTTAACATGGTTCATGTTTCTTTGTTGAACATATAAATGAAATTATTTTTTAGGTCAACGGGAAGATTTTATCTGAAAAACAAAGCTGCATCTTGTGCAGGTAGATTTAGTTATTTGCCCTACTGGTTCTGATAATTTTCGCCTGCATTTCGCCTGCATTGTGTGGTGAGGAATGATGAACTATGAGTGCCAAAGGCCATTGTCTTCAGAGCATAGTAAGATCACTGTGTACTTGATATAAGTTGTCCTATTTGCCCCACTTCCACCTGTTGGTTGGTTGTATTGTTAAATGCTGAAATAAATAAAGCAAAGATATCCAGATTTGGTTAATTTGTTGTAAGATGCAGGCATAAATCTCTGTTTTCTTTTGTAACTAATCAGATTCTATACTTTAACAGCTCTTTGCTGTTATAATACGGATAATATTCATATTCATATTTGGATAATATGGTCACAAAACTTTAACTTTGTTACCATGTCTAAGCAGCTTATGATTCAAATAAAACAGCCTTCATCATATGGGCCTTTTAAACTCTGTCAAAGCAGTTTGTCACAAAGGCAGAAGAATTAAGCTAAAATCAGTGAGATCATCCATGATCTCTTTTAATACAGAAAAGAACAAAAAAATACATTCTGTCTATGACAGTGTATGACTCATGTTCAGATAGAAGTTTAAAAGGTATGTATAATATACATAAAATATTACTGTTTTATATTAAAATAAACTCATGTCTTGATTTTCACTACTTGGCAACAAAAGACTGTTTCCCTTGGAATGTTTACATTACCTTACTGTTTTGGAACAAAGTGTTCGGTGTACTGACAGTCTTGCTTAATTGTTTTTTAGAAAAGTGAGCTTGCAGCTTGGATTTCTTCCTTGGTATTGGTGTGTGTCCTAGAATATATGAAAGAGTTGTTTAGTCCCCGAGGGTCATGACAATCAGAAGCTGTCTCTGATACAACAGCTTGGAACATAGCCACAGATTGAAACTAAGGAACAGTGTCTAGGGAGTCATGACTAAATTTTATCACAGGGTCAACAGTTCATGTCGACATTTTACAAGTGTATTTTCTGTGGAAGATTAACTTTTTAAAGAACCACTATTCTAAGTTTTTTTTTTTACTTGATTTGCTGTGTAAATTCATTCAGCTTTTCAAAAATCTAAATGAGGAGATTAATCTTAGTGAAAATACATATTTTACTAAGTTGTTATATGATTTTTCTATCAATTGTCTGTTTCACCATTCACACTTAATTAATGGTCCCTTGTCAACAGTTCATAAATTCAAAGGATGGCTTTTTTGAGACGTGAAAACTGTGAAGTGAGCTGTGAACTTAGAAGCCTGTCACATTGTAAAAGGATATCTTTCTTTTTCAGTTATTGAGTAAAAGGTGTATTTTTCAATTTAAAGTAAGTTGTATGCCTTTCTACATAAAACACTATTCACCCAAAGACCTTTTCATATTATGGGTTGAACAATAAACAAAATTAATTGAAAATATAGACTATGTGGTCCTTCAGTTATCACAGGATACAACAGAAAGTTTATTAATAAGGGTTTGTGTGGCCATGTTTTGTACATTTAATAGGTAGGAACTATTAATAATATATATTTTAAAAGAAAAATAATTGTATAATGTCAGAATGTGTTTGTTGTCTCATAATATACTATAATTTTAGGCCTTTGGAAATTAAATTCTGCTCTTCCACTCCGTAAGTGAGAGTAAGTACAGAGGAGCACCTGAAATTAACCTTTCAAATTTAAACATTACACAAAACGTTTGAACCAGAGATTCAAACCAAGGCTGTCAGAAAGGCAGTTAGAGAGGCCTGAGGAATACGAAGGACTGGATATCATCTCAGGCTGCACTTCAGACAATAAGCAGTAATCTACGCTCCCCTCACTGTAATGGAAAACACAGGAAGTGCTTTCCCCTCTCCCTGGCCACTGGCCAGTCCAGAACCGTCCTGTGAAGAGAGCAGTTCTCAACACGTATCTTTCAGTGTTTATTTTTATTACAGTGTTAAAATAACTCTATAAGGCAGTGGGTCTTAGCCTGGGCTATGAACTGCCCTTTCTGTAGGTGCAAGACATGCCAGATTTTTTTTTAATCATCAGAAAATCAAAACCAAGCACAACTACTCTGTTTCATCAAACCTAGGTCTTTTAAGGTAAACTTTAAAAATGATATATTATTTTAATGTGTTCTTAATTTTCCTGTGTAATTAAAATAAATTATAGAATAAGTTATATGTTATAATATATCTTGTATATACAAAACTGACCTACTTCAGCGATTTTTGATAAGGGAGGCAAGAACATATTTTGAGAACCAAAGGGGTGCTGGCTGCAGTAAAGCAAATTGGTGGCGTACGGGGTGGTTTTGACACTTGGTGTCTTCTTGACCACGGCTCGGAGGTGCACGCCAAAGTGTGGCAGGTGAAGATATTTCGCTTGGCCCTTTTCATGTCGTGCTCTCACACCTCCTTCACAGAAGGGATCGATAAAGAAATAGAACAGAGCATAACATACACCATCTACTAGGTTCTACTAGTAAATGTTTAGTCCAAAATTAAAATCTTAATCCACAATTTTAATCTGTATTTGAACATGAGCTTTAGGAGTAGATAGATGTGCAAGTTTTTCAGCCATGTATGAATCTGTTTGCAGCATTTATTTATGTACTGTATGAATTTTGATCCCTCACCCCACGCACCTCTTTGCCTGACATTGAAAGTAAATGTTTACATTTTGTACGTCACATTATAATGTGAATACCAATTTTGTTTCATTCTGTAGGCAGTAAAGTACAGTGAAAGCTTTCAAACAATACTGTCTCAATACACTACTAACAGCAAAGTGCACCTTATGCACACATCAAAGAACTTATTGTTTTATGTAGTGTTTCATTTCAATAAGGTAACTTGTTCTACCAGTTTCTCTGAAAATAAGCTGCAGGGCTTCTATTGTTCAGCATATACAGTATTTCCATTAGTGCTATAGGTTTCTTGTAGGTGTATTTTGAATATGCTGCATTCTTGATCTTAAAAAAAACTTTTAAAATGTGTAGTTTGTATTGTTTTCTATTAAAATATGTTTGAAGAAATAACTGGAAAGACAGAGAAGCATACTTATCAGTTAACTGTTGATCCAAGGGTCTTATAAAATCATTTGTTTAAACCTATGAAATCATAACCTGGATGATTGTCCAGCTATGCAACTCACTGAACTAAAAAATGTTTGGATTAATGCCAATTTGTTTAATACTGTTCACATGTAGGTCATTTAAATGCATCATTGTACTGTTGGTACTCAAATTTGCAAAACAAGAAATACTATACTATTTTATAAATTAGCCTTTTAAATATTGTGTATTCCCCCTACTAGATTGTTTCTCTTCATTTGACCTGGCTTTAGTGAAAACAGATTTATAAGTTTTAACTGCACATACCCTTTTGTACCTGTTTTGTGTGTTTTTTACCTCACTTCCTCAGTTCCTGTGTAAGTGCATGTAGCATGATAAATGGTAAAGGTTTAGGTTAAAATATTGTTTCGAGGGTGGGGTGTCTGGTACATGTAGGTATCCGGTGTGTTTTTTACTTGACGTTAGGCTTTGGGAGGAATGGGATGAGAGCAAGAGAGGTGTTATGTTTACTGAAACAAAAGAATTGTATATCTTAATATAAAGAGTAATATGCTCATACTTTCAGTAAACTGTAAAACTTACATTTGTGTCTTACATGAATTATAGCTTAAAGATTGAGAAAAGAAAACACAGGGGTTCCTAAAGTTCCTTCAAAAATGATCTGATTATCGCAGGAGAGTTGTCATTGCCTCAAACCATCTGATGGAGCTGTTGTCCGTGTCTGAAGAGTGTTCGTCCATGCCTGTGCTCTGCAGGTGTACGCGGTGGGAGGATATGATGGCCAGAGCCGGCTGAGCAGTGTGGAGTGCTACGACTCCTTCTCTAACCGCTGGACAGAAGTGGCACCTATGAAAGAGGCCGTCAGTTCTCCAGCTGTCGCCAGCTGTGTCAACAAGCTGTTCGTGATTGGAGGAGGACCTGATGACAACAGCTGCTCCGATAAGGTGAGCTGACAGTGTGGCTGATTTCAGCATCTTCAGTAGAGCTTTCGGAGAAATTCCCAGCTAGAGCCTTTAGAATTTCATTTGGTCTTAAGGCAACCACAAGTTAAGTACTGTAATATCAGGGAAGACAATAAATTGTTAACAAATAATGTGTGAGTAATGATTGTTACAAAAGGGTTGCATCGGATTTTGGCAATAGGCACAACACATATTGTAAAACCATGATTTTATTTTTGACAGTGTATAATAAATAATGGTCTTTGAGATAAATGTTTGAGGCAATAAATGTTTGCACTTTTTAGGATAAAGTTCATGGGACATTAACTTTTTTCTAAAAAGAATGCAATTAGCAAACAATTTCTTGCTAGTGAAATATTCTTATTTGACAGCAGATCCTTTTTTCAGTCTGGGACATGATAAAATTCAGGACAGTGAAGGAACATTAGCTGCTGGCAATTATTGTGGAATATAAAAAGCCCAGTATGCTCTGAGGCTGACAGGAAAACAGGCAGACAATGAGAAAGCAAAGACCTGGTATCGAGTTGCAGACAAGTGTAAATCTCCATCTGTTTTCTGGTCCTTCTTGCCACACATTCTGAGAGCCATCTGTTGGCACATGTTTACATGTCACACAGCTCACTGGCTAAGGGCCGCCCAGGACACACAGCATAGTGCATTGGTGAATTTTCCTAAAATAAAGTACCTACAATAGTGAGAAGAATTAGAGGTGAACCACTTCCAGTAATCTTAATTGTTAGCAATGTGATGATGGTATAAGGCAGCATGTTGTTAACAACTATTTCACAGATAGGTAATAGGCTCCCATAATGTTAATTCTGCTGTTTTTCTACATTTGATAAAGTCTGTTGTAATTCTGGATCTTTTGCTAATACAATTTAAGCTATGAAAGCAGGTGAATCGAGGTGGAGCACCTTTGGCCTTTTTGGATGTTAATGAATTTGTGGTTGCTCCAAGCAATCATGATTCATAAGTAGTGTAATTTCATTTCTAGCAAAACTTGTCTGAAATCTAGAACTTATCATCAATTGCATTGTGTTTATGTGCTTGAAGCTATTTTAAACGTTTTCATGATCACACACAGGGAAGTACAGATAAGAATTTCCTATTAATTACTGTACTGCTTTACAGTATGGGATGTTTGTGGGGATGTGTCATATGGCTGCTCAGTCCGAGAAATTCACCTACAGATAAATGGCTTCAGAGCACACACCTGCACTGGTGCATCTTCAGTTTTTCCACACTGAACAATGCGTACAGTTACTGACAATACTACAAAAGTGGTAGGATACCTGGTAACCAGAGCAACAATCAATTTTTTTATTATAGATTTTTAATAATATGGAAGTGAAGCTCATAAAACATAGGCTGTTATTGGAATATCTTTAAATTAGAGGATATGGCCCCATCTCCAGAACACTATGTGATATTTACTGGTGCTTTAAATCCATTTCCTTTTCCTTGACCATCTCCACTTTTTGTCAAAAGCTATTATTCCATTTAAAAGGACTGTATACACTTGTATTCAGAATATTGTGTTTAATATTGTACGCACAGGTTTTGGTGTTCTCTTTCTGATATTTTGTATTTTACCTGCTACCGTGTGCATGATTTCAAATTGTTTTGTTGTCACAGAATGTAAAGTGTTTTGTATACTTGCACTATAATATCCCGACAAACTATCTTAAAAACTGAAGAAGGGCCAGAACCAGTTTGCATTCCTTAACAGCAAAGCATGTGGTTATAAGGTTTGAGACCAGCATTATTTTAACACATTTAAAGTATGCCTGTAACACTAGGGAACTTAGCTCTGTCTGGAGGGTTTTCCATTCACATCTGGAATCATTTCTTCTTGGTGCTGTAGGCTTACAAAATGTTTCCTGGCCTTAGTCATAGTCCTTACAATTATGAGTTTTTGTTTAAATTTTAATGAATCTATCATTTGATTAAATGATGATCGGTAAGTGAAAAGATCCTCAGTAGTTTTGTTTGTTGTTATTTCAGATAAAATACTGCTAGATATTTTAAAATAATACTAGATTTTTATAAAAAGGTTTTTTTCTTGGATCTGTGATCTTATTGACTGAAATATACAGTACATATATAGTCAGTGATTATGGAGGCCAATTTATTCTTGACACTCTCTGAAGGAGATGGCTGAATGTGACCGTTTCTTTTTGATTTGTTGCATCATCTTTTATCAACATAAAGACAGGTTGCCATTCAGCACATTTTCTACACAAGCTTGAAAACCATGTGCAGAAAATGTGGACAGTATTTCTTTTCTGAACAAATTAAGAATGTGGAGGATGCATTTTCAAATATTTTATGTAGCACATATACTGTAATTCTGAACTCAGCATGTCAGCACATACTGTTTGGCCTTGTCACTTACACATAATATTATAATATTTTGGCATATAGGATTATGTATCTACAAGAACACAGATTATTAAAGTTGTCTTATTGTAACATTAGAGGAAAAAGGTTTTATCATTCTGACTCCCAGCATGAACATTACTAGGAAAAATGTAAACTATTACAGATTAGTTATAAATGTTCATTGCTGTCTTTTGAAACATGCTGTATATAAATTCAACTCTCATCTCATCTGCAGCTTAATGTGCCCATCTTCACCAGAAGAATTATTTCTCTTTAATGCTTTGGCAGTGTTTCTCGATGAGTCCAGGACCAGGCTTTCCAGGGATAAATGGAGAACCTTTTTACCTCCTATTTACATAGCTCTGAATTAGTGATGTCTGAACTGAGTGGGTGCCACCCCATCACTCAAAACATAGCCACAGTCTCTTGACAGCTAATCACGACCATGTGTCTACCAGTTTCAGCCAGTCATGCACTCAAAAACTGGCTTACAGTCGTGCCAGGACACACTGTATTACTGCAAAAGCCAGGCTGGCCAAAACAATTGTTGCTTCTCATTTTAGTATTCCATACAAATCATGTCATTCTCTTTAAGAAGAGCTCAGGTCATGGAAATTGTAAATTTAGTGGCACAACGTTGATGTTAATCTGTACTGAAACACAACTTTAAAGAGCAGAGTTACATCACTTACTGGAGAAACCGCCAGGGTCAAACAGGGTGTGGTGTGTTCCTTTTAGCTCTGAAAACCAGGAGGTTTACTAGTTCACATATCCGGGTTCTGCATCTGCATATTACTTAAAATAAACCCAGTCCCCAAGAGCTGTCACATCTGTGTCAAGATTGTTCAGTATTACAACAGGAATAAAACACTATTCAAAGAAAACTGTCATCCATTGATTCATGAGAAAAGACATGCACTAATGAAATGTAGAAACATAAAATCTTATGTAAAGTATGTTTTATCCTGTGATTGTTATTCTGATTCAAAATGAATTATTCAGTAACAATATAATAAGCTCACCATCTAGGTTTCATTGTCATACCGTCTTTACAATAAATTAATCTCTCTTAATAATGGACTGCTGTGAAGATTAATGAAATGTGTACAGGTTTTAAATGTTTAGATGTATATTTATGCAGTTTTCCAGCTTGTATAAAAGTACATACAGTACAGTATATAACCTCTCTTTTCATTGGCAGGTCCAGTCCTATGATCCTGAGACCAACACCTGGCTGCTGAGGTCTAACATTCCCATTGCTAAACGCTGCATCACTGCAGTGTCTCTCAACAACCTCATATATGTGTCTGGAGGCCTGACCAAGTCCATCTTCTGCTATGACCCCATTGAGGATTACTGGATACATGTGATGCATACGTTCAGTAAACAGGTAGGTTACATGTTTATGAAGTCTGGTGTTGTTACAATTAGAAGGATATCAGTAGTCCTTTAAGTCCTTAAGTAGTGCCTGAAAAGTTTAAGTAAATTTGGCAGTTGTAAGACTGGTCTGATCAAAAAAAGAAATAAAAGTCTTTGTTTGAACTAGTTAATTACATTTTATACCAAAGTTGTGAGACTTTTTACAACAACAAACTATTCTCCCACAAGAGTGTGTCCAGCTTTGTCTCCATTGATTGGGTCTGTGTGACTTTGTGCAGGAGAGCTGTGGCATGTCGGTCTGCAATGGCAAAATCTACATCCTGGGTGGGAGGGGAGAAACCGGAGAGGCCTCAGACAACATTCTGTGCTATGACCCAGCCACAGGCATCATCACTGGGATGGCAGCCATGCCACGACCCATCTCCTACCACGGCTGTGTGACCATCCACCGCTACAATGAGAAGTACTACCACTCCTGACCAGCCACTGCCCGAGACAGGCCTCCGCTGCAGGACTGGCACTCCCAGGCCATCAAGCCCAGGGGTGCCCCCACAGAAACCATAGAGTAGATATAAGCTGAGCCAGCAGTAGCAATATTTTGTGCCTTGGTACCATTTTAGATTACAGGACAAGCGAATACACCGCTTTAACTGGTTTAATCTTGTATGCAGAAGCAGAAAGTGTGGTTGCTACCCTCAACGTAAATAGTATGGATGCTAGAGTTTGTAAGCATATTAATATTTGGAGTTTAGGTCTGAGTAATTATACTGCATGTTTAAAGTTAAATATGGTCAGATTAACTCTGGGGTTTAATTCCTTGTAATAATTAGAGAAGCCATGGTCCTTTCTAACTGTGAGAACTTCCAAAGCAATGATATGCACATTTACACCAGTATGAACAATAAACTACTAATAAAAATGTCAGAATTCCAACTCACAAAAAACAGGAAATGAAATTGTCCAGTCATTCAGCAGTTAGGAGGTTAAACATTGCAGGTTCTGAGTAATAACTAAATGATGTGGGAGGGTAATTATCCATTTATAGTAATGTGATCATGTTTGTTCATGCCCTGTAATCTAAAGTGCTCTGTTTTTATAATGCATCTGTGTTTCTCATGTATGTTTATACTTGTCTTTTTGTCAGCTTATATTGTACAATAATCAGTTATCTTTGTCTGGTTTTTAATTATTTGTTATTTTTATTATAAAGTGATGTTTTGCATTTTTGTTGTTTTTGATCCAACATTTTATCTTGATAACAAGCATAATTCTGTAATAACCAGTAGGCTCTGACTCCTTTGCCCTCCCCCTCACTAGGAGCTTCAGGGAGGAATTACTTGTAGCAGATGGAAAAAAAAAACATGATTTCTTATCTATCAGCAGCTTTGCAAGTTATGCTAAAGTGTCACTGTGCTTTTGTCAGGACACCCAGAACATACAATGCATTAAAATAAAATAAGCACAGAGCAAATGCAGGACATGTACCTGCATAGCATTGAGACCCATATTCCATATTGTTTCAAAAAGCTAACACATTTGTAACAACCATGAGGCAGGCCTACGGTTTTTGTTTTATATTAACATATTTTAAACGTGTAGTGACTAGCTTCTGCTTTTGATAAATGCACCCAGTAATGTTTTGCAATAGACATTTTATTTGATCAGTGATTTTCACGTGCTCCAAAATCAGTCTGCATTAGATGAGCTGTGTAGACTGAGATTTGAAAAAACGCATTTTAACAATTTTCCGGAGAGAATTATTTCGGACAAGACTGTGCCGAAGGCCACCTACTTCATGGGAGCTATGAGATGAATGTGGACTGGTCAGTAAACGTTTACTCTGCTTTCCAAGTCTTAGGTGCAGAGTCTCATGCTGTGAATAAGCTGTCTTTCTTTCCAGGCCATTTTGTCACTTTTCATGAGCAGTGTTCTATAACAGGGGCTCTTCTACGTCCTTCTTTTTTGTATTCTGTAACTTTTGACAAAGCCCCACCTGGACACCACTATCTGTAGATAATGTTTTTGGGTAGACTTAATTTAATATTTTAGAAATATCTTGTAAATACTTTTTTATTTTTACTGTATCAGTAAACGTTTATCACTTGAGTTCATGTAAGAGAAGTGTGTGGATCCTGTCTGCATTTTCCTAGCTCCTTGCCTCATGGAACTTAGTTGGTACCTGTGATTTTACAGTAGGAAAGAGTGATACTATCTGCCGTTCGGAAGAAAGCTGAATCATTACATTTGGGTAATAACGTATGCTGTTGTGTGCATTTAGTATTTAGTCTGACAAATTGTGTTTTGTTGATTTTATAGTAGTTCTTTGTTTCCATTAAGCTACAATTTTATATACTTCACAGTCTACGTATAGCTTCAGGTATAGTATTTAATGTGCTTGGGGATGACTGCTTTTGAATGTTGGTATTTCTAGTGTCATTAATATCAGGCAAGGACTTGGTAATGGAGATAAACAGAGTGCAGTTAATTTTAGTTCCTCAAGTTTTCAGTGTGCACTTAAAGTTTATAAAGGAAAGAATTTCTCTAATAAGGACAACATGTTAAATCTGAATTTTATGAGGATGTGTTGGAAGTCTTAAAAAAAAAAAGCCTTAACAAAATAACTTTTAGTGGGACAACTACTGATTAATATCTACAGACGTGGGGTTAAAATCATGAGATTATAATATAAACAGAAATCTAAATTGAAGTTTATTGGAAGTGCAACAAAGAAATGATTAAATATTAAAATAAAGACTTTGAAGCATAAATATTTGAGATCAATTACAGGAAGTTAAAAATCTGGAAATACTGTGCTAGTGTATGAGTAGGTGAGACGGAACGATCAGACAGGTTTGCCTCTTGTTTCATGCCATGTTCTAATTGTCTACTGAAAGGAATTACCATACATTTTCTGAAATAATTTCTCTCCCATTTCTTTCTGTGTGTCTGTGTAATTCCCACCTCCTGGTTTCAGTCAAGGGCCAGTGAGATTGAGCAGGATTGTGACAATGCGGCTGTGGCTACAAGTTTAGTGAGTATCATATTTACACGAATGCCAAGTTTTAAAGGTTTAAACAAGATTTTTTAAATTATTATTCTTCATTTCTTAATGGGTTATTGGAGTTGTGTTTTGAGTGTTGTTTTATTAGTATTGGTATATACCATGTGATGCCGCTGTCAAAATGGAAGAAACTGGTGAAATGTAGAGGATAAAGCAGCCCGTCAGGGGTGAGGCTGCCTGTGGACATGGAGAGGCTGTCTGAAGTGGCAAGGGATGTCAGTCTTGTGGGAGACGAAGCAAGTGAGTGGTGTACCACACACTCCCAGGCAATTCGGAATATTATACCTATAGGGGAGACAGAAAAGTGGTTTTGTTCTAATTGTGACTGTGTTGAAGGGACTACACTCCCTTATGAGTTCTCCAGCTGGCTAATAAAGACATTGTCTGCATGGTAGACCATTCTTATTGGAATTGTCCTCCTACATTTATTTTATAGAACTGAGCCTCTCCAACCAAAGATTCAAGCTTACACACCCTGTGATTCAGATAATGGATTTATTTGATCTCCTGTTTATTATATATGCTTAACATTTAAAGATTAATAGTCTGTCATCTCAAGAACAATGCAGTGAAGGCCAATTATGATTGTAACTGATGCTGAGATATTGTGGCATGCCTTCATTTAATCATGGACAGGTGATATAATAGCCTTTTCTGGTGTGCTAAGTTGATTTGTTACTGAATTTTCTACTAGACTAGTTATCTTACTTTGCCTTTAATTACAACACAAGTGCCTTGAAATTATATATCAATTTAATATTTTGTTTGTTTGTTTGTTTTTTAATATTAGAGTATGAGAATACACAGCATTTGGTTAAGGAAAACATTCAAGCCAGTCTAAGTAGAACACCTATATCGAGAGGGATAAATTAAACTTAGCAAGTAAAAGGTAAATCAAAGAATTCCATAGAACAAATAAAGTGAAAAGTGTACTGATTAGTCTGCTCACATTTACTGTTTATAGCATAACATAACTGGTACACTGACACAAGAATTTCAGGAGCAAACTTAGTTGATGGTGTATGCCATACAATGGTCAATTCCACAAATCATTATTTTATTTGGAGAGATTGTTGTTATGTAAAGGCTGCATGTTAAAACTAGTTAACCTTTTTATTGATAAGCCAGTAATTGACATGTTGTGTAATGGTTGCATTATAGTATTGCGTGATAATTTCTTTTCTCTCACCTTTCATTTTATTTAAACATTTTGTATGTGTGTTAAGCCACTTGCGTATGATTGTACTAGATGTATCACTGATGCCTTAATAAAGTAACTTTCTCCTAAATGATTGCCATTTTTATTGAAACTTTTCTGTTGTAATTTTACTTTGAAGAGCTAGGGGCCTCATCACTGCCTGAAAATGTTGGTGGGGTGGTGGCTGCTTTCGTGCTTCTAAACATTTGCAAAACCTTTTCTTGCCCAGTGAGTCTGAAATAAAATAACTATTGAAATGTAGCAAATCCTATAAATCAACAAAAACTTTATTCCTATTTAATAGTCACATCAAGCCGCTATGTAACAAATGTCAGTGTTTGCCTAAAGAAAAAAAATGTAAAGACTTGTTAGTGTTGATGTACATTAAAGGGGTTGAAAATGTCAAATTTCCCAATGTTATTTATCCATCATAAACAAATTCAGAAATCATTTGTTTTACAATTAAGCCTACAGTTTGCAGAGGAATTTACAATAAATACTCTCGTCCTCTTTTCTTATTTTGTATTTTTCCTCTGTAATCCTGTTATACGCAACTTCAGAAACCTAAAGAATTCATCATATTGGTTCAACTGTGAAATGACTGGGCCTTTTGCTGACTTTGGAAAGATGTACAAATGGCTAAGGAATCCATAGCCACATCCTGCCACTGTTTGAACTTATGTCCCCTACAGCACTTTTTTTGTTTTAGGCCTCGAAAAAGCAGTCCAAACTCCTATATACTCTTAAATTCAAAACACCGACTACTTATGGATAATACATTGTATTGCTGAAACTCTTTTTCCTACAGCGCACTACAGAAAAATATTTTTGTATAAACTGTTTTACCAGTTGATCTTGCGTAAGAAACAGTAGTCTTGAACATCAGACAGCTGCTTAGTTTCAGTGAATCATGTGCAAGCTACCAACTTGAATTTGAGCACATGGGATGATCTATGAACCCTAATCCGTCAAATCTACAGACTACTACTCAGCCATTAAGGATGACAAAAGCCAGGTCTGTCACTTCGACATGTTTGTTTTCCTCAACTGGTAATGTAACAGTTAAATACCTCTTTAACTTGATGGTTAATTCTGCAAATGTCATAGCAGGCTAAAGGCTATACAAATATACCAAAATAGCTGTGGTACTGTATGTGTTTTGCTTCTCAGAACTGATACTTGGTATTTCAAAACCCATGCAGTGATAGACTTAACATTGTTTTTCAAATGTGCTTTACATTAGGTTTCAAGTTAGATAAATATATTTTAATATTTGAATTTGAAAATGAAATGTTATTCTTTTATAATAAATGTACATACATGTAAAATCTGGAATATACTTAAGCAATATGTTCAATTGGTTCTACTAGTGTAAAATGTAATATGTTGAAGTATTAAATAAGATATACTTTGTTTTCTAACTGTAGTTTGTTGAAGTTGGCACTACAAAAACCGCAGTATATTCTACCTCACGTGTTGACTAGCCTTTCATTAAATCTCTGTTGAGTCTTAGCCAGCATAGCTATTGCAAACTAAAGTTCTAAATTTTTATTAAGCTCTCATAACTAGCTAGTAGCATTTAAATGGATTACTGTTGTTTAGGCATTACATGAAATGATCTGAAGTTGATGATGTATAACATAACATTTAGAGTTTTAGACATTTAACAATGTTTTATGTTTAACATTGTGAGTAGTCTAAAAGTTTAAACTTAAGCAGTGCAGGCTTGTGAAAATGTTGACACCACATGTAAACAACTCCATTTATGAAGAATTTAAAGATTGTTTAAATCTAAAACCAAGACATTTTAACACACAGCTCCTTGCTGCAGCATCTTAATTCATAAAGTCAGACCTAGAAATGTATGCATCAGTGGCATCATAAGTGCACTTTGAAGCAATGCAACATGCATATCTGTCAGGTCAGGTGAGATTAAAACAACTTTCAAAACATAGCCCTTTTTTTCTGGGTACCCCAAATCAATGTAGAGGAATCTAGGAACAGGACCAGGACCACAGTACTGTCCTCAGTTTCCAGTTTACCTAATCTAAACACTTTGGATGTGGTGAATCATTAGAAGAATGCTGAACACCAACTGGCAGGTGTGTGTGTATTGTTTGAATTCACTGTGCTTTCTTCAAAAACAGGAAAACTGTTCTTCTGAGCATGAGCAAATATTCGAGTCGCAAAACCCAAAGTTGGGCAGGGGTAGATTTTCAACAGTTTTGGTACCTTATCTTCATGGCCTTACTTTACTGCATTGTATTCTGTACCTGCTCAGTACTTTAGTTCTGATTACTCAGTCCTGTATTCAAGACATATACTGTAATTAGAACATGGAAATAAAGCTATACACAAAACATATGTTACAACATGCACACCAGCATTTTCTTAAATGTTAACACTACTGTAGACAAAAACAAAATCATATATTTATACTACACGATTGGATCTCACTATTTGTAAATCAGCTTTCAAAAGTCATTCTTTTTATAAAGGTGTTGTTAATTACACCTGTTTTTCTTGTCTTTCTGCTTGCCTCTCTGGTTCTGCAGTTTTTGCATTTGATTCAAATCATAGTTTCGGTTTAGAATTTTGTTTTACAGGCTCATTTCTAATCAAGGAAAAGTGGGCCTCAGAGAGGCTTCATGTGGTTCTGCAGAAAGAATGGAGGTGAAGAAGTACACTAACAGGCTTCGTGCAAAATAATCTGGTTTCCCTTGTTAGTTCCCTAGTAGTCAGACTGGAAATGCCTTTTCACTTTTGTTTGGCACAGTAAATAGCAAGATTCAGAAAACAACACATGAAGACTAGAATGTGAGAAAAGAAATATTGTGCCACTCCAGTAACGGGTTAATGTATGGTGTCTACACAAAGGATTTAATACCAGAAGACAGATGTCAAACATTTGCAACACCTGCCCTCACAAACAGATTCAAAACAGAATATTAAAGAACTGCTCCTTCATTGTACCAGTTTGTTTACACAACATTCATAGAACCTCAGCAAAACTGGGCAGACCTTTGTTCTTTTGTGTGTAGAAAGAGTCTTTAGTGTCATAATAAAGAAACCTAAGACGTCAATATGTTTGTCAGACAAAGGGCTCAAATGATCCAGTTTTTCTTTTCACAAAAATTTCCAAATAAGCGATTCAAAAGCATGATATTGTTGCTTTAATCCAAGATATGGTCAGGTTTTTAGAAAATTTGAATAGACGCTAGGAATACTCTTGTCTTGATCTGCACCATTTTGTAAAGGTGGATAGATATCAGTGCCGCGATATCAGGTTGTGTAGAAATGGCATCTAAAGAACCACATACTGTACTAGACTGTTCCTTTAACACAATAATGATATTTTACTTAGCAAGTACCTTTTTTTTTAGTTATCGAACAAGTTAAAAATATTAATCTAATTTTGAAAACAAAATAATTCAATGGTATTTTATACTTGTTGGTCTACAATGATCAGTACTGTATGCTTTTCTTTAACATGACAAATAGCTAACATTAGACTACTCCATTTCATTTTTGTAACAGAGCAGATTTCATCCACAGCTTCCTGGGACTGACCAAAGTGTGCGTATCTGTGTACTATATATCTGTATCAACATAATCCAGGTAAAAAGCAGAGGGTGAAATAATACGTCAGCAGTATTTTGATCCCACAGGGTGCTGTAGTTTCTGGAAGGAAAGGTGTGCAGAACAAAGGAGTGCCCTGAACAGGTCCTCATGGCGGGGACCAGGTGAGTAATATTCATATGAAACAGGGCGTACACTCCATGATGTTTATTTTCCACTCAGTGTTACAGTCCATATTACATAAATACTGCTAATCTCTTCCTAGCTTTGCATCACCCTATAGCACATCAAAGCAATCATGACAACAACAACAACAACAACTATAATTATTGCTTTTATTGTTGTTCTTATTTTAGTTGCTGTTGTGCTGTTTTTGCAGATTTTCTTACTAAATATATAAATGTTATGGTTTACATGGAGAAAAATGCTTAAAGACATTACAATTGATTTCTCCACATTTAATTAATTTGTTAAAACTGTGACAAATCAACCTCAGGGTTTCTGAGGCTGCAGGAGTGGTTATTAATGAAGCGCGGCAAAAAAAAATTCCTCATGTCATTTCATGGCAAGAATTCAAGAGAAAGGGTTTCGTTTCTTATTGTTAGGCTTTCAAGCAAATATCTTAACACTATATCTCTTGCATGATAATATTTCACACATATCATAAAACCAGAGAATAGCACTGGTAATTTGCATTAGTAATCAAGATATTTGCAATCCTTCAGTGAAGCTTAATATGATTTTCCTCATTCTAAAATTTGCCATTTTTGAGCTACTTCTAGTTCACAAGCTTATACGGTAGTACAAGTGTGTCACACCTGAAGAAGGCTCCACGGCCGAAACGTTGTGTTCTCTTTCTTCTTTTTTTCAGCATGGAATAAACATATTACTTGTTCCTTTGCAGCCTATGCATGCTGACGCAGCTACCCACCTGAACTACTATTACCTTTATTACGTGTGCATACGGGAGCCAAAGCCAATGACTCAATTCAGATACAAAAGGACGCTTTTTATACAAAATCACAAACAGAAAACCCACCCAGAACAGTTCCAGTACAATTCCATGCCATATATATTGTAAAGCCAAGGCTGCTAGCCTTGGTACTGTACGTGATAAACTGTAAGAATATTCTTGGGTTCCTTTAATTATTGTTTAAGCAGACAGTATGTACTTCTAGATTTTGTTTATCATGGGTTAAGCAGATATCGGGCACTCTCAGTTCTGTTCAGGCTGTCCGATGCTGGCTCTGCCCTTCATGTTCCAGGTATGTAGCCGGCTCACACTTAAGTTGCAGTTAGTAATTTTCCATTATTCTAGCAGGATAGTTAGTAAAATTATGTTAGTAAATGATTTACACAGTAAAAGCAAATTAGTGAAATAAGAGACGTAAATGTTTGATCCTTCACTTTAAAATGGGCTTCAGTTTTCCCATAAGATGGTGTGAGAACTTGTTGCACTTTGTAAATTCATGCAATAAGTGACTTCTTAAAAATGTGTTGCAGGGAAAAAGTAAAAAGTAAAATTCTCTGTGGACAAGAATATGTGGACAAATTAAACCCCTGGGAAATGCAAACTTTTGTATTTGTTTACTGCTGTTGTGCATTGCATTGGCCGCAATAACTGCATCTGAGCACTGCACTGTTATCGTGTTCCTTGTACTTAGGCCCAGTGTTCTTCTAAGGTAATAAGACCTCACTAAAAATGCAACATCTATATTTTGATCAATGATCATAACTTAAACACTGGCTTCTTGGCATAAATGGCACTGAAACTGTGAAATCAGCTCCTGTATTCAGGACATCCTTTTTAGTTTTCACTGGAAGTCAGAAGCTTTGTCTGCTTACAAAATGAATAAGTCCAAAGATGTGGAAACATTTGGGCACACCTTAAGCAAACAAAAACTGATAGCATTGCAGGCATCCTTCACAAAACATCCTTCCATTGCTTTACGGAAGAAAAAACATTTTCTTTTGTTCTTCATTTAAGTAAAACCAGTGACTTCTGCTGCCAAGAATACTGGCAATATCACAATGCCTAAGTACATTTCATTTTCATAATGTCTCTTTTAATGAAAATGCGATCTTATCAGGTCCAGAGAACAGGGTATATTTTATTATTTTTATTTTGTTATGAAAATAGACATCATTGTTATTTTCATCGCATTAATAAAAATATCTTAGGAAACGAAGTGACTTTATATTCCTCTGCCTGTCATACACAACGCTTAATACTATAAAGTCCCATAAATGTTAGAAAACTTCAATTATTGTACTGGACTTTATCACTACCTGTTGTGTTCGTTGGCACAACACTGCTAGGATGTACAGAGCAATGTCCTCTACCGGTTACTTGACGCTATTGCGTGGCCTAGCGTTCTCTGCAGGTTCATGGCGCTCACACATTAATGTCCAAAAAAAGTATTGTCTTTGAATCATATCTCCCGGTGATATATTACCCTTTTCGGCGCTTAATTTCTCGGAATTACACCACCATCAACGCGCTAATAGTCATCTTTTACATTCTTTGCACCTCCAGGCCAAAACTAAGTTGCGTATCCCCGTCTGTTTCTGCAGTTTCTCGGCGCTGATCCCGGGCATAAGATTGGGGAAGTTTGGGAAGACGGGCTGCTTGGAACTGGGTAAGGAATTGACAGCAGCCGTTTTATAAATCACGAAATCCACGATTTTATAATAGCAGTATAACCAGATTATTGCTCGTTTGTTAGGATCTCTCAAAATAAAATTGAGCGGCGAGCTTGAAAATTTTATTTCGGTGCAGGCCGCAGGCTTTTACCGGACTCGATTAATGATCATTCAGGGTAGTAGCTGCAGTACTAAGGCAACACAGAACGGAAGAATATAGTGTGTTTTTGCTTTAATATGGATCTGCTCCAAGCTGTGTGAGTTTCATGCTTGATAGCGTTACGCGTTATTAGTGCCTGACACATGGTTTTATCTTGTAGTTATTTGCAATTCATACCGTTTTTTAAAAGTGATGTCCGCAGCACAGTTTACTACCCGGTGATTTCAGGCAAATAACGTAATTATTCGAAAATACAACTGATTCGAAGTTTAGTGCATTTGATTATTAATCTTTTTATTGTGGAGTTCCACTATTTTATTAATTCGAGAAATTCAAATGTGAATCTCCCCAGGCTTCGCATTCTTTGTAAATTAAAGTTTAGGAAACTGTGTATGTATTTAAAGTGTACAACATTGCGTAGTGTTTCTGAACATCCAGGAAAGGTCTTTTTGTGTACGTGTCATATGAACAATTTAGCGAGTAAAAAAATTATCCCCATATGTTGTAAACATAGTAACTCAGAAGTACAATCGGAAATAGTTTCTCGAAGTTGTAGGTTGTTGTTTACACTGCTTTTTATTGTCTCATTGGGTTCAGGTAACCATACGTAGCCCAATTAATTTATCTGGATGGGTGTTAGATGTTGAAGTTGTTTGGGTAAGAAATTGATCAGTTTCCCAGGTGACAGCCACATCCATGGAGCAATGCCTGCAATTTGTAAATGTTCCCCATTGAGTGGACTGCAGTTTTCTCTGTTGAAAGTTTGCTATTATTATGTTTTATCAGTACTGAAACTGTATGTCATGTATTTAACAACACAAAACCCAAAATGAACAAAGGATTGTTAGAAAAAGTTTGCCTTCTTGTGTTCAGCTAATTCCTATGCCTAAGAGTAGTGGGTACTCAGTGACTGTTCTACAAGGGTGCTGCCTAGCAGGTGTTAAAAGTCTTTATAAATCAGCATTACCTAAACTATAAATAGGCAAATAAATAGTGCAGTTAGCTCATTAGTTGCTGATCAGCAGACATTGCAATCCTACAGGATTTGGGCTACCCTGACCTGGAGATTTTTTTAAATCTTGAGTAGAATTTACAGCCTAAACCAATGCAGGTATTCTAAGTAAATATTAATATATCACAATAACTTGAAAATGTATTAGGTTGGTTTGTGTGATGTGAAGAAGAGAGAAGATGCATAACAGTCCTGCTATGTTATTTCAATGATGTATAACAAAACAGGCAGCAACACAGTATTGTAGTGGTGTGAACTTTAAGTCATTCCAAGGGTTGTTCCAAAAACCAGGGAAGAGAGTATGAGCAGTAAAATATGTGCTTAAAGCATCACTGACAGAAGTGATAAGATACAATTTTCTAAGTCCCATTCCAGCTTCTTTTGTACCCAGGTGCTCTTTTCTAGGTTCACATGAATAACAACAACAACAATAAAATAATAATCATAATTAAATTATTATTAATAAAATAACAACAACAACAACAACAACAACAATAATAATAATAATAATTATTATTATTTTTCAGTGCCTTTCCAAACCCATATAGGATAGAACATAAGGCAAACAGACACAGGTCCTAAAAAAGCCAAGTTTTGAGTTTAGATCTGAAGAGAGTCAAAGAATTAGTCTTTTGAAGTGAAGCATCAGAGGAAGGGCAGTCAGTACCAAAGGGACAGTGAGGGGAAAGATACGGTCACCTTACGTGTGCGATTTATTCCTCGGTAGAGTAAGCAAAGGACCAGCCTTGACTGAACGGAGCCTAAAAAATAATATTAATGTTCATTTATGTTCTTTTTTTTTCTCTTTTGTTCTCTTTTTTGTTCACAGCATTTGCGTTGTAAAGTAAAACCATGTCAGGTATCAAAAGGAAAATTGAAGACAAGGACCCAGATTATGAAGACATTTCAGTGGTACATGAAAACAAAAGGCAGAAAGCTGTTGAGCAGAATGGTAAACTGCTGTTGTATTGTTTTTCCTTTTGTTGTATTTAGACTAAAAAAAGTAGTGTTAATACTACTCATGTTCACAACCTGACAGTCTCAGGTATGCAGTATATCACTCCTATTTTTTTATGGCATGTGGTCCTGAATTTGTTCATTTTTGTGTACTTCATCTGAACTCCTTAAAAATGCATTGTTCTGCGAAATAGATGTGTATAAAAACACTGACATTCTGATCACCTGTAATGAGGTGTTTTGATACAGTCACCTCACATCTTGGATGATTTGTGGCTGGAAGGCTGCTAGTGACTTCTGATAATAGAGTTCTGGGCACGAGATGCAACCTAATGTTACTATACAAGAAAACATCTTTTTACCCTGTAGAATCTAATAATTTGCATTGTAACTAAGAAACATATGATATAAATAAACTTAGGTGTTGCACTGTTAAGCGATGAAAATTCAAATATGAATAACATTATCTCTGTTCGTTTTCCATTTTGTTTGGAAATTACCTGCTTGCTTTGTTTGTGTTGTTATTCAGCTCGAGATGCCACAATACAAAAGATTGAAGCCATTATAAAAGACCAGTTTTCTTTGGAATTGAAGAACAAGGAGCATGAGATTGAAGTTATTGTGCAGGTAAAGCACCGAAGAAATGTAAAAAATAAGAGTGTATTGTTAATTTCCTCAAGATCTAAAAAGCTGGCATTGGATGAAATGTTTGTCATCAATTTGCAAGCCATCCAATGAGAACTTACTGGTGAAAATCGGTAGTAAGCTAATATGTTTTACAATTTTGTTCTGGGATGAGGTCTTGAGTTTCTAAATAACAACATAAGGAAAAAAATCTGTTCTAATTAGAGATTTCAGCAGTGGTTTTTTGAACTGACACATAAGAGCAAATCTGGTATCGTAGTAAGTGATAGTGCTCCAAAAACACATAAATGATATTAACTGATGCAACTCTTGAAGTGTTCTAATGAATCATTTTCTTCTTTTAGCGTCTTAATGAAGCCAGGAGGATGATGGATAAGCTGAGGGCCTGCATTGTGGCTAATTACTACGCCAGCGCAGGGCAGCCAAAAGTTTCAGAGGTAAGACATATTAACCTTGGGCTCTGAAATGTTTTTGTTGTTGAACCTTGCTGTGCTGAGGTTAAGATAGTTGTGATAAGCAACCTCACTCTACTGTTACAGTACGTCGTGTCAGATACAATCCCCTGTCAAAATGTGACACCCTCTCAGAGTCACATGGTACTTCATGATAAACTCTATGGTTTATATCCCACAATGTACAATATAGGATTCAAACCACATAAAGAACATTCAATTCAATTTATTTTTATATAGCGCCTTTCACAACAAGGTTGCCTCAAGGTGCTTAACATTGCAAGTGACCGTACAAGTTGTGAATACAGAACAGAAAAGACCAGAAGACAACGGAGAAGAGGAACCAAAAACTTCTCCTTAGTAAGGAGAAAAAAAGCTCTAGGAGTCCAAGGTCAACTGGCTGTTTAACCCCTTTGGGCATGCTAACATTATACAATTAAAAAAATAAATAAGTGAATGAGGGTATTAATCCATCCATCATGTCTTCTGTATGTCAGTACTCCATGCAGATCTCTGTAGACGGGCAAAATCTTCCTAAACGATAGCTATGTCCGCAATGTCCCTCTTGAATCCAGAACATAACTAGCTACAATTTTAAATTCTTAGCTTTTTTTTCTTAGAAACTCTTACAACTGGGCAGCTGTATGTTGTATACTTAAGGAATTTCAAAATATAGCCGACTAATGTGTAAATCTACTGGGCTACATTACCCAAGGTAAATTACACCTTCAGTTGATTGTAGAACAGTGTATGGGATTGCATTAAAAATAGGATTGATTTATCTGCAATTTTATATCATTATCTATTTTATACCTTGCAGCTATTTTTATTTTTCTTATTGTAGATCACACCCAGAGTTTTATTCATCTGGGTTACTGGTTAAACCTCTGTAGTCCAGGTCACTGAGGACCCGACCATTGGGGAGAATTTGTAGATCCCAATGGCAAGTTCCGATGATGAGAATTTGTGAGAATATTGGCATGGGAAGCCAATATTCTGGCTAGTGGGTTGTTTTTTAATTTTATTTCTCTGAGGCAGATTTACACAATGTTAGGCAATGCTGCTTAATAATTCCATTTGATGGGACTGGACCACTGCTATTGCACTATCTCTGAAGCATACTGAGCATTAGTCGCACCCCTCTTGGCCAATCAGATCATAAGGTCGTATTTCTTATCCCAAGAGAGATCAAAGTTCCTAAAACAACCAAAAGAACTGTAAAACAATAGTCAGCTGCATCTAAAGAAGTGCTAATGGATTGTTTTGATATCACAGACTGGGACATGTTTAAGGAGGCCTGCCTTGATCTTAATGAGCTCACTGATGCAGTAGCATCGTATATTTGCTTCTGAAATGCATTCCTTGCAAATCTGTCACCATCTACCATAATAATAAACCCTGGCTCAACAGGGAAGTTAAAACCCTGTGGAAAAAAGAAGAACAGGGCTTTCAAAGAGATACAGTATGATGCCAACTTCACATCAAGCAAATATGAATTCAAACATGCAGTAAAAAGGGCCAAATTGGAATATAAGAACAATGTAGAAAATAAACTAATCTTCAGCTAAGGCCTTCAACAAAAAACAGACTACAAGCCCAAACAAACTGCTCCAGTTGACAATCCTTTCTCACAGACAAAGCTGAATGAAAATTACTGCGGATTCGGTGCACAAAACAGAATGCAACAGATTGCACCTAGACAGCAGCAGAGCCTCTCCAGCCCCTCTTTATCATTCAGGACCATGATGTAAGCTGAGTTTCTGCAAACAGAACAGCAGCAAAGCAACACTGAAATGTGCCTCCTATCTTCAAAGGTATTTTCAATTTGTCCCTTAAGCAGGCTAAGGTACTGCACTGCTTTAAGAATTCCATTACCTAAGAACTCTACTGTGAATTGCCTCAATGACTACAGAACATTGGCCTGACTTCTTGTCTGTTTTTGACAACTTATGGCCGTTTCTTTTTGTCCGACATCCACTTGGAACAATGCCATTGTTCCTACAGAGCAGGTCAGTCGCAGTCTCTCTGGGGAGCCATGATTTTTTTCAAAACCTAGAAGCACCCAGCATCCTCTTCATTGACTATAGTTCTGCTTTTCCCAAAACGATCCCTCTCATGCCTTTTAACAAACTAGTAGAGATGGGCGTTAATCAAACTCTATGTTATTTGCTACTGGATTTCCTTTCTGATAGGAAGCAAGTGGTGAAGTTGAAGGATGTGCATTGCTCAGGATTGTCTGAGGACCTCTGCTTTACTCTCTGTACCAAAATGGCTATATTTCACATTCAGTTTCAGTCAAAATGTTTGCATTCACTGATGACACTGCTTTCACAGGGCTCATCACAAACAGTGATGAGTTGGTATAGAGGAATGAAGTAGCTGAATTAGTTGAATGGTGCAAACTTAAACAATCTAGAACTTAATGTCAGTAAAACAGATCTGCAGATCTACCATTGAGAGTGTGTTGACCTTATTCATCACTGTGTCCAATGGCAACACTTCTACCCAGGACAAGAAGCAGCTAGAGAGGGTAGTGTATATCGCCTCCAAAACTGTAGGGTGCCATCTTCCCTCTGTGGGCTCACTCTACGACTCTAGACTGAAACGCAAAGCTCTTAAGGTCTTTGCCTTTCCTTTTCACTCTGCCGAACCACTTTACTTCTCTCCCCTCTGGTGAGTGGATTAAAAGTCTATTAAGAGAAGGATTGCTAGGTTCTGTAACAGCACCTACCTGGAGGCTGTGAGATACATAAACTACTTTAAAAGTCACTTTAAAATTTATTTTTGCACAACTTATTGTAACTCCATCAGGTCCAACTCTGATCTGTTTCCCAGTTATTTATTTTATTACTGCTGTGTGTTTAGGATGCTTTGTAAATGTGTTGGTTGGATGCAGTCTGTTGTTGGCTTTGTATTATATGTTTGTATTGTGTCTTTAATTGTATGAGCTAAGTGAACTACATTCCAGGCACCTAGTTGTTATGTCAATACATGGTTTTGTGCCTAGCCAATAATAACCATCGCTCTTCACAACAAAATGTCAATATTGATGCACATTTTTTATTGATGCACTTAAATAAGTGGTTATGTTTGTTCTTATCTCATCTGAAATCTTACACTTGAACTAATTGATATGCATACTACACTATTTTTTCTTTCCTTCAGTGTCTTACAAACACATGCTTTTCATCATAAGCAAAAAGCATAGAAACTAATTGTTTTGCTTCTTCAATTT